GAGGAGGAGGAGGAGGAGGAAAATTAGATGGGTTGGGTCTGAAGGGGGTCTTGATAGAAAGTGTAAATATAAGTGGGCTAAGTGTAGAGGGGCTAAGGGCGCAGTGGAAGTTCTTCTTACGCAGGGAGAGAAGGGGGTTGGGCAGTAGGGAGCTGATGCGCAGGGATTTGAGGGAGAGGAAGATGTTGGGGGAGGATATTGTGCGCAGGAGGACATGTTGCAAAGGATGAGGGTGCGTGAGATGGCGGAAAAGAGGGTGGGAGTTGTTTGGCCTAGATTGAGAATGCAAGTTCAGATGTGCTTGCTCTGCTAGGACATTGTGTGCAATTCGAGTCGGTGATGAATAGGAAATTTACAAGTGGAGTTGCGGACACAGTTGAAGACTTGACTATTCAAAATGACCCAACTTTGCCCGGTCATGCGGAAAAGCATGGTATTGGAGGCGTGGAAAGCCTTGAACTCTGTTTCTCGAACGTGTGCTAAGAACTCCCTTTGTTTCCCCATGCATTTCAGTGTAAAGCTTCTTCGCCCAATACGTCCTGTCCCCCAAGCTCCACGTTTTAAGCGCCACCCTGTTTTAAAAAGAGAACTGAAATTCGTTGTCCATGGAGTTGTTCAGTGATATCCAGAAAAGTCGTGCCGTGAAGAATCGTGTATCCGCGCCGTAACCCCCCCCATTTTGAAAGCAAGTTCACCACCCCAGTTTTGTCGTATTGCGCCAGGGTAAAATCGTAACTCATTCCATCTCCAAATCATCAAGCTCCTTCTGCCGTCGTTCCAGCTCTTGGCGCATGGCTTCTGCTTCTCGCCTCAGTCTCTCCTTCCTAGCTGCCTTGTCTTCTTGCGACATGCCCAAGTTTGGCGATGGGCCGCCACTTGCCCTCGACAAAGCCCCCAGCGACGGGTCGATGTTCAACTCTTCAGTTCGCGGGTTCAAGATCGACGAGATGGCATTCGGTCGGTGCGGGACAGGGTGAGCAGATACCGCTGGCGTTTCTTCTTGATCTAGCGAAGTTGCACTCCGGCTACGTTTCCTTGGTGATGGTGCGTTCGGCTGGGCATTTGACGGTGTGGGAAGTTTGTTGGGGTAGGACGTGATCGAAGCATTGTTGCCGTAGTAATGTGTGAAGTCGATGGCCAGAGGTCCTTTTGGTTCAGGCGTATAGTCCTCACGGGACTCAATAGCTGTTGAAGAGTCCGGCGATGCTGAATGTTCAAATGCCGGCGTCTGTGATGCGCGCTGTGGTGGTGAGTAGTCGGCGATAGATGGCGTGGCCTGAGAGCCGGTGTCGTTGGCAGGCACTATTCGTTTCCGCCGTTTGATTTCCTGCTTCTTCATGGCTACTGGACGATGCTTGTTGTGCAGCTTGTAGTATAATCCTGGTACCAAATTAGTGACTGATTGGATAGATGGTGCAAGAACACGACTTTCAACGTACCACAAGCGTTACATATTATGTGGCCAGCATCGTCTCGCCGCCACAGAGGTGTAATCGTGGTACCACAGTTTTGGCAAGCTGGAATTGCGCTCGTGGAAGCATTTCCATTCGGAAGACCCGTCGTAGCGTTATTGCCATTTGCACCATCAGTAGAGCCGCATCCCGATGCAGCCTGTGCCTGAGCTAAGGCAAACTTGGCTGTTTTCGAGACGCGGTTGTTGAACGCAGGGCAGCCGCTGCAGCCTTGCTGTCCACCAGTACCATTACATCTGCCACCACCGGGACAGGTACCGGCTGACATCTGATCGGCAGCCACATAAGTCGCGACCCGTGGAGAAGCAGCTAAATTACCAGGAGAAGTGCGGCCATTGTTTTCTTGGCTTGGTGCGGGACTTTGCTGGACAGGCACAATTGGCTGCGTGTTGGTGTTGCGCTTCAGATTCACTGGTCGGTGCTGATTTCGCGCCTTGAAGTACAGACCACACGCATTACAGATAGTCTCGCCGGTTGGTGATCGGCGCCACAGAGGCGTCTGCGTTGTCTTGCAGTTGCTTTGATGCATTAGCGTCTTGTGAGCTTACGCAGTTGTTGGCGGAGTGTTCTGATAGCCAGTGACAGGATTCAGAAAAGCAATTAGTGGACTTACCTGCAAACTTGCCCGGAGATAGGCGCATTCGCTCCTATGACACTGCCGGGGGGCAATGGCGAGGATGCTGAAGTCGCTGGCGTCGCTGGTCCCTCCAAAATTGGCTTTGCGTCTTCGAGTGAGTGATAAATCTCGGACCGCGCTTCACTAGGGGACGGAAGTGGTTGCTGTGCGTGTGGTGGTGTAGCTGTTCTTGTTACATGGTGGTCGTGGGCCTGGTTTAGACGTCGGAGACTCTCGGCCATCTCGAGCTCGTCTTTGCTAGCCTCTCGTGACATGTGGTGCGGATATGTTGGTGTTGGAGCAAGTGACGTGCCTCCACTTCCAGAAGGGTGCGCCATGGTCCTGCAGCTGCGTTGTCGAGAGGTGAGAGCTGATCTGGCACGCGCTTTTGGAGCGTCGTTGCCCACTGCTGCCTAGGGAAAGTACAGTGCTCTAGAGGATTTGAATGAGATTCCAGCGAGGCTCGGGGGTTTCGGCTTGAGCTGGACTTGATCTGATAAACCGGTAGCGTGATTGTGAGGACACCCAGGTAATGGTGGCGCCCAACGTGACTCGTTGTAATATGCGGGTCCCCGGGTCTTGGTACGTGGTGTTGATTAGGTGTGGCACAGAAGAGACCTCGGGACGTGGATGAAGTTTATGGAAGCCTCTTCAGCAAGGGAACCCGCCATGCAGTCTCGGGGCGCCGACCGTCATAACGCGCCGTGATCTGAATGCTTGGTAGCCTCGCCGATGCAGTACGCGGTCGGTCGATTATGAGAGCGGTGAACGGGCGTCAGCCAATCGCACCCTCGGCATTCTTAAGCAAAGTCACTAGCGTGGTCCCTGAATCAGACTGCCATCGACCTTTCACCATCACCACCGTTCAAGTCGGCAACGGTACCCAGCTTTGGTGATGAAATTCGTGATTCGTGTCGTGCCTGTCTACAGCAGGTACGGGCTAGCTCAGCGACCGGCAACTATCTCGACGTGGCGGCGACGAAAAAGTAATTCTTTGCTGCTATCATCTTCGGGCCAGTCGAGCCTTGCGGTCGGGCAAGCGTGGTCGCGGAAGCTGAGCCGGCTCGCCTCTCGCAACCAATTGGTAATGGTGTCTACTGCCCGCGTTTCGAGCACTGCGATTGCTTGGCTACCCAACGGGGCCCAATGATCGACCGTGATGCTGACCACCATCTGATTGTCTCTGGGTTTCGTCCGCATGGCAGACTGACGCAATGCTCGTCAGCAACTCAATCAACTCGGCCGGCACGAAAAACCGAGCCAAATTCTCCGAATCGATCCACTAGGATTCTGCAAGAACCGGCAGTCTGTCTTCGGTCCATGCATTGCGGACACTAGAGAAGCGAGCGAGCACGTGAGACAGGTACCTGGAGCATTGATATTCTCTAGGTAAAGACGAAATCATACAAAGCTTTCGTACATGCTTTTCACAGCAATCGCTATGAATCGCTATCCAAGACATCCCAAATGCACTCAACGTGTGCACTCTTGAAACAAAGACCGTAGTGTAACTTCTGCACGGGCAGACCATAACATCAGCATGCGTCTCCACTGTCTACCTCCTGGCCTTTACCAACTGCCACTATCAAAGGCCGAAACGTATGATGGTATAATAGATATGAAGGGTTCAACAACCGCCATCCTCCATTGCTAGATTGGAAGCTTAGACTTGCTCCGCACCCCATCCAGCATCGGCATCGCTACCACAGGAGTCAGTATGGCAAGTCTGATGTGCAGGATGTCAAACGTACCGCATGTTCGCCGGAGGCTCAATTGAGGGTACAAACTCGAGAGCAGCGTATCCAATGCCGACAATGCCAACAAGGGTTCCTGGCACAATGCGGAACCACTTCTCGCCGACAATGACGGAACCGATGAAGATGTAAACTGATGTTATGAGCTCTTGTCGCAGCACTGGGATATGGTATGGCTTACAAACACCACGTCCAAGGAACGAAAACATAAAGGAAGCATAGCGAGCAACCTGCTGAGGAATCTGAAACTCGAGCAAAGCGGTGCCTAGCCTCAAGTTAGCATGCCATACTGCGACGTTTGGAGACAAGACCTACCAAGGCCGAATATTATCAAGTAAACACCGAGAATGATATGCGAGCTGGAACAAAGGTCAGCGTTTGCGCGTACGAACAGCTACCGTCTCTCGCCCCAAGGTACGCTCGACACTGAATCGCTCTGGCTCGCTATTCGCAACGCCCAATTTCTCGCTCACGATTTGCGCAATCTTGAGAGCTTCCTGCATCGACGTACGCGACGCATGGCTTCATATCGTATGCGGAAGCTCTAAAAAGTTGGAACACGTATGCGCGCCCGGTCCGAACCAGCTTATTGGCCCTGGCATATGCGACCAAGCTTCGATGCGATATGATGCGCGTACGGTGTCCTGAGAACGGATCTCGACTCGACGGGAAGGAATTGGCTTCGAGCGCCCGGTGCAAACTCACAAATCATTGAACGGCAATAACTTTGCAACACCGCCAAGGACCATGAACACAGCGACGGCGAAGTTCACCATGCGACTATGCAATTGTTAGCCCAAATCCCAATAGCTACTGCCTAGCTTCCACCGCGACGCAGCTCTCAGTTTTCCACTCACAAGATATCGGAGAAGTCCATGGCGGGCGAATTGGCGAGATGTGGGAACCGCAGCTTGACGACTACAAGAGAGGAAAAGATGTGGGATGGGAGAAATGGACAGTTGGAGATTTGGACGTGTGAGGGTTGTTGGTTGCGCAAGAGGTCTGGTAGCGGCTAGCAGCCAAGGGAGCTAGGGGCTTGAAACGTCACTGCTTGGCGACGCGTGGGGCGCAGTCCCGAGGTCGCGACCCTGGCATCTCAACGTCTCGATCAAATGGCGATGCTAATCTAACGACGACATGGAAAGTAGTTGGATGAGCATGGAGCAGATTGAGATAAACATACTATTGGATACTAGGCTTCGACACCTTTACAAGCTTTCTTTCGTCACTCGATCTTGCAAGCTCGAGCATATACCAACACAAGCCAAGAATCAACCTACAGCATCGCTTCGTATCTTCATCATTTTCATAAGCATTTATCCACACACTTCTATCCTCCACCACTACGCAAACTCATACCTCCCCTGCATCCCATTCACTTGCCACGTTTCCCACTTCTCCTACATCCACCACACTTGTATCAACTCGAATCGTAGCATCCTCAAGCTCGTACAAGGAAGAAGAACTGATGCAGTTGCCTTCATGGCTCTGTTTGAGAAAGAGAAAGCGCTCTATGTACGGAGGTGCTTGTCTGAGTGCGATGACCGGACGGCGACGTGAGTTGGTGTGCAGGACGCAACGCGTTGTGTTGGATGAATCTGGCATCTTGGAGGCGATGTGGGGAGGAGGGAGATTGGTTGGAGGCGGGTGCTTGATGTGATTTGATGTGAACTACAGAGTCAAGTTTAGGTAGGAAAATATCTCTACCCGTGAATGCCAATGCGAATGTTTTCCTATACCGATTCCGTACATGTGATCCCATCACTTGAAGACAGTACCGTAAAGCCATACCATAGTCACACACCCAAATTCCGTGTCTCAATGTCCACACAACACCAGTACCACCATACAAATCTTTCCCCTAAACACACCCACCCCCCCAGACCTAATCGATCACAAAAAACAAACATGCCATATACAATCCACATCCCCGCCCCCTACCAAATGCGCACCAACATCCTTCAAACCTTGCACACCACCACCGTCGCCAGGATCGACATCGGCATCGCGGCCCCCGTCTCCATCGCCATCTACAACGACACCAAGGCCTGGGGCTGGAACGTGTCTTACACCCCACTATCCACCTACGGCCCGGGAAAATGGGAAGCCTACCGCGCCGTCGCGCACCAAAACGGCTGGTTCAATGATCTGTGGCTCATATGGCAGCGCGAGCACTGGTTGCGGATTAAAGCCAAGGATAAGTCGATGCGGACTGTTGAGCCAGGGTTGGTAAGAGGGTTGGCGAGGTGGGTTAGACATGCGCATGGACGCGCGGAAGAAAAGCCATGGAGGAAGTTGAGATTGGTGCAGAGAACCATTGAGGGCGTGCAGAGAGTGAGGGCGGCGACGTATGGGAGGAGGTTGATGAGGAAGGCGAGCGAGGGGGATTTGAAGGGAGGTGGTGTTGAGGCAGAGGTTGAGAGTTTGACGGGGAGTTTGGTGGAGAGGTTGGATGCGTTTAGGTGGGGGAGGGAAGTGGAGGGTGGTGTGAAAATGATGGGGAACGAAGAAAAGACGGTCGAAGATGAGAAACAGGCGTCAGAAAGCCAGTCACCCTTCTCTGACAAGTACGCTCTTTCAACAAAGGAATGGTACGAATGACACCAGTAAAAAATTGTATCGATGCTTTCACATTTCATAATCGTTCCTTTCGCACATCTATATATACAACGGTATGCATCAAGTCATGTCGCATTTCTGCGACACGAGAGTTGCTAAGCAGTGACCGTAAGTTCTATTAGAATGCCAAAAGTGTCGCTAGCCACAGACGCTGTGTCTGAGATGTAGCATTACTGCTTCCTGTTGTTCCTTTTTTTCACGCTGGAGTATCATCGCTCAGTCTTCCCATTCAGGGTTCTGCGCATGTGTTAGCATTGTTTCCTTCAATAAGTCATATAGGATGACATACCTTCCGCAGTATGACCACGCCCTCCAATACATTTGTCAGACTCAGGTACTTCTCATCTTCCAACTCGGCCCTCTCGCCATGTGCCAGCAGCACTGGTGTACTCTGTGTCTGCCATCCAGTGATGGTCTTCGGTCGACCAGCCTGGCCGACAATGTCCACGGCCTGACCAACACGGACGTTGACGGTCAGCGGCTGAAGGTCCTCATCGAGGGTGATGAGGAAGCGTGGCGCCATGGCTGTCGCCAGGTAGTACAGGAGGTAATGTGAGTCACCAGCAATGAAGCTCTTAGCATCAATGAGAGAGACCAGAACGGTAAGCAGACCCGCGGCCGCAACACGGGACAGGACTTGTCGGTCGGTGTGGAAGGGGCTCACGGTGAGCGTACCCTTACCCATGTGCAGTAGACCCTGAGCAATGCGCACCATGAACAAAGCGTTGGGGTCGCGGTGGTAATAGCTGGCCAATTGGCGGAGGAGCTGGGCGAGACGAGCGTTGTTGGTTCCAGCACCGCAAAGACCCATGGCAAAGATGGCGTTGATGGCAACATCGTTGTCATTGTCGTGAGAGTATCTCGACAGAGTGTCGTAGACCTTCATCTGTGGGTTACTGGGGCTGATGAGACCAAGCGCAAGAGGCACAGCTTTCCGAATGTTGGCTTCGCCGTAGTGCATGAGGTGGCCCAAGGTGCGGAGAATCATGTCCTGACCGACATCCTCACCCATTGCGACGAGCGACAGACCGATGACGGCGTATGACTGAAGGAGCTCGTCGCCCTTCTTCTCCTCGCTCTCATCCTCGATGTGCTCGTTGCAGATGTGCAGCAGTTGCTGAATCTTCAACACAGCACCAGTACCTGCCCAAGCACAGACCTCAGTCAACACTGATGCAGACTTGGCGGCGGGGTGGTCGAGCGCCTTTAGTGTCTCGAGAATGACGTCGACCTCCTCTTGCTGGCCGAAGAAAAGAAGTGCGAGACCAAGCGCCATGAAGCGAGTCCACTTGTCCTTGAGCTGCTTTGATCGGTCCTCGTCCAGAAGAGTGTTCATCAGCGCAGCCGTGACCTCGCCATTTGCTGATCCAACGAAGATCATACCGAGAGACAAGGCGGCCATGGCCGAAAGTTGCATGTCAAGACTAGTATCGCTGACGATTGGTAGAAGAACTTCGAGAAGCTCCTCCTTGTTCGACCCAGCGTATGCCAATCCGAGACCCATAATAGAGGCAAGGCGAATTTGCCTATCCTTGGACGAAATGTTGTCCTCGTCGCCCAAAAGAGCCAGAGCCGGATCCGAGTCAAGACGGACACCAGTGTTGAAGATACCCGTTGCAAGCATGGCACCGGCCTTGACGGTGTTGTCGTCGACGCCAGTGTAGGGGTCAATCTTGTCAAGACCAGTCTCAACGTCCCAAAGCAAAAGCATACCCAAGGAAGCAGTCGTTGAAAGCATGCCCTCCTCCTTCGTCTTCCACACCCAGCTGCTCTTAGCCTCGGCGTTGAGCATGAGAGTGTCGTTGCCGTAACCAGTGTTGACGAACGCATTTACAAATGCCGATGCGAGATTGTGCCTAGCAGAGTCGGTATTTGTAAGCCCTGCTGTCCTGCTGCTTTCGAGATGTGTCTTGTAGATGTCATCGGGAGTCTTCGGGTCCAGAATGTTGAGCTCCTTGCCCAGCGCCTTGTAGTAATCCGGTAACCGCGTGTTGTTCATGCAGTCTTGGAGTTCCGGGTCATCGTCCTCGGACACATCAAGCCATATCCGCTGTCGCGCAATGAGGAACGCCATTTGTCTCCTGATCGCCTTGTCCTTGGTCGAGTTGAACACCTCCTCGATCAAGTCGCGGTCGTTCAGGCGTATCGCCAAAGCTACCGCCTGTGTGTATTGCTTGTATTTGCGGTAGACCTGGTAGACGGTTCGGAGGAACTTGTCGTTGTCGGGGTATGTGAGGAGCGGCACGTTGCTGACCATGTACAAGCATACTCGCGCATATGTGTTCTCGTCGATGTACTGCTCGATCTGGTCAATCATCTCCAGCTCAGACAGAATGTCAACAGCGTCAGCCTCAGCATTGTGCTTCAAGAAGAAGGGAACGAGGTTGGACGCGAGGTCGGTGATGTCGTCTGTTGACTTGTCTTCGTTCAGCCGGTTCTGGTACTCTCTGCCGATCTCGAGAGCAAGATGGCGCATGTACTCGTGACCCCACGAGCCGAGATCCGTTGAAGGAGCTTGTAGGCGGTACTTCAAGCAGTCGAGGCGCTCTTCGTCGGAGTACGTCATGCCGAGGACGGAGAGCATGTCGGCGAACGATTGCTGCTATTATCAGTCTCCATTGGATTATACCGGTCACGCCACGCACCTTGTTCTCGCCTTCGGGCCATGACGCATACTGCTTCTCGAGGCTCTCGTAGTGTGGTCGGAGGAACTTGAGCGGCTTGGGTACTGCCGTCATAGAACTCGTCGATGTCTTGATGAAGTCCTTGATCTGGTCGAGCGCAGGCTTGTACAGGCTTTTGTCGGATTCCTAGTGAACGCAATGTCAGCTCGAGCTCAAAGATACAAGATGTCTTCCATGTCAGTGGCTTACCAATATCCGCTCGACTAGCATGTCCAGCTCGCTCTTGAGTTGTTGGTCTTCCTCGCTGAGCTCCTCTGCAGCTTGCTGTCAGTATTTGGACCTCATGGTGTCACGTTGCAGCTGTCCCGCAGGCGAATCATACCTGTGGCTGTCGCAACACCCTTCTTGTCGTCCTCAACCTTGCCATCCTTGCCGGTCTTCGCGTCCTTCTCTGCATCGCCATTTACTGGCGCCTTGCCCTTGCCCTTCTCAGCGGCGGTGGGCTTCTTCTCGTCGTCCTTCGCCATGTTGGTTACAAGTGATAGCTAGGGCAAGCGGCGAAGTGGGTATGTATGACGGCGGGGAATAGCGGTATCGATTACAGAGGGTGGCGTGAACTCCTTGGTCGAATTAGAGAATGAGAGCAGACCACCGAAATGTATGCGGGAGTGGTGGATGATGTGTGGGGGCGTGTCGTGGGATTGTTGTCGATGAGGCAGCTCTGCAACTGCACCTCACGTCCGGTCGGCGCCAAGCTTCCACCCGCCGATCACCAGCGGCGGCGAGCTCAGACTTTCTCGAGCCCGCCAAAATAATTCATTCACCCACCCGGACCCCTGCGAAAACAGCCAACACGACGCTCGAAGGCTTCGAAATACCGCCAATATGAAGCTGAACGTCAAGAATATCCGCTATCTGAGCCCAGATGACTGGCGCGTCCTCACTGCGGTATGCGCCCGCACTCATCTTTCCATCGCATAGCGGGGAACTAACGCTGATGGAGACCATGACAGACAGAAATGGGCAGTCGGAACCATGAAGTCGTGCCCACACCGCTGATATCGCAAATCGCCTCACTAAGATCTGGAAACGGCGTACACAACTGCATATCCAACCTCGCGAAAATCGGCCTCATCGCCAAAGTCAAGAATGCAAAGTACGACGGCTACAGACTGACATATGGCGGACTCGACTACCTCGCTCTCCACACACACACCAAGGGCTCCGTCGTCTACTCCGTCGGCAATCAAATCGGCGTCGGCAAGGAATCCGACATCTTCGTCTGCGCCTCCGAATCCGGCAGGCAACTCGTCCTCAAGATCCACCGCCTGGGCCGCATCTCCTTCCGCACCGTCAAGGCCAACCGCGACTACCTGCGCAACCGCCAGTCCGGCTCATGGATGTACATGTCGCGCCTCGCCGCGCTCAAGGAGTACGAGTTCATGAAGGCCCTGCACAGAGAAGGCTTCCCCGTACCCGAGCCCGTCGGCCAGAACAGACACACGGTTATCATGGGCCTCGTCGACGCCTTCCCTATGCGCCAGATCTCCAAGGTCGGTGACGCATCTACGCTCTACGCCGAACTGCTCGCGCAAATCGTGCGTTTCGCGCAGTACGGCCTGATACACGGCGACTTCAACGAATTCAACATCCTGGTTGAAGAGCGTGACCAGCCCGACGGTACCGTCTCGCTCATCCCCACAATCATCGATTTTCCGCAGATGGTCTCGATCGACCATGCGAATGCCGAGTACTACTTCGACCGCGACGTGGCGTGTATCAAGCGCTTTTTCGATCGCCGCTTCGGCTTCACGAGCGACGAGCCTGGGCCGTTCTTCAAAGACGCTATAAAGACAATCACAAAGCGGCTGGATGTCGAGGTCCAGGCCTCGGGCTTCAGCAAGAAAATGGCAAAGGAGCTGGAGGTGTACATGAAGGAGCACGGTATCGACGGCGATGCAGGCGAGGCCGGGGTGGAGAGGGAAGACGGAGACGACGTCGAAGCTGAGGAGGTAGAGGCAGAGGCAGAGGCAGAGGTCGAGGCAGAAGACCTTGCTCCCGAAGATGGACCCGTTCAGCCGCCAGCAGACGAGCAGACGCCCTCGGTCCTCGCGCACCAAATGACTATTCTAGACATTCGCGACACTGACCCTCTGCCCGATCTCAGCGAAGTCAAGCCTCCGCCTCAGCCTACCATCTCCACAAAAGCCGCGAAGAAAAAGGCCGGGTGGGCCATCTAGAATGTCATTGCTTTGATGTAGCTGTCTTCTTTTCTCCCATGATACCCACGCTTCCGCGCTGCTGGAATGTAGCCAAACAAAAGTTAGACCATTGTAGATGAGATACAAGTATAAATGTCGCGATGCTACCTTGCTATGAATCAATCTCGTATGTCAGCCTTTGTCTTGAGCTTATCCCTCGGTGAATTTCCCCATAGCCACGTCGTCAGCATGCGTCGACGGCGTTAGTTCATGGCACAGCAGAAGTACAAGGGTAATTGGAGCATTGCCATGACTCGACAGGCACGTTAGCAAGCAAGCCAGCAAGGTACAGGAAGCACAAAGCATGAGTCGAAAGAAGATGTATTATACGAAGAACTATCGAACCTGTGAGAAATCCGCCCATAGACCTTTTGACCGTAGCCACCATTTTTGAAACTGTTCACCATCGATGAAAGAAATGCTGTATAGTCCGTTAAGATTGTCTGCACCGCTCTTACGTCCAGATATTAACAAATGTACTTAAGATGATGTAAGAAAGCCGACCAAGGACGATGGTGGCGACGAACGAAGAACATGAGACGAAGAAGGATATGTTCAAATGGCCGCCGACCAAGAACAGTGTTTTGACGGGCAAGAACTTCAAGGGGAGTCGTGAGCAAGTATCGGAGTAATGACACAGGAGACGGAAGCCTAGGTCAAATACTGTCGTGGAATGGTGAGATAGAGGAGTGGCCATGCTGCAGAGAGCAGTGTGCTGTACGTGATAGCATGCTAGGCGGTATATTATCGGGTGATGTCAAGACAGTTTCTCGAGAGGATGTGGTTGGTGGATGCTGGAGAAGCGATCTTGAAGAATAAGCGTACACGAAGACGAAGCGGCGAGTTGAGCGAGAGGACTCGAAAGCTCAAGAAGGGCGAACCTAATCCTCGCGACCGGTGGTGGAAAGGGCCTCGACCTTAACGGGTGTCGCGGGGTTCGTCTGAACACCGCCACCGTTCTCGGAAACACCGTCGTCACTCTTCAAAGCTCCAGCTTGGCTCATCTGGTACATGGTTGGGCGGGCGGTACCAAGCGTGGAAGGGACGGTGGGGGCCCAAGGAGGTCGGTAGCCACGCTGCATGAACATCTCGAACTCGTTGGTACCGTTCTGGGAGACCGGCGAGATGGACTGGTAGCGGTCAGGCGTGCCCAGTGCCCTAGCCTGGGCAACACCGACTTCGTACTCGGCGGCACGAAAGACACGACCGGCGGCAGTCTGCTGCTTGAGCATCTTCTGCTCATGTGTGTCGGAGAAGCGGATCTGGATGAGGTGCTCTTCGCCACCGGGTTTCGAAACAGCCTTGTTGTTGTAGTCACGGATCACGTCGTCGCAGATGTCCCGAGTCTCGAAACTGGGCAGGTTAGCATGAAGGTACAGGGACTGTGGATAGGTGATGCTCACCGAGCGAAGCCGACGCCACGACCAGTGCCTGAAGAATCGCGGAGGATCCTGCTTGAGCAGACCTTGTGAGGAGCGAAGATGCTAGCGAGTTCCTGTGTGAAGTCAGGAAGTATGGTCAACAACGTAATGAGAAGTACTGACATGCTCGTTGAAGTTCTTGGGGATATTTGAGACGTAGAGGTTGGTGTTGCACTCATCGGAGAACTTCTTGAGCTTGGAGTAGAATGATTCCTGATGATGGTCAGCACGGTGAAGTTGATGCGACGGAAGGTGCGACGGCTTACCCGAGCGAAGCTGACCTCGTAGCCAAGGTAGTGGAAGCCGCGGATACAGTCCTCGGCGTCTTCGAAGTTGTGGTACTTGATGAACCCAAAGCTGTCAGTGTGTTAGCATGATGTTGAGGGCAGATACTCAAGTAGATGGGCTCACCCCTTGCACAGCTGGGACTTGTTGTCGATAATGGACTTGGAGCTTTGAATGTCACCGAAGCGCTTACCCCAGGCCTGGAGCATCTCGTCGGTTGTTTCTGGCAGCAGGCCTCGGATGTACACGTTGGTCTCGCCAGTCTTGTTCTCAAGGCTCCGATCGAGCGGCTTGTGAGGCGAGCTCGGGGCAGGGATGGCTCGCGGGATGCCAGGCTCCTGATGAACCAGGGCAAGAAGCTTGGGAGGAAGCTGGGGCATGCTCTGCTGCTGCTTCGCCATAGGGGCCATCAGCTGGTAGGGATGGGCCAACGATGACGGCGAGGGGGTTGCGCTGCTCGTGTATACTGCGCTCGGCGAGCGGTCCATGATAGTTGCACCAGCGCCATAGCGGTACATGCCACCGGTGCTGCCGTATGGGGTGCCGGGGATGTCGTTTTCGTTGGAAGAGATCGAGTCGCGACGAGGAGTCATGAGCGACGGCATGTCGCCAGTAGGCATGCGCCCTGCCCAGCCTGGTGGCATAAGGTTGTTGTCGACGGCCTGGCCATACTGGTAGGAGGTGTGAGGGACGTAGGCAGTGGTATGATTGTACATGTTAGGTGAGGGAGTCATGCCGGTCTGCTGCTGGCCACCAGGCATCATCTGGTAGATGTTGCCGAGGACGTGCTGGTTAGGGACCCAGAGGCTCTGACCCTGGAGCTGGTGGACGTTGTTATACTCGGAGGAGTTGCCCGACATGCCCGAGACAGCGGACTTGGAGGTCGAGGTTGATCCGTATGAGGCGTGCATGTTGAGAGCTGCCAAATTGTTCGTCAGACTCTGCATGTTCGGCTCACCGTTGGGAGACATGGGCAGACCTCGAGGAAGGTACTGGTTTGCTCCATGACCCTGGCCGCCGCTGTAGTTGTTGTGCATGTTATGTCCCTTGTATCCGGCGTTGGGCTGCGCGTAGTTCTGGCGGGGGTTGGACGTCATCGTGAGGTCTGGGTTGCCACTGACTTGATGAAGAGTGGGAGCGAGGTGGATGATTAGAGACGAGAAGACCTGGCGCTGGCACAGGTGCTGGTCGAGGGGAGGAAGTAGGGGCTGTAACTCCGTAGACGCTCAAGGCTGGTGGAGGGTGCGGGCTGATTGAGATGCAGAGAAGAACGTTGCTCTGCGGCGAAAAATCAGCTTTTATCCTCAGGAGGCCAAGGTGCAATTGCGGTGGCTAGAGTGGTGATCGGTGATGGTGAGGAAGCTGGGTTTGCACAAGACGTGCGGGAGGAGGTGGGGTATGAGCCATGAAGTGAAAGGGACGACGGGCACAGAGCGGAAGGTGAAGACACGCTTACCGAGCCGTAAATGTCAAACTTTGCAAGTGTGCAGGACAGGTAGTGACTCCAAAGCTGCAGCAACGTCAGTCTCAGAGCAGGCAGGGTGGCAATGATACAGGCCACTGACCTGCGAAAAGCTACAAAGAATGTGGCCACTGATGCGTATTGGTGAGAAAGAAGTGGTGTGAAGAAAGAGTGAGGTGAAGAGAAGAAGAGACGGAAGAGGGACGCAGGCGAGGCAGAGAAATAGTGCTCGGGGGCGGCGTTCCGGTGTCGCTCATGGGGAAGGAGCACTCGTGAGAATGTTTTGGTGGAGTTGAGAAGTGCGGCAGGTGTACACGAACGGCAGCCTCGCCCACCATTCAGGAAGCCACGAAGCGGAAATAAGGTACCGGAGGAGAGAGCTCACCTTTTGTAAGAATTCAAGCGGCAGGTGTAGTAGTGGATGAGAACGATATCAATTAGCAATCGCGGAGTTGGTGCTATCCAAGTCGCGCCCCGTCCTTTCGTCCTGTCGCGTATATGGCCGGCCGTCGTTTTATGTAATGTTACTGGAGAACTGTTCTGATAGAGATGTCGATATGGTGTTTGCGGAAGAAGCTGCAGGAACTGTACTGCTTGCTCGCTGCAGTGGGCGAGGCACTCCTTTAATATCTTCGAGTGCATGTCAGTCTGTACGAGCCAGGGATGCGCGTCTTGAAAGCTGCACATGGATTTGGACGTGCGAGCTTGCATCAGTCGTGCACCTCTGCCCGCATCCGCCTGCCGGCCAAGCCTGTTTAAGACGGGCGTGTAGCACTCTCGAGACGACGAGGCGCTTCTGTCGGCCGCGAGGCTTCTACTTCTGGCGGCTTGCTCCCCTCAAAAGAAGCGGATGCGGCGACGTTACCCTTGCAGTAGGGCTGAACCAGCAATTGCGTCAGTCAAATTTGAGTGATCTCCGAGTCTTCTTTGTGGATGCGCGAGCAGGGTTTGGCGTTCGTCTTCGCGTCCTTCGGCGTGGGCAGCCGTGTGGTGAAGACTCGACCTGTCGTTTTCTCGACTTTGACCGCACCTCAGCTACCGGGTGCCCGCAATGACCACATCCGAGCCTGACGGGGTGCATAACTGTGTTTGAAGTCGGACGTACCTGTAATATGGTAGTCAGGACGTACAGACACTTATAGTGAGCCTTGACCCAGTCATTCACCACTGGGAACAGCCTAGCACATAGGTACGTTGGCGCGCCTTGTGTCTCCCGCAACAAGCCGGCGCAGTGCAGCGAGTGGCACGTCGCCTTCAATGGGCGAGGCTTCGAGTCGAATGTGCGATTCCGGTAGCCCCACACCTCAACGTCGAAGACGCCTCTCAAGCGACAATGAGAAGGGTCCACAAGCCGCAGCCGCGCTACAAGCCGAACTTGCTGTTCCTAGTTGGCTGAGAGAACTTCTCTGTCACGACTGCAACGGTAATGCAGAAGCAAGGGATTGCGTCAGTGCCTTGTCAGGCTATCCCAGCGACTCAACCCATGAAGTGTTACTTCCACGAACGACATCGCTGTTGGACGCTTCTTGTGCGAGTTGCGACCTGATCTTGTAGAGATGGGTTGGGCATTGGGTTGCGAAGCAGTTGCCTGTGTCAGACTCGCGGTGAGCACATGTAAGAACAAGAGACAGGCGACTAACCAAGACTGCTCCATTAGTACTCGGCAAACGGCCATATGAGGCCTCGCCTGCTTTGGAGTACTACAGATCTCGCTGAAAAGAGAGCAGACCGCTTCCCTCGCGTGCTCTGTGGGCGCAAGCGCAGTGATTACCGTGTCGCATATAATGCTACGCAGCTATCCGCAAATCTGCTCGCCTGCTGAAACGGGACTGTAGGTTTGATAGAGGTAGCATGCCGTACCAACCTGGCGGTGCGAAAGGCACTCACTTGTATCCAGAGCCAGTGATTGTGTTGGGATCAATGGGTCCAAGTAAAGGTGGCGTAAGATCAGAAAGCCATTTGGCTGTTGTCACATGGCTCCCTGGCAATGTCAGGCATGCTGTGCACTGTTAGGCGCCGGGAAATTTCCCCACCGTTTCCTGATACATCAGCCTGCCCTTTGTATTCACATAGTGTGGCAATACCTCGCTGTGACCCTAGTGCTGTTACCTCACCTCACCTCAAACCAGGACGTCGGAAGACATCGCTACCACACATTATCTGGACTCAGGAGAGCTGTGGCCGTTCGGCTTCGAGTCGCTTGCAACCCGCATTCCCGATGTCGTACAGGACAGATGCGCTTTCGCTAGATTCGTGTCAGCCTCGCCAGGGTCTCATGCCCTAGCAGCAACTTTTGGGTATTGCCCGGGTGACTGGTGGATCAATGTGGACAGACTCTGTCGGAAGATGACAGAGGCTGTAGTGGCGCCATCTGAGAGGGATTTTGCAGCCGTAAGAATACAACTTAGTCTATCCTGCAGGGCCTGGGTGAGTTATGAAGTGTGCTCCATGTTGGTAAAAGCAGTGTGGATAGACATCAGTTCGCCTTGCAAGTCAACAAGTTCGGCTGAATCTGCTGTGACGTCGCCGGAGACTGTATTTGACAAACACGCGGTGTAGTTAGAATGGTTTAGAGCCATGTGTGTCTATATGATGCCGGCATCTTGATTGAAAACTGCTGCAGCTCTCCCGAGGTCGTGCCATTCTGTCGGTAACGCTGATCGTCCCCGGAGGGAGCTCGAAATAATCTCAAGGTGGGTTCTGCATGCTTGAACCGAGTCTAAATAAATGCGAATGTAGCAGATTGACATGAATGCGATGCACGTTGTTTGTCGATATCGGAGAGTCTCTAGGTAGATGACATTGCGCGGTGAAGCATAGGTGCGGATGTCGGAGGTTTATCACCCACTAGTGGAGAATGCGTCTATCACCGCAGGCTTCACAGCATTAGTCCAGGCAACAATGCGTGCGTCTCGACATGCAGATTTTTGCGAATGCATGTTTGATCGAATCCAAGTCTGTGTCGCACTCATTTGATATTACGAGTTGAATCTATGCGGGATCTACATGTTGCAACTAGAGAAGGAAAGATTTACCAGGCGGTATAACAGAGTCGCTGCAAACCAAAGCGATCACGCTCTTTCGATGCCACGAAGCAAACGCCGCGCTTCGCCCAATTCTATCCCTGAAATGCCGAACAAATTGCTGGTGGTGGAACTATGACCACACGTCTTCTTGGTACTGGTTGGACGCTCTCATTGCCTTGACAATCTCCTCGCCCTTGGTTTCTGAGACGTCGCGGTACTTGGCAATAATCTTACCGAGCAGAGTGTTGACCTCGCGAGCCATATGCGCTGCGTCACCGCACACGTAAAAGTAAGCTTTTTGCTCGAGCAGCTTGTTGACCTCCTCGCCATACTCCTCGATTTTGTTCTGGACGTAAACCTTCTTGGGTCCGTCTCGCGAGAAAGCGGTATGCATCTCGAATTTATCGCCGAGATCCTCCTTATATTGCTAGAAAGATGTTAGTAAATTGCGTCAGGAATGCATCGTGTGTGACTTACCTTCCACTCGTTCGCGTACATGAAGTCCTCGCTCTGTTTCCTGCAACCGAAGAACAGAATAGTCTTTCCGACGTTCTGTCCAGCTTTCGCTTGGGCGGCACGCTCCTGGACAAAGCCGCGGAAAGGTGCCACACCAGTACCAGGGCCAACCATAATAATTGGCTTAGATGGATCCGATGGGAGCTTGAAGTTCGAGTGCCGTACATGTACAGGAACGTGAATACCGTCGTACTTGTTGCGAGGGCCAGTGATTGCGTAGTTCAAGCCGTGAGGATCCGGGTTCGGGTCACCGTGCTGCTTCTGCTTCAGAGCCAGGAGGTAATTGGTGGTCACACCCTTGAGAACATGCGGCGCGCCAGGCTTCTCCAGCGATTCAACGATGGCAGTAATTGAGACCTTGTTCTTCTGGACGAACGATGAAGAGGAGATAGAGTAGTAACGCGGCTGGATCTTGACAAGACCTTCGAACAGGAACGAAAAGGGAATCTTAGACCAGGTCTGACCTTTGCCAGCGATTTCAAGCAGCTGTGCCAAGTTGAGGTTGCGGTCCGCCACATGCTCCTTAAAGTAGTCTTTGTCACTACCAAGCTTAACCATCTCAGCCTTGATCTCTTCAGTTGGGGCAAATTGAGCAATTGTGGAAACCAATTGACGGGAGACGGCGGCGCCAATCTCGACGTGGTAGCGGATAGCAGCGTCGTAGGTAGTAGGCGATGGGAACGGGACCTTGGCAGTGGGATCGAGACCCTTGACAGTGATAACGGTGTGGCGCTTGTCTTCCTTTCCGAGGACCTTGAAGACGCGGTCAACTTCCTTGCCAGCGTTGTTGGGCCAGATAGCGATGTGGTCACCAGTGGTGTACGATAGGTTGGAGCCAGTGATGTCGATCTCCATGTGAAGGCAGTTCCTTTCGGCTGTGGTGAACAATTCGTAGGACTCGACAATGGGGGCAATGTAAGGGTTGTTGGCGTTGAAGGGGCCCTTTTGGTTGCCCTCCAGGTGGTTCTTGTTTGGCTCGCCAAGATAGACGGTATCGTCCTCGGCGCTGAGCTCCGGCTTCTCGGTGACCTCGAAGACAGGCTCGTATTGGGCCTCACGCTCCTCGAGGCCCATCTTCTCTGCGACGGCAGTCCACATGGGCTCCTTCCATGCGAGGAAGTCCTCTTCCATGGTACCAGCACCATCGTCACCCTCACCAGCGTCACCGAGTCTGTGTGCGCCAAGCCTTGTCAAGTATTTGTCCACATTGCGAACCATGGAGTTGTAGTGCTCGTACGTGTTGTTACCGAGACCGAAGGCGACGTAGTTGAGCTTGCTGAGGGGCTTGTCGTCGGCGCTGCCACCTTCGCTGAAGCTGATGTCCTCCGACCCAATAAATTCGTAGAACTCGACGGCGTTGTCGGTGGGCTCACCCTCGCCATAGGTTGCGAGAACAAAGATGGCGAGTTTGTCTTCGGGCAGCTGGTCCAGATTGTCAAAGTCGTACTCCTCCAAATCTGCGACCATGGTCTTGAGGCCGAAGCGAGAGTGGCCCTCCTTGGACAGACGGGATGCATAGTCCTCGGCAGTACCGGTCTGGCTGCCATAGAAGACAACGCAGTTCTTGTCCGTCTCCTCCATCTTCTCGATTATGTTCCGGGACTTGCCCGCCTTGGCCGCGCCGTTGGCGTTCGCCAGCGAGCTGCCGTACGGGTCGCCATAGACTGCCCAGTATGTCCCTTTGGTGAAGTAGGCAACGGTTCCGAGCAGGAGAGCGGCCAGGACAACAATGTCCAGGGTGTCGAGCTGCGCCATTGTGAGAGCGGTCCAAGGGTAGATTCGAAATTCACAGAGGGGTCGTGCGATCTGAACACTGTAGGCGGTTCCTCCAGAAGCGGGCAAGCGGTGTAATATTTGTATGCGGGTGGTGGAGAGCGGACGATCGGTCGAATCAGGTGGCCGTGCGTGCACCTCTCCTGTATGTTGAGTGCTTATCGTCTGATGTGTGCGGCTGGCGGGCGGTCTGTAAGTTGAGACTGGTCGGAATCGATGCAGAATTCTCTTCTACGTTTGTCTACTCATAATGTGTCACAATGCACTGCCGCGACGTGGCTAAAAGTGTTGCCGTCACTATCTGCCTTTGCCGCTGGGTTTGACCGCTGAGTCGCCGGCTCGGGAGAGATTCGGAACACTTTCCGCCCTGCTCGAGCACGTGAAGTTTGCAGGCGACCCCACACCGAAATTGACTTGAGCGTTTGGGTGGAGACGACAAAAGTCGTGCGAACACGGAAGACGGGTATGGGATGCACCGATGGAGGCAGTCTTGCAACTTTCGGAACCCGCGGGAGCCTTCTATATATATGTGCTCGTAAGCACCGCCAACATGGCAACATGCGCTCGACGCAGCCTTTGAGCCCGTCAGCAGCATCGGAGATGCTGTCTCGACGGTTGACTACTGGTCGCGTCACCCGTCTGCCATCCTCTAGACACAGCCTTGCTTTGCGTGTCGGACAGCTTGTGATGCCGAGAGGCTGGCGCCGAGGTGAGGTTTGTCCGGGATCTCTGTCTTTACCCATAGCCAAGTGCTTCAGCCCCACGTAGTGTCAACGACCATGCCCAATGCTGTCAGTGTATGGACCCTGATCTGACGACGTCTTGACGAGAGATTGTGTATCTGTGTTACATGTCTGCCATTGTGCTGTGAGCCACACGTGTCTGTTGACGGCCTGTCGTGGCATGCGAGCATTCTGATGCCAGAAACTGTCGGCCTTCGCTTGGGCTTTATTCACCTGCAGTACACAGACCTACAAACCACAATACATCAGCATAACTTTCACGCACTGGTTGGTCGCCTCCGTATCTCCGCGTCTTCCTCTTCCTCTTCCTCGATGTCAATGTTTGGTGTCCCGCACGTGTGATGCAGCAATCAATTAAATCTCCGCTAGATCTCCAGCTGCCGCGCGCCCAACGGGGACCAAAAGAAGATCCGGACCGATGCGGACTAGCACAATGGTGGCATCCAGGAACCGGGCAGGGGTCACGGATTTCCGCCATCACGACGACGGTCATGCCTGGTAGACATCGCTACCTCCTACCGGCTCCATTTACATCGTGAGCCGCTCCGGACCAGCCGCAGTCTCTCCGTCTACCGTCTGCCGCAGACGATGCACCAACCGAGGCTGGCGGTAGTATGTGTAAGTTTCGTGATTGAACCCAGATGATGTCAAAAGCCATGGGAGTTATCTACTATGAAACGCCCTTCTACGCAGCATGGGCGTGCGAAACTGCCGCGCAGTCATGTGCAGTCACATTCGCAGTTTTGTCCTGACGTCAATTTCCTTTTCTGTTTACAACGTGCGCTGACTCCCGCAGCTGCTTCCTTCCCACTCCTGCAAGCCCGACAAGCTGCTGGGAATGCGTCGCACCGTATAGACAACCCCTCCTCAGCCTCCCGTGAGCCCAGTCAGACGCGCGGACGAGCGCTCACGGCCTCCTCACACACAAAGTCCCCACGCTCGCAGACGCCTGCCGTATTCGCTGCCAGCAGCAACTCCAGCCCCGACCGCACCGTGGGCAGCCTGGAGCGCAAACCTTCGGGCTCCTACGCCCACAACCGCAACACATCTATCGTACATGGCATACAGCACTCGAGGAACACCAGTTTCGTCAACTCCCCGGCCACGAGCCCCCTAAGTCCCCAGGCCATCGCTGCGGCCGTGGCAACTCTAGATGGAGCCGTCATGTCTCAAGAATCTATAGCGGAGGCATTTGCCGCAAATGGTATTCAGCCCGGCGCAACCCACACAAACGGCCATACGGCTGCCGGGGCGTCGACAGCAGGAGGCAGCGATGGGAACTGTACTCATCGCAAACCGGAGCGCGCTCCGAGCAGGTCGTCGCGACGGGGACACAACCAACAGCGCTCCCAGTCGCGGCACCCCCCGACGAACCATGAGCTGAAGACAGTGGGCGAATTCGCGCTTCACCACTTGTTCAATGCATTCATTGGCCAGGCTGAACTGAAGATCAACCAATGCATGACAGACAGAGGCCAGCCCGAGGCTAGGGTCGAGTCTATATGTGGTCCTGGCGTAGACACAGAATTTGATCAGCTTATAGCAGCCCTCGGGCACATCGCACGGCCGGCACCAAAGCCCCTCATCGATTCCATCATGCTGTGGCGGAAGAAGAAGAGCTCAGATGCTTACGAGCAGCGTGCTCTATTGCAAAATGTAAGCAGCTCACTATCCATTGGTAGCTTGTTTGCTGATCGTCCAAAGGCCCAGAAAAGCGTTCCGCCCCATACTGGATTACCACGTCGGAATACTGAGCCGGTCCACCAGCTCGCTGACAATCAGTCTATCACATCCCCAACCTCACCTGGGCACCTGCCTGCTTTACAGCGGACAGTGTCCCAGGCCGAACAACGATCAACCGTTTCAACGTACATATTGTGCCGAGTACTGATTGAAGTCATGGCCCAAACCAACCTGCACAATCTCACAGCAGAAATGGCAGAGCGTCTGCTTGGACTGTTCTACGGACAGCTGAGCACCATGGACCCCGACCTGGTTGAGCTTTCACCAATCAATTTTGCGAACTGGACCGTCTACAGTCAGCTGCTAGGTGTGATGAGCGCTCTCGTTCCCACTCATGTCCAGGACAGATTTATCGCCGATTTGAAAGTTATAGACGGACAGATGGCCATCAAGGGACAATACAACAGGGACGCCGAGGCCAAAGGGGCTCTTCTTCTACGCGCTTTACGCAACGTCAAAATCAAGACATATCCGGAAGATGCATGGGATCGCTCATGCGACTTCATGCTCTGCATGGCCAAGCTCTATACCAACGCTCACGGCCAGCCAATGAAGTACGCATATTGCCAGGTACTCCGAGAGCTTCTTCAACGAGTGGCTTCGAATGCCACAGTCGAAATCAATAGCCCAAAATGGAAACCCTCAATCGATATGATGAAGCAAAGAACCTCTATCCTGTTAGGCAAACCAAAGCACTGGCAGGAAGCATTCCCTCTCATGGTGGCGCTTCTTTGTGTTTCACCCATGGAGTCCTTCTTGTCACAATGGCTTGCTCTAGCGCTAGCTACGCAACCAAAGCTGAAGGAACGTACCACCAGAGCCATCGCACTCCGTGGAATATGTCGTCTTGTCTGGGCCTATCTGTACCGAAAAGGGACTGAGCCGCCTAACCTTGCTGTTCGACGACTGGAAGAGGTAATCCGGATGGTATTTCAACCAGGTCGGAAATCGTACCTCTCCACAGAGCCTGCCATTGCGGAGCCGCTCATCCAGCTTACACGCATGATCGGTTTCAAATACCAGGACCTTTGTTTCAAAACCATCATATTTCCCTTGCTCAATTCTGAAATGTTCACTTCCAACCGTGAGCTTCGTGTGGACAATTTGGAGCCGGACCGAGTTGTGATTGGAATCCGCTCCTTTCTTGCCATCATGGCTGATCTAGAAAACACCGTGCAGCCACCATTCCCGATTACATTCGATTTCGATCCAAACGCTATCTCTTCCGAGGTCCCAGCTCCCCCAATGAGCCCGCAGCCGCTGCAACAGCTGTCACTGAAGTCGACTCTCAAAGAAGAACGCTTATCGCGACCGGTGAACTTCAATGGATTTGGTGAAGTGGCAAAAGAATATTACGTTCGCTTTTGCAAGATCTTAGGGGAGATCACCATCATTTGTGACAACGCTTTTGGTGGGCAGGCCGCCCTCGACGAGAAGTTTTCTCTACAAACACCGAAAACACCCATGTCCGAAGCTTTCAGCTTCGGTCGCCGCGAGGACCATCAGACGCCATCGGATCCAAGGCAAGGCTTTTACGATTTGCTGCATGTCGCAGTTCAAGCTCTGCCACGTTGCCTGTCTCCGCACATCCCCTTCAATTCGCTAGTTAATTTGCTTTGCACCGGAACTGCTCATGTCCAAAGCAACATTGCCGCATCATCCGCCCAATCCTTGAAGTCAATTGCAAGACAATCACACGCACAACAAGTGACCATCGGATTCGCGCGCTTTATATTCAACTTCGACGATCGTTACGCGACCATGTCTGATGGCGGCATGCTTGGAGCAGGTCACATTGAGAGCACGCTAAGATTGTATGTGGAGCTATTACAAATCTGGATTGAGGAGATCAAGCTCAAGACACGCAAGGCTGCCTTGGATACACCAGATGATGGCTCTGGTAGTCGGGCAGCTCAGCTCGACTTATCGTCAGTTTGGGCACACGTTGATGAAATCGAGTCACATGGTCTATTCTTCCTGTGCTCGCCATCACGCCGTGTAAGATCGTACGCGGTTACTGTTCTTCGCTTAATCACTGAGTTCGATACTGCCCTGGGTGGATCTAACACCCGCGTCATTCGAGTCATGGAAGGCAGCCCGCAGAAGGTGTTGGACATCAGTGACGAGAAACTCTCTCTCGCTGAACGTAGCCGGCTTCAACGTGGTATGCGCAAAAGCAATGTTCAGAGTACGTTGGTTGAGCTCTGTAGCAGCGATGTGCCCTACGATTCAACTCTTTGGTTCAAGATCTTCCCGAATCTGATCCGCATCAGTTTTGAGGTTTGCCCATTCGCTGTCACGCTCACAAGGGACATCGTATGCGCTAGACTTTCGCAAATGCATCGCACTCTGCTCTTGCTTGCAGACGGACATCGTGCAACCCCTTACTCGCCATTTGATCCCAACCCCGGAAAAATTAGTGGCCGTCTAGCTTCTACCTCGCCAGAGGTAGTTGTTGAGCAGTGGAAACTGTATCTCATTTTTGCCTTCACAACATTGACCAATCTTGGCCCAAGTGCTTTGCCATCCGCACAGCCCCAAACAGCACACTCCAGGAAGAGCTCAAAGTCCTCCCAAAAGAGCGCCAATAAGCTCTATACAGCCACCGAGCTCTTCTCCAAGGTTCTCCCATTCCTTTCAGTTGATGATAGCGCCATTAGAGATGCTGCTGTCGTCGGTCTTGGGTCGGTCAACCGCAACCTATATCGCACACTACTAGAGACCCTTCAGGGACATGTTGCTGCATGCGCCGAAGAGGCGAAGACTCGCCTCGCCACACACAATCGCACCCTCAGTAGTCCGCGGCGAAACTTTCGCACTGATCATCTTCGCACCGAGATCACGCATGTCTACAAGCTCACATCCCAATTTCTCAAGGTCCCTGACGCGGACAGTGACGAGTGGATCCTGAACAATCTCATGAACTATACGAAAGATTTACGAATATTCCTCAGCGACACCGAGATTCAAAATGACGCACACTTCTTGAAATTACGTACACATTACTGCGGCTTGGTCGAAGTCCTATACGAAGGCGTCAGCAAGACTAGCGACCCATTTCAGTGGATGCCATTCCAAGCGCGTAAGGCTGCATTCACATTGATGGAAGAATGGTGTGGCTACGCTGCCAATCAAGCTCAGATACGACAACGAGAAGAGCAAATGCGACGGTCTATGCTGGATCGTGAAGTTGACATGGGTCACAAGAACCAGGCTAGCGCAGCACACGAGATTGAAAGACGAGACCTTCGTACAGCAGCTCTCAGCGCCATGGCTGCACTGTGTGCCGGGCCCGTCAGTATTACCACTGACAGCAAAGTCCTGCTCCAATTCGATGTGCGGCGTATGTTATCATGGATCGACAGCATCTTTGAAACACCCAGCGACAGAACCCATGCAATCGGTCGTCGAGCTCTAACCAACCTACTTATCCACAATCGAGAACACCCTTACTTGCTGGATAGGGCGATTGAGATGTGTTACCTTTCAAAGTCGGCCAAAGCGCTAGAGAGCTACTTTGAAGTGGTTACACAAGTTCTGACGCACCACGAACAGTACACCCTCCCGTTCTGGAAAGTGCTGAGTGCCGGCCTCTACACTCTTGGACACGAACATAGTGGGATCCGTATGAAGTCAGCACGACTGCTCCGAACCCTCGAAGCCCGAGAACAAAAGAACTCAAAACTACAGGATCTTGACATCAGTATCTCCGACAAGACAATTGCCGTGTACAAACTCGCTCAATTCGAAACATCGCGTAGGCTTGCCAAGCAGCACTCAGAGCTTGCATTCTTGGTTTTCTCCCAGTTCTCATACTACTTCAAAGATCTGCAGCCTGATCATCAACGCAATATGGTAGCCGCAATGCTGCCATGGGTACAGACTGTTGAGCTTCAGGTCAATCCAGATGGTGGTCCGACCGCCAATTCTTACATGCTCCTCGTCAACATGTTCGAGATCACCGTTCGATGTGGCAATGCTTTGCACAACGAAATCCAAGCACTCTGGCAAGCGTTAGCCACAGGTCCGTACGGAGGAAATGTACAGCTGATCTTAAACTTCATCATCAACTTGTGCCTAGACAAGCGCGAGCAGAACTACGTGGACTTTTCCAAACAGATTGTCGTTCACTTGTCCAGTACTCCAGCTGGCCTAAAGGTGGTGGAATTTCTGCTTATGCAGATCAACCCACGCTCAATGGTCAGTGAGAAGCGGGAACCAGCAGTGCCTCCACCAGATGCCGCCAATCTTCCCTATCTTGCTGATCTGAGCGCTTTGCTTCCGAGCAGCAACAAACAGGTACGTAAATTCAAGAACTCATTTGAACAGTAGCTAACTAAGTCAGTCCGGATACGCTCTTGGACAAATTTGTCTGATCCTACTGGTGGATCTCATGGTATCGCCTGTTGAAGTTGCCCACGAGCACATCCCCCTGCTGCTTCAGGTCGTTACAGTACTTTGGGACCACTACACTCCTGTAGTCCAAGATCAAGCGCGAGAGATGCTGGTTCATCTTATTCACGAGCTCGTCATCTCCAAGATTGACGACGATACACTAGGTATTGACAAACGATCGATCGAAGATTTCATTGAGAATGTTCGACAACATGACGTCAGAGTGGTCTGGAACTACGATGATAAAAATGGCAAAGATGCAGAGGATTCGGGCGCAAAGGTCCCGGAGTCCATGGTCTACGTCGCAGCAGAAGTCTTGAAGTTCTTCTCACTAGCATATCCTGGTCTAAGAGAAGCGTGGGGAAGGGTTGCCCTGAGCTGGGCAACATCTTGCCCCGTACGACACCTAGCTTGCCGATCCTTCCAGCTGTTCCGATGCATATTGAGTTCTCTCGATCAGCAGATGCTGTCCGACATGCTCGCGCGACTCTCGAACACAATCTCTGACGAAGAAAGCGACATCCAGACTTTCTCTATGGAGATACTCACGACTTTGCGAGCTATAATTGAAGCCCTGGCGCCGGAAGACTTGATTCAATACCCGCAGCTATTTTGGACGACATGTGCTTGCCTCGACACAATACATGAAGGAGAGTTCATGGAGAGCTTGCTTATGCTGGACAGGTTTCTGGACAAGCTTGACCTGGGTGATAAAGCGGTATTGCAGATTCTTGAAGATAGCCGTCCAGACAAGTGGGAAGGCAACTTCGAGGGCTTGGCTCAACTCACGTATAAAGGCGTCCGGTCCAGCGTCTGCCTCGATAGATCCCTGCGGATACTTGAGAGACTGGTTGTGCTACCGTCCAGCCGTATTGTGGGCGACGACAGCCGTGTGGTGTACACTGTGCTAGCCAATCTACCACGGTTCCTGCGGTCTTTCGACTCAACAGCCAAAGACCCCGGTGTCAGAGCTACTGCCGAAGTTCTCGCCCGCATATCCGACGAGCAACAGTGCTCCGCACTGTCAGACGCCTTGACTGCCTTTGCACTGAAGCGATACCGAGCGCAGAAAGACTTTCTTGGCCAGCTGATGTCTGCTATTCGCACAACATTCTTCCCCGATCTCGAATTCGGAAGCCTGGTCTTTCTCTTCAGTCTCCTGACCAACAGCATTGATTGGATGAAGATCAAGACTATGGAAGTTCTTTGTATCCTGCTCCCGGACATTGACATGCGCAAAGCGGAAATCGTTGCGAAAGGAGCCGATTTGATATCACCACTCTTGCGATTGTTACAGAGCGAGTTCTGTCCTCAAGCTTTGCGAGTATTCGACTTTGTTCTGGATCTGAACACGACAATGTCGGCAACGCCGCAAGAGAGGCAACACATGCGTATGAGCATGGCCGGGCCGCACTCAACTAAGAATTACAAGAAGCAGTTTGACAGGACCGTTTCATTGTACGGAATCCCTGAAGAGAGTGGCTGGTCCGTTCCCATGCCGGCGCACCATTCGCATCTGACGCGCGCGAACGTACACGCTGTCTTCTACACCTGCGCCAACCTCGAAGGCAGTGACATCCCAGCAACAGCTACGCCCAATATTGAGTTCCGTCAGGAGGAATTCCCTTTCAGTCCACTCTCAGAGTACCGCACGGCTACCATGACCTCCGAAGACACACGTGGTGACAGTCATATTGGAGAGCTAGTTATGAAGCTCGACAGCCTGGACGATTTCTTCGAGGACGATGATGATGATGATGCCGAAACACTCACTGACCTCCCAAACTTCTCACCCACTCGCTACACGCACGGCCCTTATTCTACAGACATGCGAGAGAACCTCTACGATCAGCAAACTGCACCGATCCTGAACAAATCGCTTACGCGCAATGGCAGCATCACTTCCTTCCAGACCGGCTTCATGCCTGATGTCAAGCACATGCCGACTAGAGATCCGGGCGTAATGACGCCTGGAGCTTTCAATGCTTTCGCACCGCCCAACGCTAGCGTCGCATCAATGACCAGCATGTCCTCGCGGCCAGGCCTACACGCTCGATCCGTGACTTCACCATCAGCACCGAATGCGCCTCCACGCATCTCACCTGCATTGTCATTCACGGCACTCGACGAGCACGATGAACCCTTCTCCGACGACGAATATGCTTCGGGTCGGACGGGCAGCGCAGACAAGGGCAATTTTAGTCTCGAGACTGTGTTGAAGCCTGTTGCGCAAGACACGCGCAGCCGGTTACGAAGCGGCATGCGTAGACTTACAGGTGGCGGGGGTGACAACAAAGAGGGGGCTAAAACACGGGAGGCTATCAAGCAGGCGTTGCAGAAGAGTCCACAGGTTCCGAAGGTGCCGGACATTTATCTTGTCAATCCGAAAAGCGCGGATCTATGATTGTCATCATGTCAACAGATTAATGGAAAATGTAATGGAGGTAGCTACATGAGAGGAACAGTTGTGGAGACAATGTTTGGAAGAGGAGGCACTATACTTCGGGACCATTTACTGGCGTTCTGACTTCTTCTACACATGGCATGGTAATGTACGGGCAAACATGAACGCACCTTTTTCTTATCCGCGAGATACCAGTTGAAAGTTTCGAATTTTAATTTAATCACATGTTCCACCCTGCATGTCTCTTTTGCGAACCCCATTTTCCATTATCCTACGCCTCCACAGCATATTCCGGTACCACATCCAATTCCCAAATCCCCTGCTCTAACCGATAGTCATACACCTCGTCCCCTTCGATACAAGTTATCCATTTCTCATCCGGCGTCGCAAGTCCCAACTCATGATACCTACTCCTCGTAACTGCAGTTAGGAAATGCACAGGCCCAGCATTACTTGTCACCTCATCTACCTCATCCTCATCGGCCTCTCCCCCGTACACACCGCCCCTTTCCGCCGCCAGCAATCGCGCAGTCATCCCCACGCCCGTCGGCACGTACCCGGGCACCATGGCCAGACTCGTTCTCATTGCGTTAAAAATTCTCGAGCAAAGCGTGCTGGTGGGCAGGATGTTTGGAGAGGGTGAAGACCATTCCGGGTGGTCTTCCAGGACTTCGGGCCAGGAGGTTGTGGTGTGCCAGGCGTTGCGCTGATAGGAGAGGACGATGTAGGGGTTTGTGGTGCGGATTACAACGGGGCCGGCGGGGTGGTGGAGGAAGTATAGCATGGTTTTCGTTGGGGTGTGGGTATTGGTGATTTGATTGTTGGGTGTTGGCTTGCTGGGAGAGCGGGGAGGGAAATGTGCTTTTAAGTGGGGCGTGGGTGTCAAGGGTAAAGTGAATGGAGGTGAATCAAATGTGTGAGTGGTTGATGTCGTAGTGACACACGCTGTCACCACATGAAGTGATGTTTCGCACTTTATCAGAATCCAAATTCGATCGACAAGGCCCCTTGCACTTGAAGCCAACTCGAGCCACCAGTTGTGAAATGGCATATTGCTAGAAGAAATGCGACATGTCCTTCCTCTAACAGAAAGAGACAGTGCTCATGTGGCGCTGTCATTTCGGAAATTATGATTGAGTAAACCTGGAGCAGGTGCGAGCAAGCACCTTGTCGTCGTATTTGTGCTTCTCACATCAGCGAACTTACCTGCAGCACACATCTTCAACACATTCTATAAATCCACGCACTCGCTCAGCATGCAGTATTTGATAGACGTTCCCGGCTTCACGCATCCTTATCTCACTACTCTTGCTTTCATAGCCCACGATTTTCGGAAACGGGGCCACCGAGTCTCCGAACATGCATTCGACTCACGATACATAATCGAAGTCAGGTTCCAAGAACGAAAACGAAAGCTGGCAACCAGTCGACCTAGTATGACAGAGATGTGGGCGAAGCAGTTCATGAGTCAGCGCGCAGGCTACTCCGCCATTCCCACCGTCCTCTCACAGGAAGACACAAGACTCGACCGTATGTCAAGAATGATCGAAGACTTTTTCCGAAACATCGCCGCGATCGGAAGGTCCGTTCCGATAACAAAAATTCGCTGGTGGTCACCGACGTACTTGAGGTTAGCACGTACGCCTCTACCCGACGATCCGGGTCTCAATCTGGTTGTACTGTGTATACAACTATTGCATAGCGTTCGATACACCCAGAATGCGCTTGTACTTGCTAGCCGGTGGACGATCGTGGATTCAGTAATTCTTCAGTTTCGACATGACCAAAGGATGGACACGGCGCACCTCAAACATGCACTCAAACAGGTCGGGGCTGTTCCAGGACGCTTATCCGGGATTTGGGGGAGAGATGAGACAACAGGTATGGAACAAGTGCAGATGTTTGTGAATGTGGGCGATTGCGTGACAGTGGTAGGGAACGAAGGCGAGTCTACGGGACAGCTTTTGCCTCTCTATGCTCCGGGTGAACAGCCACCAGTATATGAGGTATATGAAGGTCAGAACTGATGGACTTTCGCGTTGATGGGAACTTTGAAGTCTTAGCTAGAGAAAGCACGTTTTCGTTCCTCAAGATGTCATTTGAAGCGAACCATCCATACTTCTCCTCAGTACTTCGTGGCGTTCCAAGCCGTAAGAGAACAAATGTCGCCAAGTATATTGTTTAACCGTAATGTAACAAGAATAGCCATGATGTGGTTGTGGTGATCGCGAGAAAAGTGAACACGGAAGAGGTCTGGGTTTATCCGAGATAGCGCTGTTCATCTGGCCACTAGTCTGCACTAGCCTACTAGCATGTCTCTTCAGGATACGCGTGTACGGCCCCTATCCCCCCGAGTGTGAGGAACTTAAATAGCTCAGCACGGAATTCAAAATGTTTTCGACATGTAAGCGTACGATTCGCTGCTCTTCGACCTGTACAAGATATTCTGTGCTCTCCGTGCATCCGTCGACTCGTGATCTATTCGTCTTCACACATCATGGCAAGCGACATCCAAACTCAACCCCGATCTCGGGGCATACTCGGTCAAGCTATTGAGCCTCTCTTGTCATGGTTTCTGGGACTCCCTGCCGAGAGATGTAATTTCACCACTCAAGCCCTAAGCATCCCCATCTCAGATGGCCTTTCGCGGATAGAACTTCGCGCCGACCTGTTTCGACCTTTGCTCGATAAACCACTAGGCACTGTCCTCGTCCGCTCTCCCTATGGCCGAGGAATCCCAATTGCGGTACCACCACGCCAACTTGCCGCGCGTGGTTACCAAGTCCTCATGGTCAGTTGTCGCGGGACATTTGGTTCCGCTGGTGAGTTCGACGCTTTTCGGACCGAAGTCCAAGATGGGAAAGGTGTCGTTGAGTGGATGAGGAAGCAACCGTGGTACACCGGTACCTTTGCTACCATCGGAGGATCTTACATAGGATATGTTCAGTGGGCGCTGCTGTATGATCCGCCTAAAGACATGGTCGCGGCGGTGCCTGGTGTTGCTCCGCACGATTTTGCACAACCCATCTGGGGCACCGGTGCTTTGGACCTCGATATCGTTCGTTGGGCGGATATGATAGTGCATCAGGAAGATTCGTTTTCACTCTGGGAGACTTTGGGGAAGACGCGAACGCGTAGACTAGAGACTCTTTTCGAAGGCACAACACCACTGGCATCAAACATACAAGCTCATCTAGAAGGAAAGTTTCCCTGGATGGACAAGGTACTCACCAAGCCGGATTTATCGGATCCCTTTTACGAGCCCATGAAGCTTGGCCGGGCTCTCAGCCAGGCACAGATACCCACTTTGATCATCGCAGGATGGCACGACCTCTTCGTGGAGCAATCTATAGAGCAATATTTGGGACTAAAAGAGCAAGGCTGCAAAGTTGCGCTCACCGTGGGACCTTGGTCGCACACTAAAAGCGTTGTGGCAACTGAGATGATCCGACACGGGTTTGACTGGATCGAAGAGCATCTCGGGAACCGTGCGGAGGCAAAACGAACAGCTGCTGTGCAGTACTATGTTACCGGCGCGCAAGCGTGGAAAAGTGTTTCCGACTTTCCACCGCGTACCGAATCTATCACCTTCTATCTGCATGACGGTGGGGAACTTGCAGAGAAGCCACTTTCTACCAGCTCCGGGTCTTCAACTTTTACGTTCGACCCACGCAATCCCACTCCAGAGATCGGAGGTAACGCTCTGTTAACCGGCGGAAGAGTCAATGATACAGCATTAGCCAAACGAAGCGACGTGCTCGTGTTCGACACAGCACCACTTGAAGAAGACACCGAAATATGCGGCAAGCCCGCCATTCAACTTGCCCACTCAACTAGCAGTCCTTACGTCGATGTCTTCGTGCGAGTCAGCGAAGTCGATGCCAAAGGGCGATCTCACAATATCACCGAGACCTACAAACGTTTGGACCCAAAGCGTGCCGACGATGAGGAGTTGAAGCTGGCGTTGAATTTCTGCGCTCATCGGTTTTTGAAGGGCACGAAGATCAGGGTCGTCATCGCAGGAGGAAATTTCCCGCAATATGCGAAGAACCACGGCGTTGAGAATAGCGATTTGAACGGCACTGAGATGATTGCTGTCGATCATACCATTCATCATAGTGAGAGTCGCATTTCAAATATCGTCTTCCCAGTCGTAAGAGTGCCCGAATGAGCTCTTTGCAGGCCAGGAAGGCCTCTGACAGTGAAGCAAGACTCAATTAGGAGTAATTAGTATCTAATCTGATAAGAAGCAAAAATAAATCTGAGTTTCATGGAATCATTCAATGCCCTGTCTTCTGCGACTTTCATGCTCGTATCGTCTATCGCTTATAAAATTCAGATCACCTTGTTCCTACAGTCTATCCATAGGTTGTTCCCACTATTCATCCATCTGCTCTTCTTACACTTCTTTCATCTACTCATGTGGTCGACCGGGATCTGGTCGTGGCACTGGATCAGGGTGAGCGTTTGCCCAAGTTGACCAATATGCCTGATTGAATCGTCCATCCTTCAGATCAAACTGAGCGTGGACCCAGTCATGATTCATGAGTTTTTCCTTGAGCGCTCCCTCGATCTTTTCCATGCTGACCAACGGAGAGCGAGACCACCTCCCCTTGATATTCTCAGGTGCCTCATTCTTCTTAGCTTTTCCGGAAAGCGTGAGTGCTACCCCAATCGCGATGTATCACGAACTTAGGATGATTGCCCTCCCATTCGACTCTGTTAGAATAATCCACGTCATACTTTCCGTGAGCCGACCAGCCAAGGATCTTTGCTTCTCCGTTCTGCGTCCAGACTGCCACGTGCTCCCAATCGTGTTTGTGCCCTTCCCTTGGGGTTGTGTCGCCCGGTTCGTCCTTCTCAAAGTAGTAGGCGTATAAGTAGAAGCACCACCCGTCATCTGTACACTTCTCGCGTACGTATGTGTTGCTATTGATTAGGCGGTCCACCTTTCGGCAGTCATCGTGGCCAAGGTCCACCTGGTGGCGGCAAGCCTGATCACGTCCGCAAAGCTCAAGACCCGTATTCAGGTGTCCATCGCGGGTGATAGCTGCAGTGTTGTAGCATGCTGATCTGTCAAAGTCGATGACGGGTTGATATTTCAAGGCACCAGGTGTCGCGTCCTCGGCCAGAGGGGCCAGAAGGTGGAGGTGGAGGTGGAGGTGGGGGTGGAGGTGGGGGTGGAGGTGGGGGTGGAGGTGGCGCCGGAACTGGAGCCGGAGCAGGAGATGGTTGATGGTTGCAGATATATGCCATACTGCACTTTTTTCCGTCAGCTAATGTGAAGAGGCCGTCGAGATGCCGACTCCAGCATGTCAGAGCAACGGAGTCGTAAGTGTGAAAGGCCCATCCGGCGAAATTTGGATCTCCAACACCGTTGTTGATAGACACAGTCCATTTGTCACCATTGGGAAGAGTCTGAGAGACACCATTACTACGCCAAGGGTAGGAGCCGTCCCACGGAACACTATTCATATATTTTGGGGCGCCCCATGCCGCGGCGGAGTAGTACATGATCTCGCGTGATGTAGAGCCACCATTCACACCTAGACCAATGCCGCAGTCGGCAAGGACCAGGTTCTCGCTCCAAGTCGTCTCGGCCAAAACCATGGAGTTTGCAAACGCTAGCAAACCTAGAAATTTTGTAGTCATCCTGGAAAATATGGTTGGCTTTGGGCGTCAAAAGTTCGAAGTTCCCGAAGATAGTCGAATGCCGAAGACTGGAGGTAATCTTTTGAAAGTGAATTGGGTCTGGTAGTCTGCTCTTTGCAAATTTTGTTTGGTCAAGACAATATCGACGTTAATCAGAGGAGCGAACGCTGCTGAGACTGGTTTCGAACTCAACTGAACCTACGAATGCGTTATATATATATCTTCGATGCTTCATATCACCGTGACCAAAACTCCTCGCATCATCATGCGTGCACACGTATGAGTGTGCCACCAACTGATCTCATATCCGTCAGCACGATGAATCATCTTTAGATCCTCAGCTATCGCATCATTCTGCTACTCACTTACCTAATCATCACATAGACGGTGTAGTATACTAAGTTGGGATCTGCTTTCCAGTGTTGAAAAATTTACCCACCGCTTCTATCGTAACATCAGAACTTCAGCTGCGAACCTGACTTATGGATGAGTGTAACATGAAATATCTCGTATTTGTATGCGGTGGTTCAGCCGCAATCTACATCGGTCAGCTGCCAAGTATGAACCGCGTAATGGCTCAAAACTCCGATCAGTAAAGGCGGTGTATTGCATAGAATGATCGTACCATCATTCAAGGCTGCTTATTTCTCGAAATATGCCAGTTCTGTACTGGGGTGACGCAAGCTTCGGAGACGTAGTTCTGTCCTCGGATGATGGACAAGACGTGGACGCGGCGATACCTTACTCAGGGGTGCATTAAACAGCGATTGAACATCGGGCCGCATGTCCTCACATAACCTTTCATTCAGCTGCAGACGCGCTGGGTAAACATGTCAAATGCGCGATAAAGGCCAAGCTGGAAAAAGCACTGATGATGCTTGTTTCCATGATGCATGCGCAGCTTTTGGATTAGCACGCGCCCATGGGCCAGATTCAACTTGCGACAACCACAAAAAGAATATGTGGATGCTGAAATAGGATACATTGCTATTACAGTGGGATGTAACGAGGGTATCACAGACTGACCAGACGAGACTCCAGGCTCATCATGCCTTGCGTGCGTTATTCGTAATTCATAATTCATCCTTGATCCATTGATCACGGAGCCCGCGCAGTCACGCATCCCGCGCCATCTTTCTTGCTCTCACAGCGCCCAAAAAGGCACCATAGCTCCATGTCAAATCTCTTGCTCCGCGCATAAAGCCATTCATCCCATCGAACTGCTCGCTCATGCTGCCTTCAGCGTCCACATGAGCTTTGACGACTTCGAGGAAACTGTCGCCAGTCGTTTTGAGCTTTTCGATGACCGAGTTATAGAGTGCGTCACTGGAGCCAAATGTGCCCACTTCAACATCGAGGCTTGAAGTTGCGAGAAGTGACTGGTAGAATGGTAGGGCGAGAAGCGTGATGGTAAGGTTCGACGTGGTGGAGAGGTGTGAGGCGGTGCGATACAAGACTTCGGCAGCAGAAGATGTGCACAGAAACCAGGGATTGCCACCCCTGTAGGAATTGCCGTAACCATCATACACGTCTTCTGGATAGCGACCAAGACCAGTACCTTCGAACGCGTAAGCGTCTTCCCCGTCATCTTGGTCCTCGGATGGACTGCTGTTGATTGGAAATCGATCGTGCTGGTCACGAGTCAAGGCGAGGAGGGAGATGAGGATCTCATCAGACCACGGTGGATATACCGCTTCTTCTGAAGATTCTTCAGAAGGCAAGGAATGCAAAGATCCGAGAAGTAGACCGCAGTCCAGGCCGCTTCTTTTGCTCCAGAGCGTCTCGACTAGGTGCCCTTTGTTCGGGTTCCAGAATTTGGTAAGAAGCTTCTCGATGTATCCTGCCTGCTCTTCATACCACTCTGCCGCCCCATGGTCTCCAAAGGATCTTGCAAAGCCACTGCCTTCTCTTAAACTCCTGGCGCTAACCATGAGATTGAAGAAATGTAGTCCCTCGACTTCTTCCCACAGGTCGAAACTGGTCTCATTCCAGTAATGGCTCACATACTCCAGGTCGGCCTTGATCACACTATTTGGCGGCATTGATGCATGATAGTATGGCTCGAAGAAGTATGCAGCCTGTGATGAAGACCAAAGAGAGGGATTCGAAGCATTGTATTCGCGCAGGTAGTGCATGAGCGTTAGAGCGCGTAATGCGGGCCCATCACGTTGTGGCCTTCCCCAAGAGCCTGTAAAAGGCTTGCCATCAACACCGAACTTGGGCTCGCCTAGACCAGACAAGTCTTCGAAGGTGCCTGAAGGGTTGGGCGTATGTTGTATAGTATATTGGAGGGACGTGTACGCTTCGAGTATCGTAGAAAGTTGGGAGCCGTGGGAAGATGACGGGTCATCGGCATAGACGTCTACGACGGAGTTCATGGTGATCGCAGCATCTCGTACCCCTGTCATAATTAGCCAAAACCTCGTTTCTACTCAAACTGGCCGGCCTACATTGATACCAGTAATCTGGCTCATCCGTACTTGGACTCGCGATTACTGTGCCAGGCACAACGCCTTTGCCTTCGACACTTCTACCACCTGGTGCAACGTTCGCTAGCAACTTGTCCAGTGCGATTCGTTCTTCTTTGTCTATCCATGAATCAAGGGTATCTTGTAACGGTTGCTGCTGTTTCTGTGCCTGACCAACACCTAGGAAGTGGCTCAGATGTGGCAGCGGTGGGATTGCGAAGGCGGCGGCATCCAGAGCGAAACATACTAGACCAATGGTCTGAACCAACATGTTGGATGACGAGAGAGACAGAGTCAGACCTTGAGTACTTCAGAGGGGAGTAGGAAGTGTACGAGTCAGCAGCTCATAGCGTACTTGGAGAGAGAAGTCGTATAGAACAGCAAATGTGGGTATGGATAGCTTCAGATCTAGGTGAGTTGTCAACAGGGTGGGTGTTAGCTGGTGATCACGACCAAGTCTTCCAAACAAGGCCTGGTGCCCACTTCTGTGGCGGGCGGCTTCCAAAGAAGCCATGAGATTTAGATACGTGACAGGTTCATGTGGCCGACCACGCACTACGCGAACAAGTCGGCTTTCAATCGGCGGTCAGAGACAAGACATGGCAGCGAGTCGGAGACGATGGAGGTAAGACGAGTCGCGTGCGTGTGACGTTTTGAAGGTCACGCGAACTCCGGGGTAAGCAGGGGATGTCGCGCTAAGACAGACACATCATGAGCCTCGGCTGATCGCACGTGTGAGAACCATCAATAATGGCGATCTTCTCCGGCTGGCTTTCTTCATCAAACAGAGAGTTGCGTTCGCTACTCTAAACCCACAGTGTTGATTAAACCAACAGGATCTGTCATAACCTCCTACTGATCCATCGTGTACTTGAACGCCACCTTCAGCCCTCTCGGCACGTACGTGACGGATCTGAGAAGCCGAACAAAAGCTCCGCACGCGTTCTTAGCGATTTGAGTGCATCGGAATGACCTTCCCGGCTGGCCTAGAATATGTGTCCGAGCTCGGTAGCTGACTCCTCTCGGTGCCTTCGTGAGCCCCATCGAGCTTGCTTTGCTCCTGCTCAGTCACATGATGGGAATACACAACAGCCTTCTAACCAAAAGACCGTATCACTAACTCGAGGACGCAGCTGAGCTCTGGCTGTGCTCCGAGTCCACAGCGCCCAGGCTCGGACTACTCTATCATACGCTGCAGTAATACAGGTTCCAGAGTCGAACGCAACGATCGCGATCAACGACGAAGAGAACACGAACAAAAAGGCAATTTTTTTTGCATGATGCTCGATAACCAAGTATGGCTTGAATATGTGGCAAGATCTACACTGGGACCCCAGTGCAATAATGTAGAGGGAAACTACGGTAAGTATTCTTTACGACAAATTGCCGTTGAATAGACCGGACAGCGCAAATGTCCCACCAAAATGTATAGCGCTATGAACACGGCACGAGACCCAAAATTACCGACATCTAAGCGTCTCTGTATTGAGATCAACATTTGCAATCCTTCATCGAAACACTTGTGTTGTGTGGTTGAGTCAGTAGCGCAAACGCTATAGTCTGCATGAAACTTGACAGCTGATGTTGAGGTAACATCAATATCAGCTCTGACTACCCTATGTTTCAGAACTTGAAATAGAACTCTATGTTTCGAACGGGAGCGGATCTGAGGAGATCTTCTGATTTTCGACTAGGATTTGGTGTGGCGAAAGGTGAAGTGCTGACGGGTCATCGCTTGAAGCCGTAAATAATGCTACCACTACTATCGTACAAACTGCTTTGTGGATATAGAACAAAATAAAAAGAACATGCTCTCTATAAACTTACATCTCCCGTAAAATCAAACATTTCCATACCCGTCATCGCTATGTCCCCACTGCAAACCCTCTTCCCATAATTATCTCAATTCAACAAACTCATACTCCTCTTCTTCAGGCTCAAGAAGCGTCGCGGACTCGACAAATCCCAATCAATTTCCGGCGTCCAATCCGGCTCATGCAGCGTATCTCTGATATTCGGCAGTCGGACAATACTCAGCCCTGTGCCCGCAGTGACTCCAGTCTGTCCGCTAAACGTCGATCGCGTAGGTGAAGACGCCTGTGTAAAACTATAGCTAAATGCACTCTCTGTGGGGCTGGGGATCTGGTTCCATGGACCGCCGAGACGGCGAATGATGCGGCTTTCTTCGGAGGCGCGCCACTCGCGTTTCTGCGCCGCGGTGGGTTGACGAGTAAGGATTTGTTGGAGGAGCGATTGTCTGCGGGATGTTGGGCGGGATGAGGAGGGGAGGGAGAGAATTGAGCTATCTGGCCTGGAATTGTGTGCTCGTTCGGGGAGAAGGGGAAGTGGTGGCGTGCTGATCTCGATTCTGATTTCGGACTTGCTCTGCTTCTCATCCTCCATGAGGGTGCTGCTTTTGACGGAAGAATTGTCATCGGCAGAGGTAGGTCGCGAATCTTGCATTTCGACGTCGGCGAGGTGAGGAGTTTTCGAATACGAGCCTGGTCCTTTGGCGCCATTGGGAATGTACCATCTTTGATCAATGCGCAGAACAGCGTACATGATGACTGTCTGGAACTCGAACAGGAAGTTGAAGATGTAGAACGGTCCTTTCCCTAGATAGCCGGGCAGAGGTTGGGTGCGCGGGACTGGATCCTGCCAGGTGACGCCAGATCGATACCAAGCGCCTATCGAGAGGAGGATGGTGCTAACAAGCAAAGCGATAACTCTTGTCCGTAATCTCCCAGTGCCAAATTGGTCGAAAGGCGAGTATGGTATCATAAGGGTGAGAACTGTCATGGGAAGTGGTAATGTAGCTACAATGGCAAGGACGGTGGAGCCGTAGAGTTGAAGCGAGCGATCAGTGAGCCGGATCTGAGTATTGGTGGTGTAAGAGCTCTGAATCGTGGCCGAGATGACAATGATGATTGTGACACCGATCAGTGCGAATAGAATCTTGAATATAATGCCGAACGCAGGATGCCAGCCAAAAGATCGATGGGATGCCCTGACGAGACGCATCGCGAAGATGATGTTGATGATGAAAAGGATCAGCACACCAGCTGCGACGAAGACTTGTGCGGCAAGAGCAAGTCCTACGTTGTGTGGAGTCGATACAGACGCGATTCGGAGAATGGAGGTCAAGATACGCGACACGCAGAATACTAAGGGCGCCCGTCAGTTACCGCATCGAGGAAAGTATTGGGAGCTCTTACTAAAAATGAAGAGATTGGGTAGAAACTTGTGTCCTCTTGATAAGTTCCCTCTGAAGATCTTCATGTGCACTGCTGCCCCAATGATGAACAGGACCATGAAGACCGTTTGAGCCGGAATGTCTACGCGCTTGACTGGTGGTCCACCTGGTGTCCAGACCATGGGCGCAAAGGGAGGGCCTTGAAAATTTGCCTGCGTCATGTCAGTCGATCGCCTTTCTTTACAAACCACAAATCTTCATCCCGACCGCCATTGCGGGCGTTGCAGCGTACCATTTGTGACCTGTAAACTTCTGAAGCCATTTCTTCCTGGAGGGTTAGAAAATATTTCACTGTTTTCGTGATGGCGCCTTATCATCCGACCCAAGCAAGTGAAAAGTCGCGCAGCGATGTGATGGTGCCAGCAACATGAGGCGCCGCTGGTGGGAGAACCCCGTACATAAGGCAACATAACAGCCGAACCTGCAACGCGAGCGGCCGAGCAGCGGTCAGACCAAGTTCACAAAACATGTTTCCGTTCTATGAACCTGAGACCCATACTCCAAGGGGAAGCCACCTAGTGGTGTTTCGATGGCGATCGCGCCAGGCCTGCGACACCCGACCTGCGCCACTCAAAATAGCCCACGGCCCGCCCCTTAGAGTGAAACTACTAAATCGCTGTAGAGACATGACGATTAAAAAAAGGTAGCCTCGAGGAATTCGCGCTGATATACAAGAGTGTGCGCCTTGATTCCGCAAAGGCACATGGGCAAGACATACAGTGGAGTGAGCAAGAGTGGGGTAGGCATCAGCACCGGGAAGCTTATAGGTAGTGTGCGGGATCGCGCGACTGCATCTACGTACTTCTTAAACAGTAGTGTTCGGTCTGTATGAACAGGCACAGAATCAACATTACTTCGTGAAAGACTTGGAAGGAGATTGTACAATAGAGGTCGCTGGGACAGAGAAGCAAGCCCATGGACTGAACAGATTCAGTTATAGATAGGAATTGTAAACCATATGGTGCGTTCCCTCGTTCAGTGAGGTATGAATTCCAACACTAGAGCTAACGGGCCTACTCCACTGTATTGTATTGAGACCAGAACTCATCGTCGCCGCTCTCGTTGTCTTGACCAGACCCCAGATGGTGCATCGCGTGTTCGAAATAACGCATGTCTTGTACCAGAGTAGCCTTCCTCTCCAACAGCGTAGGTGGCCGAGCTTTATGAGCGCCCATCTTTCACAGAAACTTCATCCTCTGGATCACTGCCCAAAGAACATTCTTCACTGGAGGTGTCATTTTCCGAACTCTCGGTATCGCGCCGGACAGGAGCTGTTATGCTAGCCAACTGGCTGTTGACTGCACGCTCCGATCGTTTTGCCTGTTGACACTGAACTTGGTCATTTGTCACCGATGTCCTTAATTCAATGGATTGATCTGGACAGTCGTCGGCAGCTAATGGAGACTCGACCGTGTTGATAACTCGTCGGCTTCGGCCAGTACTGTCGCCCTGAGGAACAAAGCTATCGACATCTTGAAGGCCAGGTGGGGGGAGTAAGCTGCCAGCCAGAATCAGTCCATTGACCATGGTAATTGTCTTGGTTTGTCTTCGTACAGTCCTCTCCCTCCGACGCGGCCTTCTTGGTGGACTTAGTTTGAGCTCATGCGCTTCGAACCCATCGGCCACAAATTCAAGTCCTGCACGGTAGTGCTGCTGAGATTTGATCGGAGGTAAGAAAGGCCGCGGTGTTGTTGTTGTTGCTGTTATTGAGCGTGCTATTTGCTCGAATGGGTATGAGGTGTGTAGGTGCGATCTGCGATCATTGCTTAAGGTAGCCTTACAAATAGGTAGCTGCTTGCTTAGATGTCCAGAGGCATTCATTTGGCTGTCGTTGATGGGATCCATATCTCCAATGGCCAGGGGAGAAGCTTCATGTGCATCCTAAGCATTTTATTAGCATGGCAAGTACAAAAGCATTGTGCTCTCCAGACGGCTTCATACACCTGGTTCAGGTAGACCGCCATCCGATGTGGTCGTCCGAAACAAAGTGAGCCCCTTCCCCGGTAGTCGCCTCTTCCGTTTCTCTTGAGGTTTGTGATAGGTGCTGAACGACTCCTTGACTTTGGCAATCCTGGCAATTTGCTTCTTGGTGGCTTTAGTGGCTTTTGCTGGTGTGCGTCGACTATCGAAACTCTTTGTATCTTTTCCATTCTGTAAGCCAGAGCCCAAGCCTATTGTAGTTGGCGAGCGTGGGAGGTTGAATATAGTCCCAGCATGTGCGAAAACTTCTGCCGATACATTTTCTTGTCTGTTTTCAAACGCGTTGAAGATGATGGAATCACTTGGGTGCGGAGCTCCAATTGGGTTGGGTTCAATACTATCAGGCTGCTTGATAGGTGCTGCACGTCGCTTGAGGCGCGAAGGACTTTGTGCAATGTCGCCCTCCACGACACGTAGGAAGGCTGTAAGACGCAGACGACCGCCGACAAAGTTAGCATCGTCAATCATAGTTAGTCGTAATCAGGTCAGTTGAGATCAAAGACGCGCCATAGTGAAGGTCTTGGGTAGGGTCCTCTTGCGCAGTGCTCCTTGTGTCGGAAAGGGCGATGGATGCCAAGGAAGCCATGACGCGCCTCGACACGTACGCTCACCGAGACGCGCTATGAATCTAGACGCCCCACGTCTCGTGATTTTATGCGCGTACCTCCATAACCGCAGTCTCAATGGTGTGTGTGTTGATCATATAACCGGACATGTCTTTGCCGTCGACTCCGAGGTGGCCCTCGAACGATGCTGGAGTGCCCAAAGTAGACGGAAGCGAAAGCTTTGGCGACCTCGTCGACAAGCTCAGCCAGCAAGTAGCCGCATATTTCACGTCATACAGCCTTCTTACACAACATTAGGTACTTCGAACATACTATACATATACCACAATCTTTCGAAGACTTTCGTAGGAGCCAACAAGGGCGTCTCCTGGAGCCGCTCGTGGTCTACCTTTCCAACTCCGTCCACCATCCCGCATTGGTCTCAGCTCTTTTGTACGTCCAAATCGATTCGCACCCCCCTCCACATCTCGTGGGCGTATTGTGCGCATAATGAAGAGAAGGGGCTGACTGGATGCAGAGCCCTAAAGGGCCATTTCTCAGCGCTCGAGGAGGCTAGCGATGAGCCTGGCGTAAACGAAGCGCGAGGCTACGCATGCGAACACGTCGCATGGCAATTCTTGAGCAATCTGGCAGACCGGGATATCATTGACTATCTCTTGCTTGAGCTGCCGTCCGTACCTTCTCCCAGCAGCGATGACCCTGCAGAAGAGGGCCTTCACAGCCGCGATCAAAATGGTACCAGCCGTGCGAGCGAACGAACACCTCTGCTGGAAGATGCGACCGGGGGATACTTCGGGAGCGGCAATCAGATGGCCGCGAACGCACGCTTCAGTTCCCTGACCTCTCAATGCGAGAATCTGAGCGCACTCGAGATTGCCGCTGTATCTGGCGCAAAGAAGTTCCTTTCTCAACGTCCGATTCAGAAGGTCATCAATGGACTGTGGCGTGGAGACATCGTCTTTTGGGAGACCCTCAGTGTCCATTCAGTCAAGAAGCCCCGCAAGTACAATCGCAATCACGCCGACCTGTTCTGCCGCCTGCGGGTGCCTTTATACTTGAAGGTCTTCGAAACTGTCTTCTTCGCTGTATTCCTTGCGTTATACTACGCGGTGCTTGTTCATCGCGACTTCCACCGAGTAACGATTCCTGAAATCCTGCTCTACGTCTGGATCGCTAGTTTTGCGTACGACGAATTTGCCGACTGGATTGACGCTGGGCAAACCAGCTTTTACGCGTCCGACTTCTGGTGGACGTGGGATATTAGCATCGTTGTGGTCGGGGTGATCTTTTGCATCTTGAGAATAGTCGGACTATCTTCGGCCAGCAAAGATACTATTGATCTGGCATACGATGTCCTTGGCCTCGAGGCACTCTTCCTTGTCCCTCGTATATTCTCATTGCTGAGCTTGAACCGCTACTTTGGTACCTTAATACCGTGCCTCAAAGAAATGGTCAGTTTGTGTTTTTCAACCGGATGGCTGTCCACTTACCCGCAAGTAGACCAAAGACTTTGTCAAATTCTTATCGCTCGTAGTAATCCGTAAGTTTGCGCGTATACGACTTATATCTTGACGTCGACTGACATGTCTGTTACTCGCAGTCTACTTAGGTAACAGTGCCTCACTCGGCCGCAATGTCGGCTTCGACTGACATTGTACACTAGGATTCTTGACTACCTTTGTCTTGTTAGCTCGAGACCAGTTTAAGCCCACAGAGATGGTAGGCTATACGAATTAATATGTCCGGTTGGTGCTGATGTACATTGTAGAGCTGGATCTTGATTAAGGTCTTTTTTGGGTGAGGCAGTATGTCCATTGTCGCCATGACTTTTGCTAACGAGACATTAGGTCAAGTTACCTTGGTTTCGGTCAGTGATACTCCCACCCGTGTGACACAAGCCAATTTCCCATCGCAAAGCTAACCAATACTTCATCAGACATTGCCAAAGAGATCAGTCCTTTCTTTGGACCACCTGTCATGGTACGTCAAAATTGCGCATGAGATGACGGTCTGCTGATTGCTTAAACAGCTCATTTTTGTGAGCCTGACGAACATACTGCTTATTACCAGCTTGATCTCATTATTGAGTAATTCTCTCAGCAAGGTACGTATTGGAAAGGAAATTCTGTTGGCTCTCAGTGCTTCGTTCCAACACAGCGCATGCATGCCAAGAAGTCAACGCAAAGTCTTGCAAAGCCAACACTGCCTCATTTCCATCCGCGTCTAGTGCGAAACTGTCACATCACACTCAGCCTGTACGGGGTCGCCGGCTTTCTGCCGTGGAGATGAAGATTCATTTCGACGTTTACAGCTTGCTTCGTCCTTTGTCAGTCAACAGTAAAGGCGTCTGCTGATTCATTTTCCAGGTCCTTGATCATGCACGCGACGAGTACCTCTTCATATACTCTGTATACGTCCTTGAGGCGTCCTCGTCGAATCGACTGACGTACTTTCTTCCTCCTTTGGTAAGCCCTTCCGCGTCTCATTCTGCTTTTGGAGTTGTGAAACCAGAGTTAAGCGCCGGCCACCTGGTCTGGTCGGCTAACATAGCCCGCTTGAATGATGGCAGACATCATCCCAGAGCCAACTGCTGGGTGATGCCTGGTATTGAGTGCCTTCCTGAGGCGAGCGTTGTGGCTGGTGTCCTGTCATGACACGGTTGTTGAGCCTCGTTGTGCCGCTCAGGCTTACAGCACCATACAAAGTTCAAAATCTTGCCGCGGAATTTTCCGCGCTTTCCATGCGTTTAGAATATTCATGCGACCTAGTGCAAGGCTGATTGTCGTCCAGAACCTCATACCATTGTGTATCAGACCATTTCGGCTGGTCCTACCATCAGAGCGGCTAAGGAGCGCCCGCATTGTTTTACTGAAGGTGACGCATCTGCCTTTTGTTGCAGCAATCTGGTGTTACGAACAGCTTGCCGATGCCCACCGGCGTGACCCTAGGGTAATGTCTCTCAGCGGACCCCAAACGCCATTGCCGTCGAAGAAGCCTCTCCGCTTAGCCGTCAATACGCCTCGCCTGCTGTTGGCAGACTCGCAAGCGACGCCGAACTCACCAGGAAATATGCAGCAAGCAAGTCGGCCTCACACACGAGTGGGGCCAACCGAGCCCGATCCACAACTCAAAACGCTGGTGCTGAAGCTTACCAGGCAGGTTGAGCAACTCACAGAATTGGTATCGCAGCTTCAAGAGCAGCGCGAAGCGACTGTGGTCGCTTGAAGGCCGGCGCTTCCAGCCGCTCGTAGTATACAGGCATATCCTGCTAAGGGATCAACCAACACCGGATAAAACTCATGGAAATCCGCTTTATCCAATTCATCACAGCATCTATACTTTGACGCATGTGCCACTGACATTCGGTATCCGACGCGCTCGACAGCGTCCGAGCTAGCAGGTGAGCAAATGTCGACGGCATCACCATCTTAATGCAGGTAACGACGGCATTCAAATTGGCATGATTTTCTTAAGCCCGCCATTGCAGCAGGGATGCATCCACTCTGAGCGTCTGCCTGCGCCTCAGGCTGCAGCCGGTGCGAATCTGATTTGTGTTCGGGCCGCTGAGACCTTCCCGAGAGCTTGGGTCTAGTTCAAAGTCCCCGGCCCACGCCACCATCCAGTCGTGCAGGGGTGCCTGCATGCTGCACTGCGCTACTCTGCTTGTGTATACCCTGGCCTTCTCCCCCTCCGCGTCAGACGGCCCCAGCCCCATGCAGCTAACTGGCGCCTGCCGCCCATGCGGCTCGAGCTCACCATGTTCATGCTGTCCCTGTCTAGTACGATTTCTGGGAATCTGCCTCACTGTTCAAAAGCCCACTGTTCGAACGTACCGAATTGAGAAGACACTGCCGCAGTGCTCAGACCTGACGTTCTATACAGCATTTGCTGCAAGTCCCCACAACCTACATCACGCAGATATATTCCGCGTTGGAACGCCCTGCAGCTTCTTTTTTCAGTCTTCGACATCGACCTATTCTTGCACACCCCTCTCCTTCGACTTGGCCAAACAATATCTAGTTCTTTGTGCAACGTATCAAGACAACCCTTCCTCCACTGGATTCCTTGATCATGTTGCGGTACCCGGACCAACCTACACCTCCTTTCAACTCTCCATACCAACAGCAATCGGAAAGTTCATCCATGCTTGAATCGCCATACCCCTCTCCAAACCGCCACGACGGTCAACAAAAATACACTGAAGGCCTTGGTCTATACGACTATCACACTTCGCTTCCACGTGGTCTACCTCCATCTCCACAGCCTTCTGAGAACTGGAACCCACAAATGTCAACTGGTGTCTCCCCACTAATGACTGATACAATCGCGGATCCTTGGACGTCTGGAGCTTTCGACCATCCCGTCACCCGTTCTCCATTACCTTGGGCGTCTGCTCACAACTCGCCTCGGTCTTCGCTGTCATCGTGCACACGCGAAATGTCGGCCTTCTCACATGACGGGTCCGAGCAAGCTTTTCCTGGAGTCAAGGTCGAGTATCCCGGTTGGGCTCAAGAGATGAGATGGGGGGCTGCTGAACCAGCAGATATGCGTGGGTTGTCTTCGTCGCGAAACCCATCCCTCACAGTAGCTCCCGAGCGGCTCAATTCCGATGTGTTCTCGTATGAGCACACGTATGGAGTTCATCCAGTGCCAAAGCTAGAGTCAACGCCCATGTACGACTACAACAACCGAACCTTTGAACGAGAAACATCCGAGGACAGCACTGTACGAGATCAGTCTCGGTCCAACTACTCGTCTATAAACGTACCAACGGAGCGCGCCCGTAACCGAAGACACACTGACCCTGCCAACGCTCCATACCGTTGCCCCTCATGCCCCGACAAAGGCTTCAAAAGGCGATATAATCTGAATCAACACATGTTGCTTCACGAGCCCAACCGAAGAAAGGAGAACCCTTGTCCAGTCGAGGGCTGCTCGCAAGAGTTCAGGCGAAAGACGGACCTTGCGCGCCATGATCAAAGCGTTCACCAGAAGGTCAGGCCTTACAAATGTTCGCGCTGTTCCAGAAGCTTTCCACGGAAAGACACGCTGCGGAGGTAAGCTTTGACAGACTTGATCCCCACAGCCGCGAGACTAATATCACACCCAGACACGAGGACGATGGATGTACCCGGCGCAATCAGGTACCTGTCACAGATTCGCGGGTGCTCACGCAGCTCCGACACGATGGGTATGCACCGGCGACCGGACTATAGGTGGTAATCGCGTCGAATTGTGGTATATTCTGATCACATCAAGATCAAGCGTGGGTGTATATTGTTGATTGCTTGCGAATTTGTGTCCGACATGGAACTGTGCATACACGGCGTTATGGAGCGCTCTCCGAGCTTGGGTGCAATAGATAGGTTTGCGGCAACGCATAGCTACGAATGGCTTCAACAAGAGTCATACATTGCTGTTTCTACTGTATAGTACTGCTTTGGATCCAACATGCTCCCAATAATTCCCCCACAGTGATCATGACATCCTGGCGCCTTGGCGGTGACATCCATATCTCCAGTTTCATTGTTCTTGAAGTGCATCACCACCCACTCCCGTCCACTAAACATGTCCATCAAATTTGCTTTACCCAGACGCTTTGCGCCTAATTACCGGACGCCAAAACTGGTACGGTATGCGATGTATGCATGGATTTGGGCGAAGATTGGCACACGCCACCTTGATCGATCCTTGGGTGCCGTTCACGGTTGACCGGTCTCCACAACGTCTTTTGTACAACCGCGCATCGACGGGGGTCTTACGGGGATCATGCCGTAGCACAACAAGGGTCGACATGGCGCTTGCGCGAATTAACATGAGGGCGCCTAAATCCCTGCTACCTGCAAGCGATTCACATCGCGCTTACCCACCATTCGTCAATCACACGCTCTATGCGGCGCGGTGCTCCACACCACCAACGGTCCCACTCTGGAGTAATTACACGCTCAGCCCTCCTTCGCTGGTTATATTACTTCCAGTCCTTTTCAGGGCTCGACCTGCACCTCTCCTGCGGCGAAGTTCGACGGCGGCTGTTGCTGTCCTAAGTTGGATCACCAGTCTATGACTTGCATGGCAGCTCGCGAGCGACAGCGCGCCCTCCTTCACTACGTTTCCAGGCCAAGTACATCTTTGTCTGGACTAATCCATAGCGTCCTGGTGGGCGCTTAATGCTTGGACAGTGGGCCACGTCTTATCTTAATCGAGCCACGTCGGTTGACCTGGCCCCGTGCACATGGAAGCACTAAGGCTCCCACGTCACTGCTACCTCCCACTACAGCAGATGATCCTGGCCAAAACGATAATGTTCCGTTTAATGATGCGCGTAGCAGCCTCGACTTGCTCGGCTACAAACCTGCACGTCTATGGCATGGAAGTGGTGTGCGTTTGCTGCCTAAAGATCCAGGAATTCGGGTCAACCCAGGCCACAGCTGCAGACTCAGCCCCCATCCAAATAGCAACTTCCGGCTTCATCCCCGAACCCAAGCGACAATTTGAGTACTTTCACGGATGATTACAGTTTCTGCGTCCCACATCGGCTGAGACGCTGCTACACGATCACATGACTCTCCACGGTATGCGAGAGACGCTCGCATCGACGGTTCCTTCCAGCTCCAAGACTCACTAGTGCTGCATGCCCGGCATTGCAATCCACTCGACCCTCCGCGGGATGTCGAGATCGAGAAGCAGATCGCCCCGGTCATGCCCAGACAGAATTGCTCAAGTGAAACGATACCCACCCAACAAGGGCTCTTGGGGCACCAGTCGCCGATGCGCATCGCCGACATGCTCTCGCAAATAGTCCCCAGACTGCCTTCACAGTGACACAACAGAACTGCAGGGGCAATCATACGTTCGGGCTGAAGATGCATCTGCCATCTCATTGGTGAAAGTTCCCAACAACCCTGCGTCAGCACTATAGAAGTTGCTCCGTGCTTACGCAGCGGGCATCTGTAGGTGATCAGTACCCGTTGTGAGTGGTTCCATCCTTGGTAATCTTCCTGAGCAGGTTGCTCCGTGCTACGTTCGAGTACTCCTAGTCAAGTGTGACAACAGCATGTTCGATCGCGACCGACTCAGAGTTGGGCTCTGTGTGATGCAGACCACGAGCAACTCAGGTCGCGACCAACGACCAGAGACGCGGGAGTGTGCCACACTTGATCACAACACGGGGTTCTACAATGCTGTTTCGACTACACACCAGTGTTAGTTTACAAGACTACCGATTCTTCCTTGGTGTTATGCATGTTGTAGCAGTACGAGTCCGGCTTTTGAAGGCTTCATTCGAGTTGTACGGATCGGGTACATTACCCACCAATGAGCGTTGCGCAACTGGTATTACCAAGTACTTGCGAGAATGCAACGAGCGCCGACTCATGTTGTGCAGCGTTGTAAGCAGTCAAATGAAGGAGGTTTACGTACTAGTTTTTATGAGACGATCTCTACTTGAGGTATGTGGTCATCAAGTCTCTTGATGGCCGAGTAGACTGCAGAAGAGTTCTCAGACTGTATATTCCAACTTCCGTGCGACTCCAAATTGCGCCACTGAACCATGGCCGCCAATAATTTCCCCATCCCCTCACCTCGCAAGATATCGTCTCATTTCATCGCAATGGTTGCTAATGTTAGCAAAACGAGCAAGATAGCTCACAATATAAGAAGTTTTTGCGCGGTGAAGATCATATGGTCTGACATTGCATGTGTACATATAGGTATTGATCGGTTTTCCAGTTGGCACCTATCGTTTCATTGGGGATGATCTCAAGAATCACAAAAGCCCGCCTCTAATTTGCATAACCAGGCTGGTCAAATCGACCACAAAGAGTCGGATTGCTATCCACAGAAGAACGAGCACCCGCGGTGGCGTGCCTTACGCCCGATTCTAACATTCCTGGGTATCTGCGCGCCGGGCCTGGGATTCCCGCTCACATGGCGCTGGGAATGATTGAGCGCTGAGGCCACGTGAACGTAGTGCAGTCAGCGTCCCAAAGAGCATTGAAGAGACGTCTTGTGTCACGAAGGCTATAAGCGTAGAAGCGCGTCTACTTCTCGTGAGTCGTCCAAGAGAGACGCGATTACCCCAGCACAGCCGCGGTGCATCCGCTGCAAACGCAAGGCGCTTTAGCGAGGTCTTTTGCCGCGATCTGGCGCCCAGATAAGCGCGATCTGCGCCAGGGCCGCCTAGCTCGCGTTAAACAGACGCAGCTAAAGCCAACGTCGTCACATTTAAGCGATTCAGGCTACAAATCTCGTCCGAGTCAGAGCGCGGCAGAAATCTGACAGATCCTCCTTAGCGTCTCATATGTGTTTTCAAATGCACCATATGCAATTGACACAAAACAAAAAGCAACATCCAAGATCGCAAAAGTACCACCTCTTGGTTCACACAGCTTGCAACACGTTGGTTGATAGATGCTAAACCTTCGGCACGGCCTGCAAGCTTAGCGATTCCGACGGTCACAATTTCAAATCCGCGCATTTGATAGCGCGACGATGTACTTGGTAACCGTTGGGCTGGACGGAACGGACGAAACTGCCCCTCAGCAAAGGAACGACATGCTTGCATGGTGGAGAATCATGAAAGCTGCCTATAGGCTAGAGAAGCCGATATCTGCGATACTAGGCATAGGACGGGCGCTCATTGTCGCTCCTACCTGTTTGAGACAGGCTACGTACAGGAGGACTCAAATAGCCACAGGGTTCAGATCGTTCGCACAAAGGCCCACTTTCCCTACTCCCCGAGCGGAGCAATCATAGTTCATACGGCTGTATAGCTAAAGCCGACCGCCCACAAGCTCGTGGAAATTCCAACATTGCACGACCGCACATTCTCTTTTCGACTCTTTCCAGTATACCAGGCACATATGTTATGCGAACATCCGAGTATCGCAGGATTGTAACTGCGACATGGTTATCCTATACGATCACACTGTTTTCATGTCGCCGAAGAATCGATGCAAAGTAGCCGTGGCAATAACTATTTTGCGCAAATCTGGAGCGGACGATTGTCTTCCCACAAACAGAGACCCCTGACCCATTGAGGCCAGCCTCGTCGCTATTGTTCCGTTGGAAATCCAGCGACCTGGTAAATGAGCATCCGTAGTTCATTATTGTGAGCTTGGCAATGTTCCGATTGGCCAGAGCTGGCGTGATAATTGCTGCGCTTATTCGCGCGTCCCGAAGTCATCGAAGCGGAGCCAGAAACGCCAAAATCAAGCCGCTTACTCGATTCATTCACAATATTATGATTCTTCAAGGGAGATCCCGAGACGCAGCTTCGCAATGAGCAAGAGCGCTTCTGACACCACTAGCGTCTCGATGTGTTTAGTAGATCTCGGCAAGTGTACCGACAGCATGGTTCACTGCCCGTTTCCTGTCTGTAGAAGTGTGTTGCATTGATTCCTTCTCACGAGCAATCTCCTCACGCCTCCACACGCATTCATGCCTAGCACCGCGTAGAAATAGATCAGGCGTCGGAAATTTTAGTGATACTCGAAGAACATCTGGTTCGGCGGCATCTGACGCGCTGCTCGGCCTTGGGCCTGATAAGATATGGGCGCCGCGGCGGCAAATATGGCCCGTTTAACGGCGAAAATTCCTCAGATCCCAAGGCAGCGAATGCCGAAATGGAAGTCTGCCGCCTTGTCCTACAGAAGCCGTACGATCATACCATCAAAATGCCTTGGATTCTATTGTATGTGGGACGTCTCGCTTCGAATCTGAGCCAGGCCAACCCTGCGTTGCGGTCCTCGAGGCAATCGAGGCAACATTCACGCTCCTTAACATGACTCGCCGGTATTGGTATACTGGATGGTATGTAGGCCCTTCGACCTTCACGGATGCGGAACAGGCGAGGCTCTGACGATGACATCAGACACCGTCGTGGTCAGAGCAGGCTTAACTGGCGCTTTCAATCATCGCAAGGCTGCATCTTACCGGTCAACCGCTCGGCAAGCACTGAGCCGGCGTCAAGATGCGCTACGTGGTCAGGCAGAACTGATGAACGTCGGCAAGCGCCGATCAAACGTGCATTCTTAGAACGAGCACAAGACAGCCCTTGGTCAGCACATTACTTCGGACAAGGACCTTCCCCACACAAAGACCGCATGAATGAGCCTGGAATACCACCATCCAAGGACTGTTACACTCGGGTATACCTTGGGATATGGACTAGCGTACAAAGTACAGAAAATGTTGAGGCTGTGCCGGTCCCCTTGTGGCAGTGAATTAAGCGCCGGGCGAAGACTAGCTCATACGATCAGCACACACCCTGCAGATGGCCCCCATAACCAACAAAGCATCGCCCAAGTCTGTCATTAAGGCAGTAGCTTGATAAGCCCATGCGGGGCTTTCGAACAATTACCCTCCACTAAGATGTACAGACAAGTGAATGTTAGTGTCTTCACACGTCAACATCCAAGGCCACACACCCCACAAGTACACGCACCCCTGCTACACAAGCTTGAACAGTGCGATTGGAGATCGCACTTTGAAACCACAGCGCAGAAACAATTGCGCGCGTCAGGACCGCCCATAGCCATTTGGGCGATACGCAAACCCAACGCAAATACCTCTAGCAATTGAGTGCAATTGATCTGGATCCCATTTACTGCATCGTGCCCCACTCAGCGAGCAGCATACCGGTTGAGGAAAGAAACGCGTCTTGAGCTTTGACACGATTGGCCCCCTCACTATGTACAGCATGTGGAAGAAGGTCGCCGCTTTCCCCGAAGAAACAAGTCTACCGAGGCAAGACCCATTGCGATACATACCACGTAGACGTGCAAAGGCCCTACCGCGGTGTAATGACTGATTGATCGGACAGCATGTCAACAAAGCAGATCCATCACTGGTCGAAGATGCCTTGCACAAGAGAGCACATTCCGACGCAAAAGTGCTGCGACGACTCCGCGGCTGTTCTATGTATATATGACACCGATGGATCAAGTAAGGCAGAGCTCTGTGCCGCGCGGGTAAGGCTTCTAGCGGCAACAGCCGCGGCGCCTACCATCATCTCACATGTGGGGGAGTTTCGTGTAAATCCATCGTAAGCACTGAATGGTTTACAAATAGATACAGGGGCTGAGATGATTCTTTCACATGGTCAGGAAGGTGTGGTCAAAAACATTTACTAAACGCGATTTTGGCCCCCACGAGAAGCCGCACCCTGGCTTGACTCCTCCTTTACGAGGATGTTAGAAGTACGAATCCCGACTACACCATGCATAGCTTCTCACTGACCGATCAAGCTGTGTTCTGCATATGTTCTCCCGCGAACTATGATTCCTTCGGCCGCCCGCATACTCGATCCGTCTCGTGACGGAAACGGGCGAGTGAGGACCTAGGCCATGACGTCCGTCGCTCATAGAATACATCGAGACCCGCCATCGCCTGGGTATTACTTCCTTCGACTTTGAGTTACCGACAACATGGCCAAGGGGTCAAGGATTGCTCCTGTGCTCATCACTGTCAATCTCGTAACCAACCCATGGATCCATCAAGCCTCGCGTACCACCAACTTTACGCCCTGCTGCAGCAACGGTCTGACTGCATATACCACGAGAGGTTCGGGATGCGAATCCAACACCGTTGGAGTGGGCGCTTTTCTGGGAATTAAAAGCTGGTCAGCCAATTACAATAGCCAAATAAGTTGAATTTGTGGTAAGTTGGACCGAGTGTTTGCGGTCTCAGCAAAGTACTACTCAGCCTCGTTTCAAGGGAGTGACTGCGGTGGCATGTTTCAACATCTACCAGATATTCAGCCTGGGTTACTGGTAATCAACAACTACTGCCCGAACAGCTGGCACGGACGACGGACGTAACGCTACAAATCGTGTAGAGCATGTTTTGAGGTCATTACGCCCCACGGCCCATTAGGAAGGCTGCTCGCAAGGCAGTGCCATGGGTATTGACAAGGGCAAGCGACCGCCCGTTGAACTAGCAAGGCTTATGAGCACACCAACAGTATGGCGTCCGTAAATATCTAGATAGGCTATGGTATCGGAGGTCGAAGTCGGGTATAGCACCACGTGCGACGGAACTTTCCATGTGTAGGGCGTACATCAGACGGAACAGGGGAGATTCAGTTCCGCCTGTGTGTGTGTGGGAGCACTGCATCTTCTGACATGATTGTAAAGCCGCGGATGAATGGTACACTCCTATCTCCGGTCACGATCATATACTCCAGTAACGATCTTCACGAAACACGTCATAGTAATAGCACCAGAGAATCCAGATATACATAGCCACCAGTAAAAACGCACGTCATTTACTCTGCCAAACATCCTAATCCAGAACACGTCATCCAAGGCAAGCAACAACACAAACAACGAGGCGTAAAGCCATCTCCCCCGCCTCCGCGCGTAGTCTACAAGCATACATCAAGGCAAGCAATCACAGATACAGCGAGGCGTAAGGCCATCTACCTCGCCTCCCCTTGTAGCCCCCATCAGGCGAGCATAAGCCGCCTCGAACCTTAACAGCACTGCATCGACAGTCTTGTTCAACACACATCAAGCCAGTTGGGCGTTATAACACGCCACTTTGGATAGACCTTGAATGCACGCGATTTCGCCTCCATTTGCATTGCCTGGTCGAACATAAAACGTACTCAGCAGCGAGGGCGTTTGAGTTCCAACGACTGTTAGGAAGGAAAGGTCGCGGAGAGATTCTGTATTCGAAGGAAGGAAGTGGACGGTACCAGACATGTTTTCTTAGCTTCGAAGAGGTGCTCAAGGTGGCGTGAGGTAAACGAACAGGCAGCCTGCATTCGCTGCAGTTTCTTTACTAGCAAGATAGTTGAACCAGTCGGTCTACATGCTTGACCTCGACATCGGGGACATGAGTATGTACCTCCGGACTCATGGGACCCGTGACCATGTTCTGAATAGCACAACTCCTAGTAAAATGAGTTGATCCATGGTAAAAACAATCTTAATTTGGACAAATCATCATCTATAACCTCCTTATTCACACGCATACATGCACGGTCTGCCAATCTTGTAACCTGTCTTACGGTTCTCTCTACGACGGTTACCCACAGTCACACATTGACCTGACTCGCACCCTTGACATCCGGAAGCAAGCCACATCGGACTCTCGGGCGTTTTCATACATCTGGGCTAAAAGAATGGAAATGACGTTTACTTGATTCACTGAAGAACATTTCATGTATATGATTTGATTGATTTACACTGCACAAGCACTTCGAGCTGTGCTCAGGAGTGGGTGGTCGTTTGGTACAGCTCCCCCAACCTTTTCCTATATCTACATTCATCGCGGTAGTGTGCGTGAAGTCGTGATCTCGATAACGATGACGTATGCCCTTAGATGAAGTCGCCGTCCCCAAAGCCACCAATAGCAGGAGTTCGGCGGTCGTCCGCCAGGTCCTCCAAAGCCACCAGGTCCACCGAAGCCACCTCCACCTGGAAAGCGTCCTCCACCACGGTTGTCTCGAGGTGCGCCACCAGGACCGATGGGATCGTATCTTGCGCCTGGAGGTGCCATGGGATCGTAGCCTCCTGCTCCACCTTGACCTCTGAACAGCGGATCGTCGAAGGTCGGGTGCATGCCACCGCCGAATCCACCACCTGGACGCGGTATTCCTGGACCTAGGTTTGGTCGAAGAGGGTCATTTGGCCCAAGACCCGGCGGGTAGAGGTCATCGTGCCCTATACCGACAGGATACCGGTCGTCTCGCAGACCGCCGCGGGCTGGTCTGTTGATCTCGTACTCGTCTTCAAAGCCTGGTATGGGTTCTGGCAGCGGGCGGTTGTCTCGGGGTCGCGCAAGCGGGTCTTGGAAGGGATATGGACGTGCCGGCTCTGGCTCGTTTGGGGGATCCCGCGCATCTGGGGGCTGACCTCGCCGCGGGGCTGATCGGTCTGCGGTGGAAGCTTGGTCGCGCTCGGTATTGCTCTCCTCAGCGCCTGCCTTCTGAAGTCCGGGCGCCAGTTTCTGGACGATGGAGATCTTGAAGAGTGATCCCGAGGTCATTCAACCGCCCTGCGGAAATGAAGAGGTCTTGCAGCTTCTTGGATACGTCTTCTGTCGATGTGTCTTGCGGGATCGTGAGAGGCAGGTTCGAGGGGGAGAGGTAGTCGTTCGTCGTGACATCGAAGTATGTCGTCTTGTCGTCGCCGATGGCGAGACCGTAAACAACAGACTTGCTGCCTAGTCGGTTCACTTTGACGAGGTACTCCATGGCGGACTGCGCGTGCGCATAGCGGAAGGCGTAGGAACTTGACGCGTTCCATTCGGCGGGGAGTGATTGCGGGTCCTCTGCATCTGAATGCGCCTCTATGAGTACTTGAGTATTCGCACTGCGGCAACAAAGGAAAGCAGGAGGAGCATGTCAAGGGGGGAGTGTGGGGGCTGTAGTCTCACCTATCCGTTCATCTTCTCCCAGCCCAATGAGCCTGAAGCCCACTGCTAGCATGCCCGCATGAACTGCAAGCGCTACAGCTTCCGTCCCGTTCTTAAGCTGGGGACCATCGCCCTTGGGTAGCGATGTCGCCATAAACAGTGCGAGGGAACCCGCGCTGAGCGGATTGCCCGTTGTATTGTCTTGCACCATCGTGCTCGTTCCCTGGGATGATGCTGATGTGAAAGAGTTTTGATGCAACGTGTGTAATTCAAGGGAGGAGTTGGGTCGCAGAGCGTAAAATGGTGTGATAGAGCAAGGGCAAGAGTAATGATGTAGAGACACTCACAGGCAGCAACAGCTACGAATCTACGAATTGGGAGCCAATGAGGTCAGAGGTGGGGAAGAGCTCCAGTAGCGCAGCCCTGATCCTTGTCAGATCGGAACGCAACCGCGCCTGCATGCATCTCGAGCCTCACCAGCCTGGCATACTGACTCTGCGTCCTGCGCACCATTGCACACTGTACGCTGAACACTGCACTTTGTTCACAACATGGCACTTCATTGACGTCACGACTTTCAGCCAAGCTGGATGCGGACAGAAAAACCATCGATTCACTGACCGCCGTGCGAGGATTCGAAACAAGCCTATACAAAAGCAATATGGAAGGAATCCCATCACAACGCTATGCTGTAACCGAGGGGAATAAGTAATGTAATCAAACGCCAAAGGCAATGCATCGAGTACTAGAAACCCGGAAATCAGTGAGCGACACAAGAGGAATCCACACACGGCGCGTCCTACTCCGGCACGTCTTGCAGACTGCTCGATGCGAGCTCATTGGGTTCGAGCAGCCTGGACTTTGTCAGCAGATGCCCAGTATGATTTGACCTGTCAGTTGTACTTACGAGTATTGCTTGTAGAGCGTACCCTCGCCACCCTTTTCCAGGTCAACATTGAACACGTAGTAGTTCCCTTCACTGGTCACCACCATGATCTGTGGTCCGTTGTTGCTCAGTGCGACCACGGTCCGAACAGGTCCAGCTGACGCCGCGTTTGGCGAGCGCGGTACCTTTACCCAGGCAAAGTCGCGCGATGGTTCCCATATCTCGGCAACGGCACTTGGAAGATATCCTCCCACAGTTGCCGCGAATGATTTGCCGACTGTTTGAGAGGTCCGCCGTATCATGCTTGCGAAAGTCGGGTTGAGTGGTTTGCGCTCCGAAGCTGCCATATCCGCTGTGCTACTTCCAAATTCGTCGGATATATCTTCGCTCGTTCGACTACTACTGCGCTGATGCGACGTAGAGAGCAATGTTGTAGGCCCAGAGGAAATGCTGTTGCTGCGGCTTGTGTTGGGCGCTCCAAGACGGAATATGTGCACAGTCTCAGTCGCTGAAGAAACGCTGAGTAGAGTCGACGTCGAGTTGAAGGACATGCTGAATATCCTTGCTGGTATGGATCCTCTCCTGAACTGGTACAGCTTCTGCGCGTCCGGAATCGAGAAGACACGGATGATGGTGCCTTTCTCTGAAGCCGTCGCCAACAGAGTGCCATCGTTGTTCAGCGCTATGCAAGATAGGGGAGAGTTGTGTGCTTCTATCACATTGACTGCCTCCATCTTGGTCGCATCGTATATCAAGATTTCTCCGCTTGTCGGCGCTATGTGATCCGACTTGGGCGGCGCGTGGGACGGAGGCTGGAAGGTAGCGGGCGCGGCTTTGGTGGGGAGAGGGTAGATGAGGTAGTTGTTCTCGGATGAGGCGGAAAGGGCGCATATCGCTGTGACTTGTTAGTGTGCGCAAGAGGGTAGACGACGCGTCTTGGGTACCATTCGGGTTGGGCGATGTCTTCTCAGTCCTGAGCATCTGCATGTTGCTGATGTCGTAGATGTAAAGCTCCGACTCCAGCACCACCACCAGTCGCTTCCTGTTCAACCGCATGGCCAGAATCGCCGTGCGGAAGGTCATTTCGCATATTGTGGAGTGCCTCTTTCCCTAGTCAGCATCCGGGGCAGCAAATAGGGCTCTCTGCAGCTGACCTTGGTGTTCTGAATCCGAAGTACGCGCGGTGACAGAGTGAGAGCGACCAAGGAGGTGGAAAAGAGCATTTCCAGGCTGGATACATCTCCTTCGCGCGACTCGGACTGCTTGTTGAACGGGTCCGTGGTGTATACCCGATAGCCGTTGCTGGTACCTATGCGCCGTGTTAGAACTCGCTACCTGGCGGATGGAGCTGCTACATACCCACGCCGAGGTGGCTGTGGTCCTGGTTGAACGTCACGAAGTTCATGGCGGGCGTGGATTCAGCTGCGACCAAGACCAAGATGCTCAGAGTTTAGAGATGGCAAATGAAGCTTGGGCCTGCCGTTCATGGGTCACCGCCGCGCGACCGAGTACGATTGACGTCTTGTGCTACCCAACGAAAGTGTTTGTTTGATGCGAAGACGGTGACATGTGTACCTGCGCTTGGTCACGGGAGCACGGCGACGCTCTCGTCGAGGTTGGAGTGAGGCTCGTGATGCGCGTCCGCCTGATGAACTCATAGCCCCGAGAGCCCCATCCGCACCTGCCTGCTGCAGGGATCAGCCTAGCCCCGCTTGTTCCTGCCCGAAAATCCACCACCGAATCCGGCTGTTTTGCTCTTTCTGCGTCGCGACAGTGTCTGCGACCTGCAAGATGAAGCCCAGAAATGGCCCTACAAAGCGCAAGAACAATGTGCGGTCCAAGAGGGAGAAGAGAGACGACGATGTTATGAACGTGAGAACAGCCCGCCACAACAACAGCATGAACCATCAACCCCATCTAACACTGACCACAGACGAACGACAGCAGCATTGTCTCCAAACGATGTGTGTCCAAGCTCTATTTCAGCAATGAACCCGACTATTACGAGCCATTCGCGCCCAAATACGTGCGCCGCAATCCACTCATCAATCGAGGCTATTGGCTTCGCATGCACGCCATCGAGCAGGCCGTGCTGCGATTCCTAGAGAAAGACAATGGCAAGCCGAAAGTTGTTGTGAATCTGGGGTGTGGATAGTGAGTAAGTCCATTTTCTGCACTTTGCAATTGAGCATTCACTGACCATACATGTAAGCGACCCGCTGCCCTTTCAATTCTGGCATCGATATCCGGCACTGACGAAGCATGTCACCTTTGTTGATGTGGACTATCCGCAGCTTATGGAAAGAAAGAGAGACCGCATGCTGACCAATGGTCTTCTCCGAGATGCACTGCTGAAGACGCAAGTGCGCTCATCGGAGCTCCCCGTGTACCTTCGCAGTGACCGGTACATGGCCATAGGATGCGACTTGAGACATCTTGGCCTTCTTGAAAAGACCTTGCGGGCCGAGCTTGATGTTCCCTCGTCTTCGGTACTCTTTGTGGCAGAAGTGTCCGCCACTTACATGCCCGTGGCGGATTCAGACGCACTCATCCGCTGGGCAAGCACGCTTGAAGACGGTAAGTCGTATGAAACCATGCAATGTGACATATGCTCACACGAGCAGCTCGCTTCTGCATACTAGAGCAATATCTGCCTCAAGGCCCAGATCATCCCTTCGCAAAGACCATGCTCGCCCACTTTAAGAAGTTGCAGGCCTCTATCCACGCCATCGAACGGTATTTGCCGTTGCAGCAACATAGTTCCCGATTTACAGAGTCCGGATGGCCAAGCCTGGAAATTGCTCGCAATTTGTGGGACCTCTGGTCGGACGATTCCTTTACCCCTCCTGCTGTCCGGCGGCAACTCGACCTCATCGAGCCGTTTGACGAATGGGAGGAGTTTGCGCTATATGGTGGACACTACTTCTTGCTGGTTGCATCCAACGCGGAGCTAAGGAACTCGACTGAGACATCAGGGACGGGTGTCACAACAAACCATGATGAAAAAACTAATGGCGCCGAGGAGATCAATTTGCTCCATATTGAAAGCCCAGCAGATGACCAGCTGACGCCGCGTCGTTTTGCATCTGTATTCAGGCTTGATGCGGCAGGCGTTGCGATCCATGGAGGACAAGGGCAGCGAACACGCCTGTCCAGTGTGGATGTACTAACACAAGACAATAAAGCACTCAAGTTTCAGCCTTCCTTTTCGCAGGGGCCTTCTGCACGCATGTGCCATACCGTCACATCAATAGATGATCGACAGGCTTTACTCGTTGGCGGGCGTGGATCTCCAACACAGGCCTTCAACGATTGCTGGCTCACTCGGGACGGTGTCTGGACCAAGGTCGACGACTTGGCAACGGCTCGCTACAGGCATTCCTCTGTGCCTGTGAGATCCGAGTCTGACGTATCAGAGGTTATCGGCGTTTTAGTATTTGGTGGCAAGACCAGTGACGGCACAGCCTTGGCTGACTGGACTTTCTGGACAGCCAACAACGGATGGCACAGCATACCCGTCGACGGTGACGGACCGCATCCATCGCCACGTTTTGGCGCCGCGATGTCGATGATGGGCACAGGTATCACTTCGGGGCTGCTTGTCGGCGGAATGTGTCAGAGCGGCACAGTTCTCCAGGACGTCTGGGAGTGGACCATCTCCATCACACCAACACTTCGTCTAACTTTTAAAGACCGCACCAATGACCTTCGGGGAGTTGGCTCGCATACCACCTATGCGCGGATAGGTGCCAGTCTTGTTCCGTGGGACAATTCACTCTTACTGATTGGAGGTGTTTCGAAATTCGGGATCCACTCTCTATCAGAAGACTTCTTGCTTCTTACGCCTAGTAGCGCGGAGATCAACATACGCCAGCCAGTTGTGCCGCTGCCTTCGACGTGGCCACTTCTCGTCGGCATGGGTGTGGTCGCAGTGTCCCGAGACGAATTCGTGATTGCAGGAGGTGGGGCAGTATGCTTTTCAATGGGCAGTTTTTGGAACGATGGATATCTTACGGTCACAAAAGCTGGCGTACAAGGTATGAGAATGTGGCGTAAGGTGCCGCTTCAGGTCGACGGCACAGCACAAGCGAAGCCACCAGGCGTGCCTCACAAAGGGCAGCCTATCAAGGCAAAAAAGACCTCCGGCTTGCGGACTGCAAAAGTGCCCCGCATACATTCTGAGTCAGCTGAGGCATTTGAGAAGCTGGTGGCGGCCGCAAAGCCAGTCATCATCGAGGGCCTCGATATAGGCCCGTGCACAGACCTCTGGACACTCGACTACCTGAAGGTGAAGATAGGTGTTGAGCGGGAGCTCGTGGTCCATGAGTGCAACTCAGACCGTATGACGTTCAAGGACAAGAACTTCCAATACGTCAAACGGACTACGGGTGAGTTTCTCGACGGCATAGCGCAAGGCACAAAATCGTACCTACGTGCTGTATCCTCGAGCCAACCAAACAAGCTCCCTACAAAACTTGAAGACGACTTTCCAGACATCGCAGCCGACTTCAAGATACCAGAGATCTTCGACGCAATCACACCTAACATACACAGCTCACCACTCCGCATCTCTGGACCCGTCTCTCTATGGCTGCACTACGACGTTCTCTCAAACATCCTATGCCAGATCCGCGGCACGAAGACACTCCATCTTTACCCTCCATCGGATGTCAAATACCTTGACTACCCGCCCGGTGGCTCCTCCTCCAACACCGACGTCCTCGCCTCCAAAGACCCCAAACTCCGCTTCACACACCCACATATCGCGTCTCTCAAGCCCGGCGACATCCTCTTCATCCCACCCATGTGGAGCCACACCGCAAATCCTGACGAAGGCGTCAGCGTTGCAGTCAATGTCTTCTGGAGAGGCCTTGACAAGGGCTATGCGGCTGGGAAGGATGTGTATGGCAATCGCGATTTGCAGGCATATGAGAATGGTAGAAGGGATGTGGAGAAGATTGTTAGGGCTTTTAGAGATGTGCCGTCTGATATTGCGAAGTTTTATTTGGATCGGTTGGCGCTGGAGATTGAGGAGGGTGCGGGGAAGATTGGAAAGAAAGGGAGGAGCGCGGATGAGGGTGCAGGGGAAGGGGAGTGATGTCGTAGAACTATGCCAATGCGATTGCTTAACAAAAATTCTTGCATCCAACTATGACACATCGCATCTGTCTATATTTAAGAACATACTGGGCTTGATCATGCAAGATCGCTGTCGCCCGTTTGTCTGCCTGCTCACCGCCACTAGCTGCGAGCCCGTTCACCCTCACCCCACTCTACACTGGCACACTTTACATCTCTCGGAGACTTGGTACCTTCCTAATGCGGCAACTATTTTTCATCGTTGAATGCAGTAAGAATTTCAGTGAATTAAAACTCTAGGTAAGCACTTAGGATATGACTAGAATGTTAAGAAAGAGTTACGAGGGCAGAAGAGTTAGTATATACTACACTAGGCAATTTCTTTTACTAGGTATCGATTGTAGTAGAATTTTGAGTAAATTGACGCCCTTGGTGAGTGTCAAGGGATTAATGAGCATCTTGAGCGAGAGTTGTGATAATAGGAGAGTTGGTATATACTGTATTGGGCAATGTTTACACGGTGTCGATTGTAGCAGATCTTCTAGTCAATTGCCCGCTATTGGTGAATATTAGCGAACAGTGAGATTCTTGGGGAAGAGTTAGGATAGCGAGAGAGTTGGTACACACCAGATTAGGCAAGATTTATAGAGGTGTCGGTTGCGGCAGATTTTAGAGTAATCTGCCGCTCTGAAGAGGATATCAAGAAGAAATTGCGTTGTGATAAGAGTGAATATGAATTAAGTAGGCACCCGGCACATTATTTTGTTGCCAAAGTTTACACTTAAAGTTACTGAGTCATTTCTCGCATGTGCGCTGAGAGCGAGACCGTGCGATAACATCAACAGCGTACATTACTTCCTAGCACTCTCTCGCCTCGTGACAAAGGATTTCCTAGTGCCTTTAAGGTCCTGCACACTGCAATTACTTCACTCTCCACCACTAGCTGCTTGATTCTCCTTCTTGCCATCTCATGCAGTACATCTCATACACGTACTGGCAGCAGCCCTAGCAGAAGACGTTGGCGTAGATGTCGTGATAATGCAAGCTCGGGTTGAACTCAGTGTGATTGAAAAAGAGGTATCTTGAGATGTAGGGATATTTAGTGCTATTGAAGTTCTTGCTGATTTCATGCCGGCCATGAAGCTTCGAATGTATCCCAGAGGTTATCCCAAGGGTATTCAAGTGTATCTAATGATAGGAATAGATCTGGCAAAGCGATGGGCTCATCTCCTGAGTAATCCGCGATGCCCACCTCTATCGGTTTATCATGCGATATGCTCGCCATAGTTTCGGTACGCGCTTCCTGTCTCGAATACGAGATAGTTTGGAAGGCGTCTGCAAGCTTCTGTATCGGCTCTTCGCACCTTTCGAGGCAGAAGTCTGCCAGGTCCCATTCGGACTCTTCTCTAGCTGTTCGAAGCCGGTCTCGGAAGACGATAAGCTTTGATATACATGATTTTTTCGTTGCTAGATCTTCACACTCAATTGTGCATCTGAGCAGAATTGTGGCAGCCGAAACGAGGAGATAGGATGTATAGGGGAGCCAAAACTCTTGCAGCTGCGCATGCTGCAGCGACGCGACAAAGTCCACAGTCGCGCATGATGCTTCTCGGAGACTTACAAGTCGGCAATACTGAATCTCTGTCGAAGATGTGGTTTCTTTCAGTGTTGCCTTGACCGCGAGGCGGCATGTAAGTAACTTTATAGACAAGAACGCAAACCACAGGTTGCTGCTTCCATTCACACTTGAAGCGCTTGTAAGGCGGTTGAATATGAGAGATGGTGGCAAATCTGCTAGCCAGTTGTCCAAGGCGTACTCTGTCTTCCTCAAGCACGTCCATAGCTCGTCCAGGTCCAGTCGAAGTGCATATACATGAGGAAGAACTTCCCCCAGTATTTGCGTGAGCTTACAAAGCTGTATAAAGGTCGACGCAGAGTTGAGGCACGACTGCGGAATTGTTGGAAAGGCGAGCATGTCAGAAGTAACGGGCGGAACATCGTAGTACCTAGGATTGATGGTGGGCGGTATGCCATGGCCGACACTAGACCAGTGATCATGTATGACGACACCCCACCACAGACGCATACGCACGTTCTTCTCGTGTACTGTAATTTTCCACGAAGATGGATCTCGGTGTAGGCCCAGGCTCTGTGCGAGAGTGACGACTCTTCCTGCATTCACGATATTACCAGTCACCGCTCTGACAGGCCTTCCCAACATGTCTAGCAAAGCAGCAGGGACTGTAGAAATGGTTGGGCCAAGAAAGTCGTCTTGGAGCGCGGTGATCGCGTTGTTCCAAATGAAGTTGAGATCGGGTCTTGGGTGCTGGCGGAGCACTTCGGACCTGTGCCAGTAGAGCAACGCTGAAGCGTACATGTCGCACATCAAAGTTGATGATACAAGATTATTGTTCTTTTGCCACAAATGAAGAAAGGTCTGCTCGTCCAGTATTGGAAAGCACGGGTGGAGGTAATCAAAGTAAAGCCTGCGCACTTCAGCAGCATGTGGGCTCAAGACTTGCTCGATGATCTCCCTCTGCGTTCCGCCAGGATCTGCTGATGCCTTTAAACCTTTACGGATCCTTGGAACTGTGAGGTAGACAATCGGATTTGTTGAGGCGGTCGATACTGTGCGGTACGGCTTGGCCATAGATTGAGACTCTATGGGCTTTGGAGATAGGTACTGCTCCAATACTGTGATGTCCTCGGCCATTTGAGGATCCATCATCACCGAAGACTCCATCGGAGAGGTATCTGTGACACCATGGTGGCTTTCTGAGTTCCGCATGTGGGATCTAACTCCCCTCATACCAGCCTCCACATGTGTTGACCTTCGCCGCTTAGCTGAGGTACTGCAAATTGTATATCAGCAAATCAGGTACCACTAAGCACGAGTTCTCAAGCTTATGCCTGGCACGCTCATACGAGCTACATCGACTCATCGACTTACCCAATTTGGTCTTGCTCCGCAACTGCCAGTTGCCCCACCGATACATAATTACAGGTCACATTTCTCTCGCGGCAACACCTGCATGCTTGGCCTGGAACATCTAGAAGGCATCTGACTTTGCGGTAGCGGCAATTGTCACACGCTGGAACTTTATGGCTGCGATACCTGGATTCCACAAACAGCGTTAGTCAAGAGTGTCAATCGGTCCGGAACTTCAACATACGGTCTGTCAAAAGACGTCGACATTTGCGGAGGTACGTGGCCTAAATGGTAACACCGCGCCAATCGAGAAGCACTGGGAGCTTAAGGTTCTGACTGATGAGTACATGATGCTGTGTTCGTCCGGAGCAAGAAGGGACGAGGAAAGGGAGTGCACCCACGATGAACCAATAGCTTCACGCACTAGTGGAGTTCCCCTTTAGCGTCGAGCCCCCCTCACCATTCTACTCCACGTCTCCGTCGGCGAACTCGATATTCTTATCATCGCAATACAACGTCCCTGTCCAGTCGCTGATGATTGCAGCAGTGCGTATACGTATATAAGAAGCCATGGAAGTCACAAAGAATCGCAGGTACTTAGAAATCTATCTATCTTGCAGCAACGATGTCACCTCTATACACTACCATCAACACTACTCAACTTCAGCGTGATGCAGACGACTGTCTACTCACCTATGGCACCTCGTTCTACCCAGAAATCATCACATCTACAGATGGCATACATTTCAAGACGGCTTCTGGTCACAGGATGATGGACGTACGTTTACTTGCTACTTGCTTGGACGGACTATACCAACGGGATATGGCATTAACCTTTCATTAGTTCACAAGTGGTCAGATGTCGACTTTGATTGGACACGGGCATCCCGAAGTCGTCAAGGTCATTCATGACCATGCACAACACCTTGATCACCTCTTCAGCGGCATGATCAGTCCGCCCGTCATCAATCTTGCAAAGCGATTGACAGGGGTCGCTCCTGCAGGACTCGACAAAGCTTTCTTCTTGAGCACAGGTGGGGAAAGCAACGAGGCAGCCATTCGGCTCGCAAAGTTCTTCACTGGTAAATTCGAAATCGTTGGGTTAGCAGCTTCCTGGCACGGAATGACCGGCGCCTCTCTTGGTGCACAGTATCATGCTGGAAGATCTGGGTATGGTCCGAATATGATTGGAAACCTTGCACTTCCGACGCCAAACTCATATCGCTCCATCTTCAGGCACTCAGATGGATCTTACGACTGGCAGGCCGAACTCAACTATGGCTTCGATCTGCTCGACAAGCAGTCGTGCGGTTCGCTCGCAGCAGTCATTGTCGAACCGATTCTCTCAAGCGGAGGGATGCTCGAGCTACCACCTGGATATCTGAAAGCACTCAAGAAGTACTGCGAAGTACGCGACATGTTACTCATTGTTGATGAAGCGCAGACCGCACTTGGGAGAGCTGGCGATATGTTCGCCTTCACCCATCACCCTGAAGACGAAGGTGTCGTGCCAGACATTGTAACGCTGAGTAAGACGCTTGGAAATGGCATACCACTTAGTGCAATTCTCACGTCCAACCGTATCGCTCAGCATGCGAAGGAGAACGACTTCCTCTTCTATACAACGCACATCAACGATCCTCTCCCAGCAGCAGTGGGCGACAAGGTGCTCGAGATCGTCATCAGGGACGACCTGTGTGCACGCTCAAAGCAGCTTGGTGTCAAACTGCAAGCAGGGCTTCGCCAGCTACAGTCACGGTATGGCTGCATCGGTGATGTCCGTGGCAGAGGCCTTATGGCAGGTTGTGAGATCGTGGGCGACAGAGCCACCAAGATCGGAGCGCCCGAGATTGGCAAAGCGGTTTCCGACAAGATGGTCGAAATGGGGCTATGGGCTCAATTGGCGACAATGCCTTCATTCGGGGGAGTGTTTCGACTTGCACCCCCAATCACGGTCACAGAAGAGCAGCTTGACCTTGCCTTAACAATTATCGAGGAGGCGCTGCGAACAACACCTGGCACCATGCCGCTGTATGCTGCCGACGAAGTTCCTCGTCCTGTTGGAGCTCTTGAAGCCCGCTTATAGATTGTAAAGAAAGTTGTCACTGAGCCTAAAGGCTTCACAGTTTTTCCCATGTTGCTATACATGTTTGCATGATTGACTATGTTCAAACGATCATGATTCCTATTTCCGTACAATTTTCCCGTGCATCCAAATCCAAACTCCCTTCCGTATCCGTGTCATCCTTCCCGCCTAGTTGTTATACTAGGTACTTACAGCGTCCTCTAGGCTTGCAGTTACACCTAGTATCTGTGATTTGAAACCCCGCAGCTACTCAAGCTCCTTTTCCATATCTTTCTGCTTTTGGTCATGCTCTTCTCTTATCTCAGCCTCTCCTTTGATCAGCTTGTCTCTGACCTTCACAGCTTCCTGAAGCGCAGTCGTTTTCGCTTTCAGAGTTGCCAGCTCTTCCTGCCTTTGTCATTGCTTCAGCTGCTTTGTACCGTGCTTCAGTTTGGTATAACTGCGCTCAAGCCTCGCGGCGCTGCTCTTCAGCTGCATGTCGCTGTTGTTCGGTTTTCTTCCGCTTTTCATCTGTAGACTTTGCTGTAGCTTCCCAGGAAGCGCACTGTCGCCTCAAATTCTCATTTGAAGCTTTGAGATTGCCGTCACTGGCCACAATTTCTCGAAGCTTATCAATGAAGCTCGCTCGCTCAGTTTCGTCCGTCTTCTTCGCTGGCCCTAACCGATCTTAGTACACATCCAGTCCGCTATTGCGTGGCATAGCTTACTGTGATCGTCGGGAATGTCTTCTTCAACGTTTCTCGCTCGCTTGGTCGCTGACAGAACACAACTGCCTGTTGCTGTAGCGGCTGTACCGGTTGTCGTTGCTACGAAGATCTTCATGTCCACTTCATTGTCATCATCTTTCGGTGATCCTGATGATTGTGATGCGGGTCTGAGCAGTAAGATTGGCTTTGATGGGCGAGCTCCCAGTAGTGTGATCGCATCAGCTACATCAGCACATGCCTTTTCAAAATTCTCAAAGCCGATTTTGGTGAAGGTTAGATACTGCGTACATCCTTTCTCTAGGAAGTAGTGTAGCACCATGTATAGGAGTCCACCAGGTCCACGTGCATGTCCAAGATTGATGTGGCTGAACGGCTCAAGCAAATCGAATCCCTTGAAGTTGATGGGTTCGTATTTCTTGTCTTCATTAACGGAGTAGTACACAATCCGATCGGGCTTCCTTGTATTCTTGTCATTCTTTTTGACGTCAAACCCAACGTTTTAATCGATGACATGAGCCCCCACGGTTTGCGACTTGTTTGGCGATGACCTAGTCGCTGTCCCAAACAACAACCTCTTCGGGGATGAAGGAATTGATTGACTGGGCATTTGGGTCCACATGCCCGGAGTGTAAGAGTTTTGCTCTTTGGTAGACACTTGAAATGAGTGACAGCAACCGTAAACTTAGCCATACGCGCATGAAGCCGTGCCTTCGTGTAGGTCGAGTATTGCGCTCATCCCGCACCGCTGTCAGTACTAGCTTGCATGATCGCTTCACCGGTTGTCAGACAAAGACCGGTAGAGGGCGCAATGAGACGTGGTTTGAGCCTTCCTAGAAGGATCAGTGATGGGCTGATTGTGCTTAGCTGTGTTCGTCTCGCTGACGTGTAGGAGCATGGGTGTAAGGGTAGGTTAGAGTAATGAGGTATGGTGTTCGAAGACTGCACTCCAGTTTTGTCCTTCACTGCAGCTCCACTCACCTTCAACCTCTCTACTGCGGTGTATCATCCCGCCATATGTCCGTACCTCTATCACCTCCATGTCCGGACCACTTCACGCCACCAGGCCACCGGTCATCCCGTATCCTCTCACCTCTGGCTTCAAGCTTCAAGCCTTCGCGTCACTTTGACCGACAATCTGGACACCAATTATCCCTTTTCTCGAACCTGTCGATTACGTCCAGGCACTGTCGCTGTATAGGGTAGTGCTGAGCCAGAATACATAGCGTAAATGGTTGAGCTGTGTTGAGTAAGATGTGGTAGCGGGGACATGCGTACTCAATACCATTTCGGAAGCACATTCTGTGTTTTTGGTAGTCATCGAGGTATGCCACGTGGACCACGCGCGAAAGAAATATGAAGCGTTTCTTTGAATGAACGAAATGTGTACCTACACTCTATTGACATGCATTGTAGCGATCTCAAGAGCGTGCTTCACGTATGTGATCCGGATATGTATGTGACGATACATGTCAGACGCTCGTGGTGACAGCACCATGGTGATGAAACAAGTAGATGGTGTGATGGCAGGAGCAACGTCCTTCCTTGACTTCCATACCCAGTCTGTAGCCTACGATATCCTGATGAGTCATGACCTCAAGGCAGAAGAGTAGGTTGTCTATACACCCTTCGCAAATGCCATTCCCACCGCTCGAAAATCGTTTTCGGGGGAAGGGCATGACGGTGGATATAGATGCTCTCCGGGCTCGGTACATCTGACGACTGGGCCTACATTACAGAACCCGGTATTATGCCAGACTTTGTATCTGCGTACCTATGGTAGGTAGCGTCCGCAAATGACCTGTGTGTCTTTGTGGGTTGGAAGTGTTCGGATTTTATGGCAGAGTCGTGATGTGATGTACCTGTAGTTGAATGGGAACGTCAAAAGGCCGTACTACGTAAATGATGTCGCACATAGATACGCGCTGTACCAGCTACCAAATTGTGAAGGGGCTACCGTAGTTTTCGCATGAGACAGAGCTGGATTTTCACCAGGACTGTGATTGATGTAGGAACATGAATGTTCCCCGAGTGGCTGTGTTCGCGAGTTGAGATGACAAGACTGGATGGCCTATGTCTGTGGATAGGTTTGGCTATAACATAGCAGTGTTGGCAATCAGTACGCGGTATGAGCATCTTCTGTTGCACTGAGGTCCCGCGGACAGAGTTACTGTGCTGTTGCGTTCTCCTGGCTTCCACCAAGTCGACACACATCCGGTTCGATCTCCTGAGCTCACAGCCTCCTGCATGCGTCGCCACCATCAACAACTCTGAAACCATTAGCGCTGATCCTACAGCTTAGCATTCGTATGCTGTCCAACGCCACAACCGCTGTATTAACCTGAAATAAGTGCAGCGTAATCAGACTCCACACGACGAAGCCTTCATCCACCGGGACAAGACTGGACAAGACAGCTTATACTACACCAAGAACATGGGCATGCAAGAAGTTGACGCACCCCGGATTCGGGGTGCAGTGCGGCTATTAGCATTTCTGCCACCCGAGAGGCGGTCGCTATGGCGAAGTGGCTCACTCGCTTACTGCAATTCTCCGGATCATCAGGAACTTAGGACTTCGATATTCTCCGACTGTGCGCGTGGCGACGACATCTTGTGATCGCTGTGTGTTGAGATTATGTTGAGGAGACGGCTGAAATGGTGCGGTGATAATGGTTATGCTATTATCGTGCGTAGATGAAACAACATCGCAAATCGCCGCTTGCAGGTCCATTACCACGACCCAGGCTGTGCAGCCGGCTTCCTGGTAGAGTTGCTATCTTTGTCCGTTTGAAGGGGCGACGTAAAGTGCTCGATGCAATTACTGTACGCGGCGAGAGAATTCTCTGAACATGCTCAGTTAATCAGGCACAACCTCGGAACGATCCAGCCAGGGTGGTCGGAAAAGTGGATTCTGGATTCGGCGAGTCGTTCTTCTAGATGAGATCTCGGTCGGATTCGACAAGTGATTCGGTAAGGAACGCGATAGTACACCTTTCCCGGTGGTCACGAAGGGCTGGAACGTGGCAGGGCGTGAGGCTCGGGAGACGGATCGCAGTTTCGAAACAAGCGGTGCCGACGTCACGTAGTGTCCCCACCCAACACACTCCCTTCATCTACGTTCGTTCCACCTTCCTCAGCTCGGCTTGGCACCGAGAACACAACACACACAACGAGTGCAGCTCATCATACATGCTAACACGTCTTCGCTACGCGTTGCGCCAAAATGTCGACAATAAAGTGCCAAGTGATGATGGCTGCGGCCGCCACAAACGCTTCATGCTGGGTGCCGGGACTAATTCACGGCTCCACGCTCTCGTATCTGCGCCAAGTTCTCCCAAGGCCTTCCAAGCCTCTCATTAACCGATGGGAAAACAAAAGGCGGAAAGCTTGGCGTGAAATAAGAAAAGGGGATCCGGTTGTGGCAGTAGTGAGTTCCATGAGAGGTTAGCAACTGTGGCCCCCCGAAACAAACCCCACAGCATCGATATTAAGAAATCTGCCCTAAAGACCACATGGGACAATTCCGGGCAGTGTGTTTCAAGAAGAAGCACCAATCATTTTGCATAAACTCCAAGGATTTTCTGAAGTTCCCGAATCTGGCCCGTCCCCATTAGCTATGTTGTACTACTTTCGTCAGTGACGCTCTCGCATAGCCAAGACGAGTATATAGTAGCCTCACATCCCTGGTTCCCTGAATGAAGACTTGGCTACTTGCAGATAGATGACCGTAGCACTTTGCCATCATGCTGCCAGCAACCCTGACCACAGAACTGAATAGCCGAAGATCGATCTTCATACCATGGTCCACAATGGCAGCGTGAGCTATAAAGACGGCTTGAGTCGTCCATCCAGAAAATCCTCACCACGGTCAATCACATCCAGCTTCACTCACTTCATCAACAAGCAAGACTTTCCACTTCGACAGTGACCTTACATTCAAAATGGTTTCCTTCACCTCCATCGTAACCGCAGCCATTGCTGCCACCGGCGCCATGGCCGCCCCCGCCACCGACGTTGCTGCTCGCTCGTCTGGTGACCTCGTTGCTCGCCAGAACACTCCCTCCTCCACTGGCACCCACAACGGCTGCTACTACTCCTGGTGGACCGACAACGGCGCCCAGGCTACCTACACCAACGGTGCTGGCGGATCCTACAGCGTCAAGTGGGGCTCTGGCGGCAACCTCGTCGGAGGAAAGGGATGGAACCCTGGATCTGCCCGTACCATCACCTACTCTGGTACCTACAGCCCCAACGGCAACTCGTACCTCGCCATCTACGGCTGGACCCGCAACCCGCTCGTCGAGTACTATGTCGTTGAGAACTTCGGCACCTACGACCCGTCGTCCAACGCCCAGAACAAGGGCACCGTCACCGCTGATGGCTCTTCGTACAAGATTGCTCAGACTACTCGTACCAACCAGCCTTCCATCGACGGCACCTCGACCTTTCAGCAGTACTGGTCTGTTCGTCAGAACAAGCGCTCCAGCGGTTCTGTCAACATGAAGACCCACTTCGACGCCTGGACTGCCCAGGGCCTCAAGCTCGGCCAGCACAACTACCAGATCGTTGCGTAAGTTTCACCTGTCACATTATTCGCTAGATTCGTATACTAATAAAACATAGCACCGAGGGTTACTTCTCCACCGGCAGCGCCTCCATCACTGTCAACTGCCCGTAAGCGCTTGCTCAACGCGGAGCGTACGGCTCAAAACCACAGGCGCCGAACCATCCCGGATGCGTTTGAACTCGTCAGGAACGTCGATGTTGGATCTTGGTTACATTCTGTATATATTTCACCCTTTTTATCAAACCCAGCTTGCTGGTCACAAATTTATGTCAATATTGCTTGTCAATTTACTCTCCCTGTGTGCGAAGATATGAATAATGCTCAAAATATTTCGTGACAGACAGTGTCAAGAAAACTTTCACGCTGATGCTTGTATAGCGACTTTTGTTGCACTTACGTAATGCCTTTTCGTCAAGCTAGAAGAGTTGGGTAGTATGATTGTTGAGACGTGCGCAGATGAAGTCAAGAGTGTGAAGTGCTTCGGGTATATCATTATGCGTGACTACATATCCACAACTAGGTCTTTCCCCCAGATTCTCCTTGTTGGGGAACAATCAAGGAGTCACTCGAATCCAATCTTCGTCCTTGCAGCTCACGAAAGCATCGTCATGCTCAGCGTTAACTTGGAAGCCAAACGCCTCGAACCTCATCAGTCCATCGACAGCATCTTATACTCATCACAAATCGCGTTTAAATCATGTCGTCAACCGGACAGTTAGGATGCAACACATACATGACCTTGTCACTCGGGATGGTCTCGCCCTGATCGTCTGCGAGACCCTCTCCACGGATAAGCATCAAGAATTGTTCCTGACACAATAGTCAGCATCTGCCTTGCTGTTCAAACAATGGTAGAAACATACCTTTACAATCTTCTTGAGCACCTTCTTCGCCAGTGCTCTCTCCGCCTCCATATCCTCCTGAGTCTCCAGCTGAGCTTCTTTCTGCTCAAGATACCAGACGAGAAGCTCCTCCTCATCAACACCATCTTGTGTCTCATCTTGGTCTTCGCTAATGCGCTTGACAAACATGTTGCGCATGGCAACATATTTGTCGTGTGTGATCTTGGTCTTTTCGCGAGGTGCAACAGCAGGCGTCGCTGTGCGCGCTCGTGAAGCATCTTGCTGGTCCTCGTCCATTGCCCCACCGTCGCCGTCTTGGGCTTCAGCAGCTGCGGCAGCAGCTAGGACCGCTTCATCGTCTTCATCCTCGACCTCAATGTCATCCTTCTCGACAGAGATGATTGATTGACGGAGGAGGTTGTAAGCTTCTTTGACAAAGTCTGGGGTGATGTCGTTGACACAGTTGGCCTTTGCGATGGCTTCTGAAAGACGAATCATACTTTCAAGCTGTCGAACAGTGATTCGGTAGCTGTTGCGTCCGATGCCACCCTGCGCATCGTCCGCCCTCAACTCCTTGTACTTCTCCACCAAAGTCTCCCTCGCCTCATCTGAGAACTCTGGACGGAACGTTTTGGCGAAGCGGATGTACCGTTGTAACTGCTCAGTACTGTACTCTGGTGTCACCGCTTCATCACGGTCTTTGTGGATCGAAACAATGTGCTCAGCAAGGTGGCGATCGACAGACTCGTCGCACTCGTCTAAGACGACGAAGAAAAGATCGAAACGCGACATGATGGGTGCGGACATGTTGACGTTGGCGCGAAGCGTTGTTTTACGGTTATAGCGGCCACCGACTGGGTTGGCTGCTGCCAGGATCGATGTGCGCGCATTGAGTGTGGCCTGGATACCAGCTTTGGCGATCGAAATTGTCTGCTGTTCCATGGCTTCGTGGATAGCAACCTGATCCGCAATGTCCATCTTGTCAAATTCATCGATGGCACAAATACCATTGTCAGCAAGCATGAGCGCACCAGCCTCGATGGTGAACTCGCCAGTCTCCTCATCTTTAACAACAGCTGCGGTGAGACCAGCAGCCGAAGAAGCCTTACCAGACGTGTATACTGCACGAGGCAAGAAGCTGCAGATGTATTTGAGAAATTGAGACTTGGAGGTCGAAGGATCGCCAACAATACAGATGTTGATGTCACCACGAAGAGCCATGCCCTCTGGCGTTTCCTTTGATACACCGCCCATAAGTTGAAGTAGTAGACCTTTCTTGATAACTTGGTGGCCGTACACCATTGGTGCGATCGAGTCAACAAGCCGCATGAAGATGTTGGGCTTGTGCACCATATCCTTCAGGTCTTGAATCTCCGATGCAGTGAGAGTACCAAGGTACTCCTCCTGAGCCAGCTCACCGCTGGCCGGATTCTGCTCAAGCTGACCTTGGCCAAGGGAACTGATAATGTTGGTAGCTTGCCCAGTCAGATGGTGGTTCGATGGTTGACCCGGGGTAGAATTGTCTGGTGAGAGCATGCATGCGAGGAACGACATGCGGTAGGTGAGATCGCGAACACCAAGGGCTTTGAGACCGCTCACACCAGTGCCACCCGCATCATTGCCACGGCTAGCGTTTGACGTATCTCTCATGGCTTGTGGCCGGACACCTGGAACACGGAATTGGCTGACGTCTGGTATGACAATAACGGTGCCTGTGAAGATGCATTTTTCACCGGCTTTGGCGCGATCGACCATCTCTCCTCTGAGAATAACATCCATTGTGCGTGGCATGCTTCCTGTGGGAATCTCCGAACTATTCTCCTGTATGCGAACTTTCTGCCAGTCGACGAAAGTGGATTGTCTGATATCCAGGCGCCAACCCTCCCTGTTCATACATGTGCTGTTTGGGCATTGTGTCGGTTCCGTGTACTTGAAAGTCTGTTCGATGTTGGGTACAACAGTGTTGCAGGCTTCGCAAATGAAGGTAGCCATTGACAACTCAGGCCTGACTTCGGAAGTGCGAGTGGCAGTTCCTGATATTGACAACAACTGCCCAATGGAAGTTGTTCGTAGCTGGCGAATGCGGGAGATGAGGGGCAGATTGTAGAAAGCCAGTGTGAACACTTTGTCTGTCTGCTGGTTCGAGGTCTGATCGTTTTGGTTGTCGTTTGCGGAATTGCCAGCGTTGGAAGCATCTGTTCCTGAGATGGTCGACGTCGGCTGGCGATGCTGGCGGAAGTATACCGGCTCGTACTTTGCAATGACGTTGTGGAGAGCTCTGGTCATGTAAGGCAGGAAGCGATAGTATTCGCTGGCAATTGCTTTGGCCAAAACACCATCTTCGTGGCTATCGAGGTGTGTGTAATCGACGTAGAGTGTAGACAGGCCCCAGAGCCTCATGCCCCTGACCTGCGCAATGTAGTACTTGTCGGTGGTTTGAATGCTCGAAGCGGGTAGTGCTGATGACGGTATCTCCTCTGTGAATCTTTGAAAAATCAGTGCAAGCTATGATCAAAGATATCGTAGAGCTCACGTCTCCAGAAACTCTTGGAACCGAAGTGACAGCGTCTCTGCCGTCACATCGACAACCCTAGGTACGTCGGTTCGAGGTCCGTTAGTCCGTCTGCCTGGTACCCTCGCACCTACGACTTCGTCATCTGGAAATCCTTCAACGTCGCTGTTTGCGCCATTGCTCTCTGAAGGAGGCCCGCGAGGTCTGGCAGACGAAGAGCGCATTCGCGGTGTGCGTCCAGGAATGCCCGCATCGCTCGAGGGCGTCGGTGCCGCATCCGAGTTGAGGACAGCATCTAGTAGAGATGACATGATGTGTATGTGGAGTGTATCGTGTCGTTGCGGGGCGTCAATACTGCGGACAGTGTTTTGACGCGGGGGCTTGTCAACACGCGAAACGCGGGTCGCGCTGGCCGAATCGGGAAGTCGAAGTACCTGGCACGTGCATAGTCACAGTCACCAAAACGTCTCCGGTGACAGCATACGCTGCGGCTATACGTGTACCCGGAGTTCCTTGGCAATACTACAGGCAATGAAGGCGTCTCGTATAGTCACATATAATCGTTAGGGGTATCAATCAGGAATGCATTTGTCGTCGTAATCTAGGCTGAGGTGGCTACAATGAAAGGGTATATAGCTTATCCATCCATCCGAAAAGAACAAAAACAAGCTCCGAAGAGCAAGCAGAAACGCCAAACAATGCTGTCATGCTACCACGTCGTAATTCCAACCAACAACAGAGTCCATCGCTCTACACCCACCCACCACCGCGCACGGTCACCAGCAACTACTGTACCGGGTCGTTCAGACGCACCTCGTACTGGTGGTCCTCGGCGGCGTCTTTTCCGTGAAGACGCACCCGGTACAGACAGGTGTGGTCAGCGCCCCAGTTGCTAGTGACCCGAAGCATGGCCTTGGAGACCGGCACCGGGCTCGGGACGTCGAGATCAAACGTCTGTTGGTGATTGGACGCGTGAATGTTGTACCTGAAGGAACCCAGGCAGGACCAGCCTGCTGGGCCCTCCTGGCACGAACCTTCACGGTGCGAGCCTTGCGACTCCACACTTTGATCCGTCTCGACCCAGAGCTCGATGGTGCGCGGGGCGTTGGTGATCTTCTTGCTTGGCATCATCGACATTGGCAGGTGCTCGATAGTGACCTGCTGCGGGTAGACCGGGCGGGCCAGGGCGACAGTGAGCTGAGCTTGCCCACTCATCATAGGGTTAGGTGCCGCGCACCAGCAGTCGCCCGGTTCTTCCCATCTATCGAGGGCAGCCTTTGGCGGGTTGCGGTATCGGGAGAACAGTAGTCGACCCAAGGAACCCCATGGGCTCGGGCTATCGAGGAAAGTGGCAGATGTAAGGGTAGGTATGACGACGGCACCGAGGCCGGGCGAAAAGTGGTTTGCCTTTTGGAGGTTGAGCTCATAGTTGGTGAGCAGATTGCTCTGTGCCAGAGTGTGGAGTCGGATGGAGTCAATCATGGCTTTTTTGGCTTCCGCCTGAGCGATTGCCTTGATTTGGGAGGCTTGGCCTTGAATTGCTTGATACACCTTCTCATCAACTTGAGCTGCCATCGTGTCATAGTGCCTCTGGACCAGGTTCATGAACTCCTCGCGGGAGACTGCTTCGGGACGCATATCTGACGGAGTGCCCGTGGAGGTACCTCCAAAGATATCACGGAGCTTGTCTTCGTTGCGCTTGAGGAATTCAGTCCATTCTGCGTCACCTCCAGAAGACTCGGCTTTGCTGATTAGGGCATTCCAGAATTCATCGGTGACTTCTCGCCTGCCATCTGGGAGGGTACGGACAACCATGTACTCTGGCAGATGTTGGTTGAGCTTAGCAATTGTGTCGTCCATGTTCTCAAAGCGACTGTCGAACTCGTTGTAGATCTTCTTCATGCGAGACCAAAGGTAGTTGTCGTCGATGGTTCCGTCGCCCCTTTTGAACTCATCCATATTTTGCTTCTTTTTCTCGGGACGCTCAGCAGGCATGACCCAGTCTGCGACATCATAATACGCGTTGGAGATCCGGTTGCCGAATGCGGTGACCATACCAGGCCGGGTAATGGAGTTGGGTTCGTGTTTCGAGGTCATGAGTTGAACAAGTCCAAAGCAAATAGCGAGCAAGCCAGCCGCGCAGACCAATGTCCAGAAGAGCGGGTTGAAGTATCGCTCCCAGAACCACTTGTCATCATCCTTGAGACCCGGCTCAACATTACCAAGCCACTCGTCCAGATGAGGGTCGGCGGCTCGCTGCTGAGAAGGCTGCTTACGCGGCTTGCTGCGAAGCGAAGTAGGGCCCTCTCGCTCTTCTGCAAGCGGCTGGCTGGCAGACTGATCAATGACTTTCCTTGGCGCGGGCGTCACCTGCTTGGGTGGCTGCTGTCGGACGGGCTCGATCTCGACCGCGACCTCGACGTCTTCCTCCTCTTGTACGTTGGCTTGAGTCTGGCGATGGCGAGTTCTATTCGTCTGCCAGAGGGGCTTAGCAAAGACCTCTGCAGATGGTGATCGAGCAGCAACTTGGCGCAGGGGTCGAAATAGCATGCCAGCTTCGTGGACAGGGCCGAAGGACTTGGAAGTGTTGCCGACAGACGCCGACAAATCGTTCTCGCTAGGGGCAAGGTCCTCACTGTCCATAAATGAAAGACCTGGCGGCATTGGAGTGGGAGCTTCAAGCTCAGGTGAAGAGGAGCGCTGGGGAGTACGGCCGTTCAGAGCACCACTCATGCGCGGAGTCCCGTCGCCAAGCTCATCGACGTCGTCTTCTTCTTCGTCTTCCTCGTCGCGCGCAGCAGCCTCACCACGCTGGTTTTGAAAGGCCTGCGCAAAGCCGGTAGCGGAGATCGATAGCTCTTCTGCAGCACCAACACGACCGCTTGCACCATAAGCGTTAGACTTACGCGGCTTGACTTTGGTGAGAGGGCCTTTCTTGCGCTGCCTGGTTCCGCCGTTGGTCATAGTAGTGACGACAGATTGGCCCGTAACCGAACCTGCTTGGGAAAGGCGGGCAGAGCGGCGGGCAGGCGTTGCGCCCATACCTCCAAGTTGGGACATGGCGGAGGCTGAGAGGTGGATTGTGTGGGGGGTGAGAATAGCTTTCGATTGTTGTGGGAGCGAAGCGTGGAATTTGTGCCTTCGCAAGTGTGAGTTGTTTGTAAGTTGGAGGATAAAGTGATGGAGAAATTGGGTTGAAGAATTGCTGAAAGTTGAGTTTTGTACTCGACAACACTAGCGGCGTTGACATCGCGCAAAGTCAAGGTGAATAACAACAACAATGACAAACAATTGCGGGGGCAGGGAAAGTCCCACGGAAAAGTGAAGAGACGTTTGCTGGGTGAAGGTGAAAAGTGTTGTCGAGAGTGCTCGGTGCACCCGCGATGTCTTCACCTCGAGCAACAGGGATATCTAAAAGGGCTTACCTCAGGTTGGCAGATTCAATTCCGTCGTTCTATTAATCACAGGCACCGAAATATAGCCCGAATACCCTCCTCTTGCTCTTGAATGTCGCGAATGCAGTCTTGTGAACGGTGGATTCCAAAGCGGTGTCCGTAAACACGTGTTAGACGCGTCAAAGTCAGCCGTGGCGCAGCACTCCCAGTGATCCAAACAACTCTTTCAAAGCTTTCAGTCTGTCGATGTGTAGTCCGCGACCATGTTTCATGCGCGCGAACGATGCTATGGATCTATGTGGATGAGAAAGTCGCGGTGGTAGTGAAGTTCGAACATGGAGAAAGCGCGTTTTGCGCAGGGATCACCGGAAGCAGAAACTAGCGCACTGACAACACAAAGCAAAGCACTGACTTGTCCCATTATTGCGACCACGAGAACAAGAGACAGTCGGGATGAAGAACCTCGTGTTGTAGGAGTCTGAATTCCGATCTGACGTCTAGCTCGAAAATTGCATGGATGGGCCGGCCTCATGCACTGTGGGGAGCGGACCCTGATCGAAACTAGGTACCACTGTTGAGCTCGTTCTCCCACCTGCTTCGCCTGTGTTTGCCCGCTGTGTCACAAAGCCTTACGCTTGACGGAAACGTCACGTTAGCTAGCTCCATGTGAGCATTCTTGAGAGGCGTAGTCCGAAGGTTACTTTTCGAGCTGCGAGAGTGCTCCAAGCTGTCCTAACTGAAAGTTGAAAAGAAGTGGCTTGTTTCTGCAGGTACGACTAGTAAATGTGGCTCAATACCAAATATTGTCACCGTCCGCGAGCGTGGGGACGAGGCAGTGACCCGTGAACGACTTCAGGGCCTGTGTGTGTCACCTTAGTCCCTGAGCCTTTCGTGCGATGCGCAATGACTAGTTGTTCTATCTCGATAGCTTGCTGATGAAGAAAACCCGTGTCTCTACTGTAGGCTATCAACCATGACAGATGATGAAAAGTGACAAGGGCATTGGCCAGCCTAACTCTATACGCAGTATCAACAAGATTTAGTTGCGACGGCGAGCATCTGTGTATGTATAACTTTAGGCTGCTTGACGAGCCCATCTGCAGATGAAATGTACCATCCATGTACAAGGTATCCCAACGGCAGACCCACCTCCTTGTCACATTGACATGTTGGGGGACATGACTTGTACTGATGACGAAGCCCCGGACCCCTCGCATCTTAACCACGCCCTACCACTTCCCGATTCACTCGAGCCACCCTGAACGAGCATTTAAAATGAGACGAGCTGCGTAATCAACGCCGTGTTCTTGTGAAAGGCGTGCCTCAGGTACACATTGTGATCGGTGCTTGGCCGTCTTGATACGGAATTGCATCCGCCATGGGCAATTAGCGCGGGATGGCTTGCGCCTCCAGCGCGTGTTCCCAGGTTTTTATATCGGCGGAACATCCCAGCGGTCCTCACAGCCCAAGTACACATCGCTCAAGCGCTTTCAATCACGTCTGAAGAACCTTGTCCCCCCTACAAGCCCGCGTATTCAAGATGGTTGTCGGATCGGTTCTCGTCGCTGGGTGAGCTTCTGCCCCTCCACCCCGCCATGCGCTTCAGCTCGGGCTCTGCAAACAGCAACAGCTAATTCTATTCTAGTGGCACGGGCTACATTGGCTCCTTCACAGCTCTCGCTCTTCTCGAGGCAGACTACAAGGTCGTCATCGTCGACAATCTCTACAACTCGTCGCCCGAAGTCGTCAATCGCATCGAGCTCATCTGCGGCAAGCGACCAGCCTTCTACCAGGCCGACATCACCGACGAAGCTGCGCTCGACAAGGTCTTCGAAGAGAACCCAGACATTGACAATGTCATTCACTTCGCTGCTCTCAAGGTAAGCTTCATGGCTGTGGGAGCATTCAGTCATACTGACTAACCACCCCAGGCTGTCGGCGAGTCTGGCGAAATTCCTCTCACATACTACAAAGTCAACGTCGGTGGCTCCGTTGCCCTCCTCTCCTCGATGGTGAAGCACAATGTCACCAACATCGTCTTCTCCTCATCCGCCACTGTCTACGGCGACGCCACGCGCTTCGAGAACATGATCCCCATCCCCGAACACTGCCCCATCGGCCCAACCAACGTGTACGGCCGCACAAAGTCCACCGTCGAGGGCGTCATCGAAGACACCATCAACGCGCAGCGCAACAAGGCGAAGAAGGAAGGCAAAGAGGAAGAAGGCAAGAAATGGAACGGCGCATTGCTGCGCTACTTCAACCCCGCCGGCGCTCATCCCTCGGGCATCATGGGCGAGAACCCGCTCGGCGTCCCATACAACCTGCTCCCGCTCCTTGCACAAGTCGCAATCGGCAAGCGCGACAAGCTGCTTGTCTTTGGCGACGACTACAAGTCCAAAGACGGCACCGCGATCCGCGATTACATCCACGTCCTCGATCTTGCGCGCGGCCACTTGCAGGCGCTCAACTACCTGCGCGAACAAAAGCCCGGTGTCAAGGCGTGGAATCTGGGCTCGGGCCGCGGCTCCACCGTCTTGGAGATGATCAAGGCGTTCAGCAATGTCGTGGGCCGCGAGCTGCCGTATGAGACGGCCCCGAGACGGCATGGCGATGTGCTGGATCTGACGGCGAACCCGACGCTGGCGAACAAGGAGTTGAACTGGAAGACGGAGCTTACGCTGGAAGATGCGTGTGCGGATCTGTGGAAGTGGACGGAGAACAATCCCGAGGGATACGAGCAGAAGCCGCCGCAAAAGTTCTTGGATGCGCTGAAGAAGCACTAAGTAAGTGTGGACGCTGGGATGACTTGATGGGCGGCGATACAGTGCTGGAGTAGGATACTGAATATAGATCTCACTACATAATAGTCAAAGACGTTCACATTTTGGAACTTGACACAAGGTGATGCTGTGTCACTTGGGACGTGGTGCTTTTTTTGGTTCTGTGCCATTTCAAGGTCTGGTGATCTAGATGCTTACCAGATACACCATTCTTCTCCAAGAGATCAGTCCTACGCAGTACGATGCGCCATGCAATATGCATCTATCGCACAACCGCGCCCTTGAGCGTCGGGATACTGCACAAGCCCTCCTTCGTCCTCAACTTCGCAACACCACTCTTCTTCTCCGCACCCTCACCCGCCAACTGTGGAACAACACCCACGTCGAAAGCGACCTCGAGTGCATCCGTAGTTGTGAAGCCCGGCTGGATCATCTCCCAGACCTTCTTCTTCGGGTTCAGCACCGGCTCCGGCTCGCCCTCCCAGCCCTCGAAGTATATCCTGTCACCAGCCTTTGCTCCCTCAGGTGGGTTGACCAGTTCCACAGGTCCCTTGTGCGAGTCTTCGCCTTCTGCGACTCTGGGTGACGCAGCAAGGACCATGGCGCATGACTTGACGCCGCGCATGGTAACGGGCTTGAGGTTGCATACTGCGACGATTTTGCGGTTTTGCATCTCTGCCAGCGGGATCAGGCCATTGAGACCTGAGCACACGGTTCGCACGACCTGGCCGTCATATTCGGAAGTGTTGTCGGTGCCGGGGGCGTCGCCACAGGCGATGGTGGAGACAAAGAGGGAGTCGGCATTGGGGTGGGTTTCGGCTTTGAGGATGTGGCCGACGCGGAGGTCGATGAGGGCGGGAGAGAGGGGCTTTTCTACGGGTGCGCTGGAGCATTGTTAGCAATCTGGTCGCAGATGGAGAGGCACGGGCAGACGTACGCTTTCTGTGGCTTGGGCTTCTTCTCCTTTTTCTCTTTCTTCTGGGTTGGCGCACCCTCTGGCGCACCACCTGAAGTAGGCTTGCCAGTGACGGTGCCCGCGACAGCTTCGCCAGCTGCTTGTGCCAGGCCCTTGGCCTTCTCCTTCGCGCTCTTGCCGCCCTGTCCACCCTTGGTGGCTCCCTGCTCTCCGGTCAGAGTCGTCGGTGTGGCGCCAGAGGCCACGGCATTGGCAGCGGCAGCCTCCTTCTCCTTCTTCTTGCGCTCCTTCTCGGCCTTTGCGTCTACAGGCTTGATCTTAAAAACGACATTGTCGAGCTCAACGTTGACCTTCTCGTCGAGCTTCAGTCCGAACAACGGCGAGTTCTGGACAAAGTCGACATGGCGAACGATGTGGTGGTATCCCTGCTCGCCGGTTCTCTCCTCTGCGCTCCATTTCGACACGACTGGCGCAAGCTTCTGGTAGATGGCGATGTCGGCAACGGAGGGTTTGGCACCGAGCAGTGTAGTCCGGCTCGAGAGATGTGTGTTGAGAGATGACAGGCGCTCAGAGGACTTTGCAGCGTCCTCAGAAGACGAGGCAATGTGAGAGGCGGTGATGAGCCATTGGCTGAGCTCAGCTTTCTCGGCGTCCGTGTATGCGACCTCAGGGAAGAGGGTTTGGGAGGCCTTGACAGCGTCTGTCTCGGCGCCCGCGTTGTTCGGGGCGTGAGTCTTGAGGAAGGTGGTTAGGCTCTCGTCGAGGGTTGAGCTGGACATGGTGGGCAGGAATGTTCGTTGGAAGAAGTCGACGGCAAGCGGGCGTAGTGGGGTAAAGAAATTATTGGGTGCGGTGGTGGGGGCTGCGGTAGCTGCAGTTCTGGGGAAATTCTGAGCTGAGCTTGGGACGCGTGTTGACGCAACAAGTCTTGGATGCAACAATGGAAAGGTTCTGGTGCGAAAGAAGGGCGCAGCAGAAGAGAAGCTGCGTGTCGGCATGTCCAGTACTGAGTCAAATGCAGGTCCACCAGAAATGACTGCAGTGGCGGGGCAGCTCCAAAGCCTGAGCTCCTACATGCACGAGCCATCGCACAGAGGACAGCCCAGATGACATACGAGGTAACGATGAATCGAACCAGATTCGCCCGACTACATGCTGGGGCCCCGTATGGTTCGTGAAGCAGGCATGAGATGACGTGTTTTGTTTGCTGCCTGTCTTTGCCCCGCGTCGCGAAAGTAACATAACCGTGAAGCACTCAACTTCAGAGCACCAAGCACCAAGCACCAAGCACCCCGCAGCTCCACCACTCCAGCAACAACCACCATGTCTGCGTCAGAGTCGCCCGATGTGCCCGCGGGCAAGAAGAGGTTCGTCCCTCTGGGTACGTCATCGCGCTCACTACCAGATGATCCGCCGCTAATGCGACAATAGAGAACAATCCCGAGGTCATGTCCGCTCTTGTCCACAAGCTGGGCCTATCACAGAAGCTGGCTTTCCACGATGTCTTCAGCATAGATGAGCCGGAGCTGCTTGCCTTCGTGCCGCGACCCGCTCACGCGCTGCTCCTAGTGTTCCCCGTGAGCGAGACATATGAAAAGTTCCGCATTCAGGAGGACAAAGACCGGCCCGAGTACCAGGGCCATGGTCCGGAAGAGGAGGTTGTTTGGTATAAACAGACGATTGGGAATGCCTGTGGGCTCATAGGCCTGCTCCATGGCGTGTCCAACGGCACAGCACGCTCCCATATCGGTATGCTTCTGCACGCTGCCCGAGACAGTCTGACACAGCAACTGACAGGACCGACAGACCCCGCCTCCAACCTAGCCAAGCTCCTGAACGATGCGATACCTCTGAAACCCATCCAGCGTGCTGACCTGCTCTACGAATCAGAAGCCCTTGAGAGCGCGCACCAGGCTGCTGCCGCTGGTGGAGACACCAGCGCTCCAACCGCCGAGGACAACGTTGATTTACATTACGTCTGCTTCGTCAAATCACCCGACAACAATTTGTGGGAACTCGACGGCCGACGCAAAGGCCCGCTCAATCGCGGCGAGTTGGCCCCGGATGAAGACGTGCTCAGCGAGAAGGCTCTTGATCTCGGAGTACGCAGCTTTCTCAAACGTGAAGCCGCTGCTGGAGGAGGCGATTTACGCTTCAGTCTGATTACACTTGCCGAATCTCTAGATTAGGACACGCGGCAACGACTCTTCTCAAAATTTGTCGCCGACGTTCGTTCTCAGGTGCTGAAGACTGCTTTTCCTGGAGGAGACTTATGCGTGGCGTGCGGTGGTCTACCTTGCACATTGATAGGCTTTGGTGCTTATGACGGCAACACGCTATTGAGCGACTGAAAGAGGACTGGACCGAAACGATTTCAGAGTTTTGTTCATCCGTGCTGGGAAGAGCTTCGCCAAGCTGGAATACCTGCCCACGCACCGTTACGATTTGTCGTGTCTCGGCGAGGTATGTCAATCTCGTATCGACCTGGACTGTGTCTTACCTGTTTTCAGAACTAGGGATGTCCATACTGCAATCAACAAATATACTGCATTCATCCAATGGAGTGACGATCTTGAATGACCTTTGGTATTACTACTCTGTTTGCCTACGTTCTCGACAGCCATCGTTGTCCGCTTTGAATATCGTGTTGTTGTGCACCACATACACCCGCTATAACTCGTACCCGGTGGAAAGGAAAAAAACCTTATTCACGTCAAGGAGATACAAGGGGCTTGTCCTCGGTGCTTGACTTCTCCGTCATGGGGCTCGCGCCGAATTCCGCATATTCGTCCACAGCGGCACTCGATTTATATCGTACGAACCAAATTCGTATAATGGCTCTCGTATGCTCTGCAGTAAGCGTAGTGACTTCCATCATTGCATTTTATTGGTTCTTTCGCATGACCAAGCTCTTTCGGCATCGGTGAGTTTTCAGGCTGAGCGACGAGTTGCACAACTGACAACGGCAAAGCCTGATTATGCTCTTAGTCTACGGTGATCTAATGCGATCAATTTGGTTTTTTGTCTTCACTGTCTATTCTCTCGCGCGAGGTACGGTGGAGACAAACACACGCTTCTGTCAGGCTAGTGGTTTCTTCATTCAATATGGCACTGAGACGAGTGGTGAGTTCTTAAAGTCTTCTATGATGGGCGTATACTAACAAGTCCCGAGACTATGCAGTTCTTGTGGTTGCTGTACATAGTGCATTGCAGATCTTCCGCCCTGCAGGTAGAGGAAATTCGGATGGACTGTATGACTATCGATCTTACATCTTCTCCGGAGCCTTCTTATTACCAGGGATGATGGCTGCTCTGGCATTTCTCAATCCTGGACCCGCATACGAATCACTAGGCGCCTACTGTCAGTTGCCGATCCGGCCGTTCTGGTATCGACTCGCCCTGGCGTGGATACCGCGATACTGTGTTGCCATTATAATTTTGAGTCTTGCCGGTGCCATATATGCATATGTCGGCTGCGAATTCCGCTCTTACGCAAGCATTAGTCAAAGTAGCATGACGCCTGTGACCACAGCACCGGGTCTATCTCTGATCGATGGGAAACCCGCAACACCCACCGCGCCAGGAGAATCTCTACGCAGGACAACTTCAGCCCCTCTTGATTTCACCTCTTCCGGTGCTTCTCATCGTAGAGGATCAGCTGTAGCATTTGGACCTACAACGTACGCCCCTGCCCAGCAGACAACAGCACATGCTCCGTCCACACAATCCCTACCAGGCAGTTCCACATTACACCCGCCCAAACGAACCGCTTCTGTCCGCCCTGGCCTCTTCGTGATTCCATCCGGGTATGCCGTCCAACCTCCGTCCTCCACTCTTGATCTCGAGGGGCCCCTTTCCCCGCACACACAGTCTACTGTGGACCCTATGTCCACGATCGTGCCCGCGACGCCCGTCACGACCACATATTCCCGTCACCGATCATCCTCTTCAACCCCTGGCCAGCGCCACCTAGCGCGCCAACGAAGACGCATCCATCGCCAGCTCCGTCTCATGTTCATCTACCCTATCGCGTATATCCTAATGTGGATAATGCCGTTTGTACACCACAGCATGAACTACAGCGACCGCTATGCCAACCACCCCTTGTGGTTTATACGGGTCGGTCAGGCGATTTGCCTCACGTCCATGGGTTTCGTTGATTGTCTCATCTTCTCCATCCGCGAGAAGCCTTGGCGCAACATTTCGACCAGCGACGGCACTATCTGGGGTAGTCTGGCGGTCTGGCGCACGCCTCGATCTTCGGTCTCCACAGCGAATAGTGAGGAGACTGGTTATGGGAATGATAGTCGACAGAGGAGTATGACGGAGAGTGGAGTTAGCCGAGTCAAGCGAGTGAGGAATAGTGTGAGAACGAGTGCGAGTGATGATCAGACGAGATTGGCGTCGGAACAGGCGAGGAAAAGGCTGGAGTTGGAGAAGGATGAGAGGTTGGTGGCTTTGACTAAGAGGATGGAGAGGGGGAGTGAAGTCTTGCCCATTGTGGAGGAGAAGGAGAAGGAGATTGAAAAGACGGTTGGTTGATGTAAAGTCGGTGTCTCTAGGTCTGGTTCACTGGTTTTATTGATCGTCAATCTAATTCGTAATTTCGTAGGCATGGGGCTCAGACCTCGTCGATTTTGACTTCCTTTCCTTCTTTCAGTGGTAGATACACTTTCTCCCAGAGGTCGCTTCGCTCGCCTAGGTGATATGTCAAGCTTGAATCATGCATGCCTGCATCTTCTCCGCCAGCCATCGTCTCGAGTTGGGAGATGATGTTCTCCAGTCCCAATGCTTTTCCTGTGGCCTGTGTGTTTCCAGCCTCGAGCGCAACGTGCACAATGTGAATGTGGAAATGGTAGTATGTGGGTTGGTCTTATTTTAGTTAGCCAAGTCGATAAGCAGCAGGAAGAAGATGACGTACAGTGGACATACAACTTTAGCTGATCCCTCTCCACCCCTTCGTACAGCCCACACGTCGCCTCCACCATCTTGATCTTCATGTGCTTCAACCACTCCACATTCCCCTTCTTGAGGTCCCGCACACTCCAGATATCCCGTCGCTCCACCAAACCCAACAAATGCAGCGCCCCAATCGTCTTGCGATCCCAGTTCAGATCTGGAAGTAGGAGGAATCCTTTGCTGGGGTCGGATTCGCGGTACATGACATCCTCTTGCTCAGTCCGGCCCTCGATGATGTTGAACACCCAGTTCAGCGCCCCTTTCTCACGCTGAGCAGCCATATACGGCCGAACATAATCCTTGTATATATCCGGCGTTTCCGTAACCACTCTCAGTCCCTGTGCTTCGTATTTCTTGACATGTTTCTCCGTGCAAGGGTAAATCAGGTTCAACTTGAAGTCCGGTGGTGGCTGGTTGTCTGAGGGGTTGCTGTTGGCCAGAAACCAGGAGTAAATGTCGTTCGCGCCGAGATTCTTGATGTTGCGCAGGGATGTGGAGAAGGAGATTAGATTTTGCTCGGAGGTGTCAAAGGCGGCGCGCTCGGCGATGAAGAGGGCGGGCTGCGAGTCAATGGTGCCGTAGAGGGAGATGCGGCGGCCGGCTTGGTCGGAGTTGAGGAGGCGGATGAGTTTGAATTTGGGGATGAGGGATTCTACTTTTGCAGCGACTTCTGGGGGCGTGGTGGAGGTCATGATCCGAAGGATTGGGAGGGATGTAGGACAGTACAATTTGATATGTAGTCTGGGATATGATCAGTACCTGAACCTATGCATGCAGCTTGTTTGCAGCCCTTGAGGTATGATCAATAGCTCAGAATGGATGGAACTAGAACAGGTCACTTACGAGCAAAATAGAAGCCACTTTGGTCGATTCCAGATGTCGAGCGTGTGCTCATGGGAGCAGTCTGATTGGAGGGGTTGCTGTGAGATTAAGTCACATGTTCGCGCGTCACGCGTATCGTCCAGCCAACCGCGAAAGGTGCACGGCCGATCCCTTTGCCAAGCCCCATGACGCTCACTACTACCCAGTGCTACAACTACACCGCACCCCCTACCCACCGCGCGACATATCGTAACTTCGATTAATTTACAAATCACCTAGACTATCGATACCGCACATCTACAATGGCGCCTAAGCGACGAGTTTCCGGTCCCGCGACGAAGTCGTCGCAATCCACCCTCGCTTTCCACGGCGCATCAAACAAAGTCACAAAACCCAGCACGCGCACACCGAGCGGAAAGAAAAATGTGCTGGCAAAATTGGTGAAGAAGCAGGAGGAGGCCAAGCCAGAAATTATCGAACTCATAGATGAGCCCACGACAGCTGAAGCAGCCCTCATCGATCAAACCAAGGTAGAAGTCGTCGAAGCGCAACAAGCGCAAAGCACACCTGAGGAAGAAGAGGCCAGGCGCATATCAGAAGCAGCGATCGAGAAGTACTGGGCTGCGAAGGAGAAGCTGAGGACGGCGCCGAGAGTACATCAGTCAGATCTGAGCTTGCACGAGAAGGTCTTGCGTGAGTTTGACATGAGCGCACAATACGGGGTGAGTTCCAGTAATTCTCCGGTTACGGTGCTTGACATGTAGTACAGCTTTGGACTGCGGGCATGTGCTAACGTTTATTGTGTTTGATAGCCCTGCACTGGTATCGCGCGCTTGAAGCGATGGAAGCGTGCGTATCGAATCAACCTCGACCCCCCACTGGAAGTCCTAGCTGTTCTCTTAAAGGAGATGGACGAGGATTCGAGCGTGGCGCTTCAACGATCCCAAGTCGATGAACTACTAAACTCACGAGTTAAGGCCGATGCTCCCTGAGAAACGGGGATTGAAACGCTGGCACGAGGATCTGCAGCGCCTACGAAGCCGCTCTCAACATGGATCACTGTATGAGTAAAGAATTTTTTTGGGTACACAATTCGGAGTTTGGAAGGAATGATGTGTGGTTTCACGCAAGGTTGATCACCGACATGCACGACAGGGTACTTTCGGCACGCTACTGCGAGAGGCACGCGAGCACTCATGCCGAGTTCATATCCGCACATCTCGGGGCCGTACTAGACGGATAAATGAACATGATATCAATTGACCTCATCCGCATGAATCCTCCCAATCTGGCACATTGTATGCTTGTTCATCCAGCTCAAGCTTCCCTTCTATGCAGGGATTGCCGCGGCATCGGCCCTTCCCTATCTCACGCTCCAAGACTTTGTCTGAGTCTACGTCAATCAGCGTTAGTCTACGGGCTGGAGATTCCGGTAATTCGGAAGATTGTAAACTTTCCCCTAACAAAGGCACTATTCAGCAGGCTATTCGGTCTTGTCGTTATCATGGCGCACAAAGGGCCGGCTCTCCCATGCGGGGTTACGCAGAGTAGACAGATTCAGACGAACTCAGAACCCTTGCATCCACCCGTGTATCGTGATTGCGTTTACACTTGTGTATCACTTTGCCGTCTTTCTCAGTGCGACTAGAATTCGATGGCAATTCCAACAAAGAAGCGAAGCGGGGTTGAGTGGCCATCGATCGATGAAGCTCTGGGCTCTTGAAAGGTGGTGGGAGGCGACTGGTGTGGGGTAGACGAGCCACTATGAATGCTTGGATCCGCATGCGAAGAGCAGCACTAAACTGACAGCCCGATTCCACGCAGCCGGCGTGCTTTTAAAGTGGGCCTTCACATGGACACAGCGCTCGTCTCATCGGGAGTGCGCTGATGGTGAACCCATGCGTCTTCAGAAATGTGTGTTTCACCTCCAGACATGCCTCGCGCTCATGATGCCTGGCTACCTTGTTGCGCGCGTTTGCCCAGCCTTGCCATCGAAGCAACAGCACCAGATGCAGTGTGTGCTTCTGCGTTGTCCAACCAGACGTTGAACCTTGTCTGCACAAGCGTGCATGTGGCTGCAGTAAGCCAACCAGGATGGGTGAATCAAACCGCCTTGTCGAATCCTGGGAGTAAGATAGCGGGGAACCACTCAGAAGCGCATAACATTCCGCTGCCATGCAGTGCAACGTCCTTCTTCAACGCCCATTGCCCCTCTATTTCCTTCCTCTTCTCTTCCACGCCAGATCAATTCACTTTGCATCTCTTCGCTTCACTCCTCATCATCTCTTTCAACAAGATGCAGTGCGCATACATTGTCGCGCTTTAGATTGCTCCTCCCGCGAAGGGCCGGGACTCTGGGCAGCTCTTTCCTCCTACGTCTGCGTGTTGATAACGACAACAAATCACGTCTTCGACTCACAATCGAGCGTGCCTAAACCTCTCACACCCGTCTTTTGTCCCGTATTCTCATCAATTGCTCAATATCACCGGCCGTTGCCATCTCGCTATAACGTGACACCCGCACGTTGGACCTTTAATTCTGGACCTTGATTGGGAAGGGCGACCCTATATCGAGCAGTCTATCTAGTTGAAGGGACGCGTCTTGCCAAATAGTAGGTGTTCACGTTGCGTGCCTTCAACTGCACCTGAGCGTCACTCACTCCAACGATAAGCATGGCTACTGCTATCGCAACCAGGGCATTGCCAATACCATCTCGGTCTCCTACACCTCCACCACACCTGTCGCTCAACACATCGTCGCGTGGAGCGCCAGCTGCCATTCCCAACAAGCACATCCCAACATGCTCGCCAGGTGGGCTTCCAGAGACGCCGCCAGCTTCACCTCCGCGACAGGACAGCCTGGTTGAGACCTCGTCAATCACATATCCACCCAATGCAAACTGTACAGAATACTCGGATAATCCGCCAGTGTATACCATCACTGCAGATTGCATGGCCGAAGCTCTGGAGCACATGGCAACACAACCTCTACCAAACCCTGAGCAAGTGTTCCCATGGATGCATGGCCTTCATCCCGAGAACCAAATTCAGCTCACCTTCTTCTCGTCTCGTCGTAAGAGCGTTCGCAAGGTGCCCAGGTGCATTCGTGGTCTCACGATTGTCAAGACTGGTGGCAATCTGAATAGCTCTAAGTTGAAGGGGGCGATCGCTCCAGACGAAATATTAGAGTCGGCTTCCTCGGACGCTCCTGCGTTCATCGAGTGTGACCCTAAGGATGGCTTCTCCGTGCGCAACTTCCAGATTCAAGCATGTAAAATGGCTATGTTGTCAGATATCATTGTGTATGGCGACCAGAAGACACAGCCAAACGAGACGGTTGCCCTGGCACAGCGAATTTCCAAGGCTCAGAGACAGTATGAAGAAGAGAATGGCTTTCCGCGCTGCTTGTTCAATACTTTTATGCTCTCGGGTACGTGTGGTGTACAGCACTTCGGTCAACCGCTAACGCGTCTAGATTCTTTCAATGTTGTGCAAGACAAATATCCAGAATTGGTCGCGATCAACTCGACAGGAAGCATGACAGGGAAAATTGTAGATTTTTGTGAGTGATTGCGTCGCGCTTATCGTCGACAAATTAGCCTGCTAATGGGGTGCAGTCTTCTGGGAACGCTATGAGATGTGTGAAATGTCGAAAGCATCTGAGATTAGCAACAACGTCTTCCTTGGACCCACACCCGACACTGCGCTGAACCCCAACTGCGTAGGCGAAGATGCATACGATATGCTGATCGATGCGACTGACCTCGCCCATGTACCGGAGTCGCGATCGCTACGAGCGCTCAAGATGGGTCTCGAGAGGAAGAGTCGAAAACACGCCTTGCATATGGAGTTCCCCTCCTCAGGAAGTATTATGCCTCCAAGCTGGTCGCACTCGGAAATCGATGGCTTGATGGAGATGTGCAAATGGATGTACGAGTTGGCGAACCCTCATGAAATCAAACGAACGAAGCGCCGAAGATCTGATGAAGACGAAGCTATTGGGCTGGATGACATTGTGATGCCACGCAAATTCTTGATCCATTGCACAGATGGCTACACAGAAACGACGCTCCTCGCCTTGGCATACTTCATGTATGCCGAAGGTCTACCGGTGCATGATGCTTGGATCCGGATGCATCGGGAAAAGGGCAGGAATTTCTTTGCCTATCCTTCTGACGTTGCGCTTTTGACTGCTATTCAACCTCGCATACTGCAGGAATCTCCTCGATTCAGCCAGAGTGTCTTCAATTTGTCCGAACCGAAGTGGCTTTCAAAGATTGATGGGAGCTTGCCCAGCAGAGTACTGCCGTACATGTACCTAGGAAACCTTGGACATGCCAATAACCCGGAGCTCCTTCGCGAGCTCGGTATCACGCGGATCCTCAGTGTTGGAGAACCTCTCTCTTGGTCAGACGATCTGAAAAACACACTCGATTGGCCTGCTGAGAACTTGATGATGGTCGATCGCGTCCAAGACAACGGCGTCGATCCACTCTGGGCAGAATTCGAGCGATGCTTGAAGTTCATTGGTTAGTACTCGTAGACCTGATGTGCTATAGCTACAGCTAACATGATTGTAGAAGCTGGCAAAGAAGACGGCGGAGCAACTCTTGTCCATTGCCGAGTTGGTGTTTCACGATCTGCGACCATATGCATCGCTGAAGTCATGAATGAGCTGGGCTTGTCTTTTCCACGCGCATAGTGAGTACATCGTCATCAGACTACAGAAGTCTGTTACTGACAACTTATCACAGCTGCTTTGTCCGAGCCAGGCGCTTGAACGTTATAATCCAACCACATCTTCGCTTCACGTACGAGCTTCTCAAGTGGGAAGAGTTCCAGCGTCAGCGACGCAACGAACCTCTTCGCCGCGAACTTGAGTGGGCCACTGTTGCACGCGAAATCGCGCTGATGAATAAGCCCTACTCGAAGTGAAACTCCTTTTCAACCCTCACGACATACATAATTCTCCGAACACGATTTACGACTATACGATATGGCTGAGTGGATGTACGATCACGGAGACTGCAACAACCAATTTGTTTGCGTAGTTTTCATCGATCTTCGTCTTCAGTTGATTCTCAGCGGTTTCCTGCGTTTCCGTTGGCACACGGACTGTTTCTCTTTCCCTCAGGTTGTTCTGTTTTACGGTTGCTTTTCGAATTAGCGAGTCTTGTCATTTTCATAAGACTTCAGCCACGCGGCTTGATTGACTGTACTGGATGCTTGTCCTTTTGTTCTCTTCATCTGTATGGCGATGGACAACAGGAGAGACAACGGGCAAGGGTCTATTGACTCCCTTCATGATGCTCGTATCATGGCTTTGATTCACATGCGGACATGGTTGACTCGTGGCGTTGAGGGAAACGGTTACTTCAATTCGGCGTACATATATTAATGCAAGGGGCGTATGGCCATCCTTCTCTTCAAAGCACTGAGTTCCGTGCCAGCGTATTGTAACTAACATGAAGTAATTCAAACTGTGGGCCTGGGGTAAGACGGGTACTCTGGATATCTGAGACTACATGACAAGACGAGGTCAGAGTGCATATGCAAGACCTAACATGAGCCAGATAGTCACAGCCACGATGACGCTTGAGTGTGCGTTCGGAGCTCCGGCGACAAGACTTTGATCAATTCATTAGTCCTCCGCAATTCAAACGACAACGAGTAAGTGCCCTCGTCATTCAGCGTATCATCTCTGTTATCGGTACACAATGTCTGTCGCCTGACTGAACGTTTCTCATCATCGTCGCCGTAATAATCCTCGAACAAATCTTCTATGCATCTGAATCCCACTGTGCCATTGTTCACCTCACACTACTGTCTGCATCCATTATCGACGCGCACTGAGGCACCCTCCTTGCAACAGCTTTGGATGCTGAGGTACTCTGGCTTGAAACTGACGGAGCACTTGGGATCTTGGAGATCAGAGGCGTTGCGGAACATGCCGAGTGCCATCACAGCAGAGCAGGCGCCATTCGTACGGTTTGAGGTGGCTGTTGGTGAGGAGGTGGGGATTGGGACTGTGGATGCGATGGTGCGGAGGGAGGATTCTGCTGCGGCGATGGAGGTGGAGATAGACATGGTTTAAGTAGGTGGAGGTGCTTCAATTTTCCGTGCTTGAGGCTAAGCTTGTCTGTGTAGGATATCAGGAATACTCTCTTGTGTGTATTACCGAAGAATGCAGCTTCTTTATGTCTCTACACGAAGTCATGCCAACTTCGTCCTACATAACCTTTCAAGATGATCTACGGGGCGTAGACCGCGCCGCACACGAAGCTGACCCGCGGAGGCTGTAAGCGGTCATATTACTTGGTTTAACGTTTCAAAGCTCATGGATTGTTCCGTTTCGTGCATTATTGCCCAACACCCCGATGTACCGATTTCTCGTTACTGTCTATACATTGGTTGGCAGAGATTAGGCCAAGTATGGGGCGTACTGGTACGGCCATGCCGGAAAGCCATGTAGCGCCATGTATATTGGGCACAAGCCTGCAGCGAGTGAACCTAATCTTACTGGCATATTTATGCACTACCTGTTTTGGGTAACCAGTTCAGTCTTACGTAGGATGATGGTGCAAGAGTTTATGGATGGAACGATAAAGACAGTACGTTATCTCCTCGATCATACACATCCAATTCGTCCGGGGATACAGTTATATCATACAATAGTTTTGAGAACGCTATTTCTCGGGTCTCGTCGCCATATTTGATCGATCTTCATGCACCTAGGCGTTACAGGTGACGCCACATTTGGCTTAGCCTTCGTTTGCCCCAAGCACCACACTAAATGTTGTGACTTGGAGCTCCTGGTTTGGTTTTGTAGATTAAACAGGTCCCAATACATTCGTGGGTACCTCATAGGAAGGACACCAAACACATCGTCATACCTGCCATCACCGCCCCAAGCGTGAGACTGTAAGTTGCCATACTCGTCGCAGCGCCTTCATCTTTGCCAAACGTCAGCTTGTCCCTGTCTCAATCGCGCCTAACAAAACATACCATCCTTTTTATCAGTTACGTTATAGCACAGCCCCAAAAAATTCGAGGTTGAGTTCTTTTGTCGTTTGTAATCATTACGCACGCATTTGAAGTATGCGTCGACGTCATGACCATTAATAGCGCAGTACTGCGTGCAATTCTTTTCTACACGTACGTCGTTGGGGTTCTTGCAACAATGCGCGGCTTGGAAGAGGGAGGGTGGATAGTTGAATAAGCAAATCTCCTGGCCTTCGAGGCCAGTGATGTTTTGCACTCCACTCTGTACCGAATTTGTGGAGCAGCGGTCGAAGAGAGTTGGCCTTGACGTTTCGACTGAAGTACTTGTTACAGTTACTGCCGTTGTAGCGGAAGCGAAGGATGAATTGAGTGATAGTGACATGTTTGAGTGCTTGTGGTGAAAATCTCCTTTGAGGCTGGGAGGAATATACCTGGGGTAATCCGGGCGAAGGCGGCTACTATATAACCAAGAATCTAATTCTGCGTGATGCGCAACTGTGAGCACACCAGCCACTGGGGCAGTGCGTTTCTCGAAGGAAGCCATCTCTCGTAAATGCGGTAGGTGAAATTGAAGATCATTGCATCAGCGTCCTAGCTTTAGCAAGGCTCTCTCCATCCTGTCCAGAACCGTCAGGAGCACTATGCTTTGACGGATCCGCCCGATGGATGCGAGCTTATACATGGTCATTTCGTATGTTAGCAATCAGCCAGATAAATCAGAAAACTGTCAGGTACGAGATGGAATTCAGCGAAGTCTAAGACGCAATTCCACCGTATGTCTTCCGTATAGAACTTGGAGTAAAAACTGACAAATGGGACTGTATATATAGAACTTCGGACATGTAAGCTTCTCATGACTCGTGGCTACGCGTCGGTACGCCGTGGAGGGTTTCACGCTGGCTATCAATGGTGGAGGCCTGATGCAGTGATCTGCATGACCTCATTAGGCCTCCCGTCTCGGATCACGGCGCGCAATCGTGGAGCCGCTGGTGCAACTTTTCGTAGAACTATGTTCCTGTCCGCCTCTCAAATCAGCTTACAAGTGTGCAGGCGAGACTACGGGAATAATCGTCGCCTTTGCCCCCGTCACGCCCTGGAGGCCTTGTTTGGAAGGATCCTGGAGAGTCTTAATATTATCTACCATGGACGCTATACTGCATTCTGTACAGATGCTCCACTATTCTCTGTGCTCTGAACAAGCATGCTGATCATTGATTCACAAATCATTTTGACGTGGGCGCAGGAGTGGACTCGTTCGAGCGGACCTTGCTGAGGAATTGTAACAGACAGGTGATGGGAGGCATTGCTAACAATCATGGCCGCTCTAGAAGCCTAGGGCGTTGTACTACAAGTCCCAGATCTCATTCCATCTCCTACCATCCAACTCCACTGGCCCATCCCACTTTCCAATTCTTGGTGGCCCCGTGCCTGACTCAGGCAGGCAGATCCAATCCCTCACACAACCTGGAATCTCTTGCTTGCTATGACTGACAACCAGCAATGCCTGATGTTCTTGCAGACCTGGAACCGATACTTCACCATCCCACTGAACAGGCTTAGGCCCAGATTCCGTATACGTCAATTGCATCGTTTGTCCCTGAGATAGAAATAGGAGGCACTTGTCGCGTGCCAAGTCATCCATGCCACTGAATGCTTCGTCGAGAATAACGATGTCGGGGTTGCGAACTACGGATCGCAGAAAGAGGAGAACACGTTGTGCAGAATATGAAATCTCGCCGAAAAGGGTCTGACTTGCCCATTCTACCCCGTCTGTCTTTGTTGGAGATGGGTTGATCTCGTTTGCGAACCACTTCAAACACGCATCTACTCGTCGTGTTGCATCATAATCAAGTCTGGCCTTGGTAATGGGCGTATCGCTCCATGCGCTCTCCAATACCGTCCTCACTCTGAGATGTTTGGGAAATAGGGCATGGACCTCTGGGCTCGCATGGCCCATCTTACTCTGGATCTCAAATATGGTTATGCCAGGTACGCCTGGCTCAGGTAACCTCGAGCGTCCGAAGAGTTTGACGGGCGCAGAGTAAGTTTGGGGATGGTCTGACGTTACGAGTGAGAGGAATGTTGTCTTGCCAGAGCCGTTGGCGCCAAATATGCCCCAGCGTTGACCGCGGTGGATGTTGAGGTTGAGACCGTTCTCCCAATCGCCCAAAACGGGGTTGTTGCCGTAGGAAATGCGCACACCGGACATTTCGACAATGGGTTCACCTGTAGGAATAGAGGTATCGTCCGTCTGGTGATAGCCGTCGCGGCTGACGAGGGACGAGTCCGACGAAGAATTTGAGGCGCTAGACTCAAAGTTGCCGCCCTCTGAAAGATGACGCCCAACTTCGCGCAGTTCGAGGAGCTTGGCTCCCATACCGTCGCTAGTTTGACCTGAGAGTCCGATATCTTCATATTGCTTTTTCAAATGTGCAAATACTCCTTCTTTCGGACCCAGAGCGTCGACTTTTCCGTCCTCACCGGCATAGACTATATGTGTGATCCAATCAGGTATGGCATCTTGTGGTCTCAAGCTTAGTACGATTCGGGGCGCATTTGCCTCCGCCAGCTTGTGAAGCACTTTGCTAATGTGCTTAGTGACAATTGGATCCAAGCCAATGAATGGCGCGTCCAGGCATAGCATCAACGGCTGTGCTAAAAGGGCCTTGCCGATTCTTGCTCGTCGACTCTGTCCATTGCTGAGCATAGCGACTGGCTTGTCTAGGAATCTTTCAAGTTCCAGATCATGCATGACCTTATGCATGACTTCTGGATTTATTGCTTTTGCTTTGATTTCCTCCTCTCCTGGATTGAGAGTAATGATGCCAGTCAAGTAACGCTGCAAAGTGAAGTCGGTATCCTCTTTGAGCGATTCGTATCTAGCAGAGAGATACGCGCCGCCGAAAGCCTTCCGTTCCACATCGAAGCCAACATATTCAATGGCGCGATCGGGATATCGGAGGTTCGGATTCCGGCTTCCCACTTCGTCAGATAGAAGATAAGGGTATGTACGAGCTGTGGGTGGAAAGCAAAGAAGTTGTCCACGAAGGACTTGGAGGAATGCTGTCCTGATGTTCGATGAAGGCGAGAGAATTGCCCAGTGTTGGCTTGGCGTTGAGAATGAAGGCAAACTCAAGTCCAGGTTGGAAAATAGTGCTGGATTCGGGGCTACATCCTGGCCCGATGCTGGTTTGGATGAAGGATGCTGACGGTAGAAAGTGCCATTGGTAATTCTAACAATTGGTTCAGACCACAAACGACGTGTAGCATGGAGCTTTGCGCATTTCGAAGCTGCAAAGAACAGCGCATTTGTTCTTCGCATGGCGGAAGCTTGACCATGATTGTTTGATTGTTCTCTGTGGTGACGACTAAATTCCCTTCGCCTTAGGATTGTTTGGCGTCCCGTAGTGTGTGGCTCGGAGACGCCCTCATCTCCGCGATCCGGCATGACGTCGGTACATGGTCTGCCGAGGTTCGCGTTCACGGCATATCGCGAAAGTGATAGAAGCGTAGACAGAGATCACACGAGCAGTGCAAGATGCTTCCAGGACTGCAGCCATCGCGCCCGAAGGTAGGGACATAGGCCACTGACGCACACTATGCGGTCTAACACCGTATAGCCTCCACAGCAGTCCGCGGTCCCTACTTATGCCCAACAGCAGCGACGCGCTGTGCACGAAGCCGCCCTTCAATCACCACCACCACCACCAGGCGCCCAAGCTACTGTTTCACATCCCCGGCCTCGAAGTCAGATTGAGGCCATGCCTCCCTTTCCTCCACGACAACCCTCTACATCCCCCTTCTATGACAGCGCCGTGCGGCACCCGGTGTTCTTCACCCAGAACTTGAAGAAGCCACCCTTTCCCATACCCCAGATTGCGAGTCAGGGTTGGAGTCCTGTTGCAAACGGGTATATAATGGAGCAGCAAAGGGCGATGGCTTCCGAGCCAAAGACGAAGTTGTGAACGAACCGAAATCATTTTGCGTTGGGCTGGCGTTGCGGGTGGCTGATGTATGGAGCACTTTGGACCATATTTGGCGTACAATCTACAAACCTTCGCAATTCCCCCTTCCAAGGGCTTGTGGTGCACATGCTTGGTCGTTTTGGTGTACGTTTTGCGGATGAAGCTGGGGAAGCTGACAGGTCTTGGCGCGCTAGCATGTCGCGATGCCGTCCTCCGACCATGTCGACTTTTTTGAGATGATACTTGCTGCTACACGCAAACACGACTCATAGTCACAATGGCGGAATCCAAAGGACTTCCTTTCGGCCAAGCCCTGCTCGAGCGCGCCTTTTCGCCAGACACGGCAGCGTCCCACTACACCGAGCGCCTTCTAAAGCGCCCGCTTACCATCCGCGCAACATCGCCAACGCCCTCAGCACGCGCCATCCGCCGTCGCACGCTCAACGAATCCAAGGAGAAGACTCGGAAACAGAGCAAACAGAAGCCACGCCCGCTTTCCGCTGCGCAGAAACGCAAACTATGTCTGAACGAGATACCCAAAGAGCAGCAAAAGTACTCCATATATGAGCCGTTACACAATCTCTGGCTTGGATACATGCGAGAGATTCTTTGTGTGAATGATGCTCAGAGGCCTGTTTACCTCACCCCAGCGTCGAGCGGCCAAATGCTGGCCAGCGCCGACATGCATGGTGCACTGCTCCGCATAGTTCGAAGCCGGTGCGTGAGTCGTGTAGGTTTGGAGGGCATAGTCGTACGTGATACGAGGTTTACATTCGAAATCATCACCAAGAATAATGTAGTTAAAGGTAAGTCAAACGATCAGGTAAGTCGATTTCCCATGTCTAACTGGTGGGTATAGCGATTCCAAAAGAGCATACCATATTCCAATTTACGATCGCCTTGGAGGGCGGAGAAGAGAAGAAGCCATTGGTGTTCGAGATCAATGGGGAACAATTCCAGACCAGGGCACCGGATCGCGCCAACAAGAAGTTCAGGATGCATTATCAGCCGGACCTCTGATAGACGGAAAGACGCAAACCTCTCAACACTACAACATGCTTGTCACAGTAACTTGAATGTCAAGCAAGATAGCCCTCGCTGTAGCATTCCGGCTGTTCTTTGGCTTCTCAAGTACCTGGATTCTAGGGGAAATAAGGATGACGATGCCCAAGTCAAAGCGAAGGAGAATCCAGGGCTCAACGAAACCATCCATTTAGATCCAAAGGCTGCTCGAGCACCTCCAGCTTTGTGTCCCGATCTAGCGACGCACCTGCTATCCAGCTTACTTCCGCCAACCGAGACCAAGACTTCCTCCAACAAGCGCCAACATGACGATTCTCGCAGGGTCTCATAGTTCATGGAAGAACTTCTTGGGCCCTTATGCGTGTGCCGGTCCCGTCTTTCAGGTTCAGGGTCTGGATGAAGTACCTACCGCTATTATACACAAAGAACTTCACACGACATATTTGATTGGCATATTGTGGCACAAATGAGCATCCGCAAGATACCGTGGATGTCATCAGTAGAAACTGGATAAATGCCCCTATATGCAAGAAGATTGGCGTTTCGACATGAGTTCGACATGGCGAGCCTATTCTAGTTTCACGAAACAGAATGAGGTACCGTTCAGTGCAGCAACCATCATACACACAGAATAGAAAGCATTATTTAACGCAATAGCTTGTTTGATCATCGGAACTGAAAAGTTCAAATAGATGTCACTAACATCGGTGAGAGTGAGGGTGAGTGGGAGAGTGGGAGTGGCTCACCGGTGAATGCCAGTTTTGGGTTTCGCCCAGAAGCTCACAAGTCGCGCCTTTGCGATCTGTCCCCGTCACCACGACATCACAAATCCCTTCTCATTCTGGCAGGTCATTCACCATTGTGGACCTACCAGCATGTCTCCCCACGGCTATACCCAGGGCAGCATCGCGCAATGGGCCAACAAGAACTTTCTTACAGACTTCCGAGAACTCTCCGGGGCGAAACAAGTCGCTGTTCAATTGCACAAGATATCTAATTCCGGGAGTCAAGGCTATATCAAGGGTCTAGTCATCGGCATCGGTATCAACGAGAAGGGCGGGTCGATCGAGATACTTGTCTGGCTGAACAACGGTTCCATGATCATCGGATACGTTACGAAGGTTGGCTCACGCATACAAGAAACTCGCTTTGACTCCACCGAATCTGTCATGGAGAGCGTCACCGAATTCAAAGAGCCTTTCGGCTGTGTACTGCACGTTGAGGGAGAGGCAGCTATTGCGAAGTTGGAGGCACTCGTCCGATACTACCTCTTGCTCAAAGGTTCGACGCAGGCTGTGAAAGATCGTATCACAGAGTTTGAAGAACACTTCGGCGACGCTTGCCGAGACATCGCTGCCGCGCATAAAACAGAAAGGGAAGATCCGCCAGATATCCGTCTTGGACCAGGGGCAGATGCTTGGACTTCTTTGGCGTGTAAGGTCTCATGGTATATTCCAAGCATAGCTATTGACACTATTCCCACTACAGATCCAGACAGACACGGCCTCTACGACTTTGAAATATTCGTTGAAGGTCTGCGCAATACTTCGGGCAAAGTCAACATGTCATCGCAGAGTCCGAAAAGCCACATTGCTCATGGTACGGAAGGCGCATCTGTTTAGTCAAATGTAAGGCTCGACACCGATGACGCAAGCTCAGAAATAGACCCTCAAGAATCTGCTAAGGTCGAGATAAAGAGCCTTAGAAGGAAACCGCAGACCCTGGACAACAGACTGATGATGGCGGAAGGCCGGGCGCAAAAAGCAGAGCAAGCTGTGGCGAAGTGGCGAGGATACTATGAGCAGCTGAAGAAAGAGATGGGCGAAGGCAGCAGTCTGAGATAATAGAAAGGTCAAGACCAGCCTCGATCTGATGTAGCTAACGCCTTTTCGAGAATTAAGGCAGCGCCCAGAGAACTATGGAGTCTCTCATGGGCATATGAGATACGTGTTCCAACGCAGTTGGGCTAAAACGTACGTAGCTGGAGCCAAATGTGTTTTCGAACCTCTCAATGCTTCATGCAACAGTGCCACATTGCTCTTGTCAGCCGTCTTGGCATATCCCAAGTCATAGGCGGTGAAAGTGAAAGCCTCGCGTGCTCCGAACCACTGTAAAATCTCTTGCACCCAACCCACACACTCCAACACCTCCTCCAGGACTCGTCACGGACGCTCTCCAACCCCCGCTCCCCCCCCCTCGGCACTGCTGGAACTGAACGCGTGGGCCGAGGAAAATTGCCCGGAAGAATATGGCAGGTTCCCAGCTGCCGGGTCGTACGAAATCACCACCGTTGGGAGCTGGATCAGGATTTGCGTAGGCACTATTGCGCGCACAGGAATTTATCACGACCTCATCTCCTTCGAAAACGACAAACTGAAAGTCCAAGCCCACCTCGAGCTAGGTAAAGCGATGCCGATACTAGTCGCTGGGGATTTCATTCGACTCACACCCTCCTACTACGACAAGATCGAGCTGTCCGAGCCGTTCTGCTGGATTTGGCCGAGTCTGAATGACCGCATAGGTCTTGCCAAATTCAACGCGCTTGTGAGATACGCAATCATGGTGCGTGGGTTCCCCGGTAATCTCTCTGATATGCCGTTCGGACTGCATGGAGTGTTCCCTCAACTCTGTGCAGATCTTGCGAAAGGCCAAGACATCGACAACATGAAGACTACCTGGGAAGGTGAAAAGCGTTACGGCAAAGGACTCGTGGGAGGCGGCGTCGAGGAGCCAGAAGAGGTTGAGCCGAACAGAGAGTCCACAAACAACGACGGTCCCGACGAGCAGCAGAACAGTCGCAATGTCGTAAGTTCACGACATCCGTATAACATTCTACTCAGTTGACATCAAACAGTTCGAGAATCGCATACAGTACCTTTGCGAAGAATTTCAAGCCTATACATCTACACCAAGAGCTGATTACGAAGGATTTGTGGAAGGCCAAGCGCAATACGGAGCTATTGTTAAGGGGTTGAAGAAAGAAGTTGAGGTTGCGGAGTGCCGCGTGCGAATACTTGAAGCTGAGCTTGAGAAGGCAAAAGCTGGGGAGAAAACGTGGAAACACAAGTTCGAAGGCGTGGCTCCATGGACGATTTGGCGTAAAATTATGAGGTAAAAGAACTATAGGAGAGGCATGCAAAGGTGCTGGCTATGGAAGTCACGATCAGAGGCATGCACCTTCCATGCATGTATGCAAGAATCAAGCTGGAGCTTCCTCGGCCCAAGCATTGCCCTGCTTTGTACTAGATAGTCGAGAAATCCAGCAATGTCAACGACATGAATTAGCTAAAAGCATTCCTTAAGTCTAGTGATAAGAGCCTCAAGAAAATCAGGATGCCTCACATGCTTTCAGTCTTCCTGTGAATTGCCGCAAGACTATGATTCGAATAGCTGCTGGAACAGAGGCATACAGAAAGCGCCATACATCATAAGGTGAACTATAAGGCGACATGTCTTTGAAAAAAACCCCAAGACATGTTGTTAGAGCTCTAATTGTTCTGTGTCTTTTTTTGCTAGAGAGTCTCAGCCACATGCAAGACAATTTTGGAACATGGAACGGTGTTTTTCTATAGGGCTGTGCGTTCCGCTAAGCACACGTAATATACCGCTGCTACATCACCAGGTCACCGAAACTATCATGACAATTAGAATTCACACCTTCGATGAGCTGAAGGATTACGCAAAAGCCAAGTTTCCAAACGCATTCAGCTGTCTACCTTCACCCGAATCTTTTCATATTCAGGTACGACAAGGCTGTACTTGCTTCAAAACAGAAGAACTCCTAGATGGTCCTGTCTCGTTACACTTCAGGCGCAATGGAGTGTGTAAGCACGTACCAGTCGGCGACGAGAAGCATATTCTGACACACCGCTCGACCAAATGGTGATGCCAAAGCGTATGGATGCATTCGTACCCTACTGCATGTTGGCCCGGAGTCACCGTGCATGCTTGAATCCGCCGACATATGTCTTCGAACTCGTCTTTCGAAAAGTGTGTCTACATGAGATGTTGCGGATCGAAGATACATTGGGAACAGTAACACAATCGAGGACGGGGGAAGGGGCTGATATGGAGATGATAGATGGCACGGAGGTCACAGGGCATGGGACTGTCTCTGAAGACTGGCATACTCCGGCCTGCATTCACGCATCGACTGTACTCCTACAAGTAATGGCCGGAAGGGTTGTTAACGAGATGGCGCAGCTAGTAGAGACACCGGGTGACCACGTGGGGGCTGCTGTTCGGGACAGGAATGTCAAGGTGGACTTTTAAGGTTGGGATTGAGGAGTGGAAGAGAAGGTGTCTTGCTCTCTGACAAATGCTCGAGGCAGGCTCAGCATTTGGGAGTCGGCGCGGTATTGGAACGATGCATAGTCATTTATTCGATCGCGTTTCTGTTCACTAGTCTGCATTCCATTTGTCTTCACAATAATTCCGTTTGTATGTTGTGAGTCGCTCCAGCTGATTGACTGCTGTGTGATTGTGTAATGCATTACTCGTTGGCCGTTTCTAGCCTTTTATATATTTCTTGAATCTGACCCGGACTATTTAGTGCCCATGACCGTCGTCTTCACCACCGCCGCGCTCCTCAGGATCCAGCTTGATCAGGGTATCAATACGCATGATGGCGACACACGCCTCTACGGCAGACTTCAGCTGTTTCACCTTGCTCATACTTGGCTCGAGAACGCCAGCCTTCAAGCAGTCGTGCACTTTGCCGTTGGCCAGATCCAGACCATAGTTCTTGTAGTTCTTGGATTTTGCCAACTTGCTGGCGTCCTGCGAAGAGGGGTCGGACGGGTTCACTGTCCGTTGTGAAAGTGCATGCCTCGATCGGAGGTTTGCAACCAGCTCGGTAGCGTCCTTGGCGGCGTTGATGGCTAGAGTCTTAGGGATAGCGAGGAGAGACTGTGCAAAGGCGGCAATAGCCAATTGCTCACGAGAGCCCTGTCTCCAATGTTAGCAGACGTGTCATGGCACAAAGCAGTTGACAAGGACACGTACCACTGAAGTTGCCCACTCTTCGAGGTATATGTGCAGAGCAGTCTCAACAGCGCCTCCACCAGGAACAATGCGTCCACTCTCGAGCGTCCGCTTGACAGCTGACAGCGAGTCGTGCACTGAGCGCTCCATCTCGTCCAAAGCATAGTCGTTTGCTCCACGGAGAATGATGGATGCAGATGAAAAGGCCTTAGTACCCTTGACGAGAATACACTCATCATCCGAAATGCGCTCTTGAGATACCTCTTCCGCAGAACCAAGACTCGATGCCTCAAACTTCTCGTCACCGTTCAAGTCGGACAAGGTGCTGACCAGGGTTGCGCCAGTCGCCTTGGCTATCCTTCGCAGATCCTCCTTCTTGCATCGTCGTACTGCCATAGCACCCTTCTCGATGAAGTGCTTCAAGCAGAGGTCGTCAATGCCCTTGGTAGTCATGACAACATTCGCGCCCGCCTTCAAGATCATCTCGATGCGTTCGGTGACAATGCCGGCCTCGCGCTCCCGAATCTTCTCCAGTTGTTCCGGGTCGTCGATTGTGATGTGTACGCCTAGCTTCATGCGCTCCTTCTGCAAGTTGATGTCCAAGCAGGCAATCTTCGCGTCTTTTATCCGCGTCTTCATGGCCTGCGAAGCGACTGTGCAGTTCAGCGCGTAACCCTTGACAAGCTGAGACTGAGTGGCGCTCTGGCCGTGTGCCTTGAGGATGTTGACAGCCTTCACGGGGTACTTGATCTCGCCCTTGTTGTTGGTCATCTTGACAGACTGCATGGCGTCCACAACCATGTTGGCGAAGAAGTCCGAGTCGGATCCGATGATCTTGCTGGACATGGACGTCTTAGCGATGTTGACGAGGGAGTCGCGACCGAGCGCATCGACCTTGGTGCTGATGTTCTCGTTCATGTACTTGACAGCTTCCCTCAGAGCCAGCCTGTAGCCTGTTATGATTGTGGTGGGGTGGATCTTGTTCTTCATGAGCTCGTTTGCTCTCCGCAGAAGCTCCGCCGCTATTATGACGACTGATGTTGTGCCATCGCCAACCTCCTTATCTTGCTGTTGTGCCAAATCGACGAGGATCTTGCCGGCGGGGTGTTCGATGTCGAGCAAAGAGAGGATTGTAGCGCCGTCGTTCGTTACGGTAACGTCACCAATGTCGTCGACCATCATCTTGTCTAGCCCTGAAGGGCCGAACGACGACTTGACGACATTTGCAATTGCCTGAGTCGCGAGGACATTTTGGTCACGAATGTCCTGCCCGCTAATCTTTTGGCCGCCCAAGACTAATATTTGTCAGCCATGTTTCCGCACACAGAACTGCTCAAGCTTACACAGCGTTCCTCCGCCGCGAGACTGTTCAAAAATTCCTGCCATGACGTCGTGGTGTAGCTGATATGTCGGGTTGTTGTTGCTGCCTCTCTACGCGGCTCGAAAATCTTAGGCTACGCGGAGGGACAGACCGGCGAAAGGTAGCTCCGACGACGCTAGAGACCATGGCCCCTGCCAGTGCATGACTCGGTGGACCCCTCCACAATTGGGAGCAACACCACGCGAGACTTTGTGACTGTGTTGCTTCGCATCCAGACTTCGAATACGAGCTTGCTGCGCCCTTGCTCCGTATTGCACGCAGGAGATACTGACTCAAGGTCCCGTGACTCTTCAATTGTACGTGTGTTCAGCTGCTGTATTTACATGCCCCGCTACCCCGCCGAATGCTCCCAATATATGTCAAGGGAGCTGTTTCGCAAAGAAAAGGAACTTTAAATGACTTTCGCATTGGCACAACATACACAAGGAAACGCCATATACTTGTTCACCGCACTCCTCATTTCGCTGGTCTGTCTCGCGCTGACACTACCTTTACTTTCTAGAGCCAAACTTTGCGGATCCAGCGTCCACACACAACGCAAAATGGCCGAAGCCTCTGCCGCCGATGGGAAGATGAAAGATCTCAAGATCTCCGAGACGAAGAAGAACAAGAAGGATGGCAACCCTAAGACGGCCGCGAAGAAGCCCCAGCAGCAGAAGAAGAAGGTTAGACGCGCAGCACAGACGAGCTCTGGCGGATGAAGCAGGAAATTGACTGGGAGACAGATTGAGGGTGCCGCGCTGATCGGAATCGATGTCGCAAAGGAGGACGATTTGGGTGAATGGTACCAGCAGGTCATCACCAAGGGCCAGATGATCTCATACTACGATGTGCGTGTTTTGACATTTCCCAACAACTAACAAGCAAAAGCTAACAAGCAATACAGGTCGCAGGATGGTAACTATGCTGCTACTAGACCTTCGGTCGCATACTGATGACAGGCAGTTACATCCTAGAACCCTCTTCGTACGCCATCTGGGAGTCCATCAAGGCTTGGTTCGACAATCAGATCAAGACACTCAAAGTCCGCAATGCATACTTCCCCATCTTCATCAGCGCAGACAACTTGGAGCGCGAGAAGGAGCACGTTGAGGGTTTTGCCGCTGAGGTCGCCTGGGTGACCAAGGGTGGAAAGTCCGACTTGGAGAAGCCTGTCGCTGTACGCCCGACCTCCGAGACCGCCATGTACCCTTACTTTGCTCGCAAGATCCAGTCGCATCGTGATCTCCCTCTGAAGTTGAATCAGTGGAACAATGTTGTTCGCTGGGAATTCAAGCGTAAGCATTGCTAACACACCACATCGAGTTCTTGCTAATTATCCTCAGACCCCATGCCTTTTATTCGGTCTCGCGAGTTCCTGTGGCAAGAAGGCCATACCGCACATCTGACTAAGAAGGAGGCGAGTGATGAGGTCCTACAGATCCTGGACTGGTACTCTGACGTCTACCAAGACCTGCTTGCCGTTCCTGTAGTAAAGGGCACCAAGACTGTTAACGAGAAGTTCCCCGGAGCAGATTACACAACCACTATCGAGGGGTTCATTCCTGCCACTGGCCGTGGTATTCAGGCTGCCACATCACATTGCCTTGGTCAGCATTTCTCCAAAATGTTCAATATCACCGTGGAGGACCCCAACGCAAAAGAGGCCGGCAAGTCAGAGCACGTCCATGTGTGGCAGAATTCATGGGGTCTTACCACCCGTTCCATTGGTGTCATGATCCTTACTCACGGCGATAACCGTGGCTTGGTCATCCCTCCGAGGGTAGCGGAGATTCAGGTAGTCGTTATCCCTGTCGGTGTCAGCGCAAAGTGAGTACAGAGTCACGTTACCCTACGACAAATGCTAAGACTGCTTTAGGATGAGCGCTGAAGACAAGGAGAGTCTCTACAGCAAGGTTAAGAAAATCTCCGAAGATCTCGTTGAGGCCGGCGTACGCGTCGAGACCGACTACCGCGAGGGCTACTCCCCCGGCTGGAAGTTCAACGACTGGGAGCTTAAGGGAATCCCTCTCCGAATTGAGTTCGGCCCCAAGGATGCTGAGAAGGGCGTCGTTACCACCTCTCGCCGCGACATCAGCGACAAGGACGCTGCGCGTGGTACTATCAACGTCGACGACCTCACCAAGGAAGTCCCCAAACTTCTTGAGAAAATACAGAAGGATATGTTCGAGCGCGCAGACAAGGAGTATCGCGATCACCGAGTACAGCTCACGAACTGGGATGACTTTGTTCCTACGCTCAATGGCAAGAACGTGGTGCTGGTTCCCCACTGTGAGGGCGACAAGTGTGAAGACGAGGTCAAGGCCAAGAGCGCGCGCACCGCACTAGGTGACGGTGTCGCAGAGGACAAGCAGGCCCCTGCCATGGGCGCAAAGTCTCTTTGTATTCCTTTCGAGCAGCCCGAAGGCATCGAGGAGGGTAAGACCAAATGTATCAACCCTGACTGCAACACCCCTGCCAAGCAATGGATTCTCTTCGGAAGGAGTTACTAGTTTATATAAGCATAGATCCAGAGGCACAGCATCTGTTCATTGGGCGGCTTGGAGTTTGAGGTGGTCTGGGTGGCGTGAGGATGCACTACCAGTGTCAATGGACAGTTGCCATGTTTGATACACTTTTCTAAGTAGAACGAAAGGTTCTACATCTCCAATACTCGTGCGCTGATCACCTTCCTGGACGACTGCTGAGTCGTCATAGCAGTGACTGTATGCCCACACACACCTTCTGTAGTCAGAAGATTGGTGAATGACAACAGACATCTCGCCGTTTGCAAAAAAGCTTGCACCTTACCGTGCACCACGTCACCCGCACACCTCATATACTGCTTCTCGCCACCTTATTGCCCACACTCGCACACACTACCCAGTATCAGTCATAGTTTAACCGCGGCCATACTCAAGATGTGTCATAAATTGATTTCGGTGTATGCGTGCAACCACTCCAAAATCATCTGCACCACACCATGTCCATATGCGTTCGACACTGGCGGTAGAATTCCTCGGCGAAAGTGCAACGATCAAGACCTATCCTGCTCTGACTCGACAGTGTCCTCTCTCGCTCCTTCTATCCGACTTGAGGAACACCCTGCCCAGCTGCGCTCGCCACCTGCATCAAGGCCAGGCTTGCCTCTTCCAACTCCACAGCAAATAAGCCAACAGTCAACAAAAATTGCGTCAGCGCCAGCCTTCCGCTTCATCCCGCGTGCTCCCTCACCTTCACATGTCGGCAGCCCGTCGCCAGGCTACACCCCGCATTCACCTGAATCTGAGCACTCCCTCCAAACCTCGCCTTCAGCCGCCTTGCTCCCAGATGAGCAGTTCGACATCGATCCCAACTTCTGCGATTACCATTTCCCGCACAATCTACCAACGTCCAAGCTCCCCTGTAAGGAATGCTACATGTTCCCGGCGTGGCAGCATTTGGCACCACTATACATGAAATACTACTGTGAACAGCATCCGATGGTGAAGCCGGAGGATTTGGAGAGTCTTGCTGGGATCAAGGACTTGAGAGAAGAGCACGAGAGGAGAGTTGGGCGAGGAATGTGATTGGTGCAGGCAAGGACGAGGACAAGAGCGGAGGAAGCGTGTAAGGACTTGAAGTGTGAGAAAGCTGGGGATGAGAGGAAATGACAATAGAGATGAGCAGATATGGGTGCAAGCTGTGGCTAGTCCTCGAGTGTGAGCTTCAGTTACATCAATGTTGGTATAGTTCAGCTTGACCTTTTTCATTATGCATGGTATATTCGTGTCGCTGTCTGAGACAACCAGCATCGTTGACTGGACCTAGCAGGTATCCCGCACGTCTAAGACGTATCCATGTCGTCGTCACCCTCCTCTTTGCTCTCTTTCTCCACGGTCTTCTTGACGCCCTCTAGAAATGCCTTCACGGCTTCCCCACCGCCTAAGGGCATCGCTCCGCCCCTCATGTAACCACCATGCTCGACGTCGATGTTCAGTCCTTGCGCGACGGTCGGTAGCGCACCCGTCTTCAATGCTTCAGTCAAGCTGCCTAGTGCAGCGCGCAGTTGAGGGGCTCGGAGGATTCTCTTTAACACCTCGACCTTTTCTGACCTATCCATCGACTGTACAACTGTCTGCGCGGTCTCAGAGTTGGGGTCAATTTCATCAATGTCTTCCACTTCAGCCTCAAGAAGGAATGGCGTCGTGGGAAGCTGGGCACACAGAGCGTCGATTAGCTCAGGTGAGGCTTTGTCGACAGTTGAAATGGTGTGTGACGGCCAGAGAAGGTCGAGCAATGTCGTGAAGGGTTCGCCAGATGCGGATGGCTGCGAGGAGCCGCCAAGGTTTCCTCCTTGTAGCGAATTGACGAAGTTCTGAACGATAGAAGAAACGTCGTTGGTAGGAGCCGCTCTACGATGCTGTTAGCGCAGGGTTCCGTCGAGACTAGAAGCAAAGAAGAGACAACGAGCGCCGTGGCAAGGCGGGCGTAAGACGAGACATGCATGCATATTTTGTTTATTGGTACAGAGAGCCGTGAGGCTCGTGAAGTCTTTCCCGAACGCCTCACCATGACAGGATATAATCTGAAACTGTTCGGTGCTCTCGTCAATGCCTTGAACAGCTGTTCGAACTATTGCCGTAATGTCGACCGTGCCACGACGCCGTTTTACAATACAAATGAACGGAACCTACGCTCGGCCGCCATCAGCACCTCCTTCACGGGATCCGGATCCTTCTTCTCTAATGTCGCCGCCAGTAGCACCAGCTCCTGCGCCCCCGGTGCTACCGTGGCGGTTTCGGCTTGCTGAATGGTCTGCACCTTCTACATCTTCCATGGTCTCGTCATCATCGCCACCGGGAGCAGAGTTCTGGACGTTTGCGAGCTCTGCTTGGACATCGATCTCCTCGCCGTTGAGGAGAAGGTCGACAATCTGTCCGATCTTGAGGTCCCGCTCGCTGAACCAGCTGGCATCGCCGCGGGGGTGCTGTGTCTTGGACTGTAACCAGAAGAGGTAGCGCTGTGAGCTCGAGTTGAACTTGAGGACGAAGATGCGGCCGTCGGTGGGAGACTTGACGTTCTCGGAGTTTTCGACGGATTCGGTGCCGGTGTATGGGACGAAGGCGCCGTCGCCCGGGATCATGATGAGGTCGAGCTCGGACTCGTCGAGCGAGCTGTCGCGTGGGCGCCAGCAGAAGTGCACAAACTCTGCGAAATGTAAGCAGAACACAGGGCATATCTAGCGCCGTGACCGACCATCTTCGCCCTGGTAGAGGTAGACGTAGCCAGGTGTCCGGAGCGGCTTGACCTTCTGTATAGTGTCGTTCTGGCGCTGCAGCTGTTAGTGGCCATCGCATGGTGGGGGAGGCTAGAGCGTACAGTGAGCTGGCACTGGCCTGCCTTGAAGGTTATCAGCGGTTGGATCGACATGTTTGTGTTGTGGCGTCGGCAGGGCTGGCTTAATTGTGAAGCTGGTGATGGTGAGCTGCCTGGCGTGCTTGCTTAGCTCGGAAGCGGCGATGCGGCGGGCCTGGGGTCGGACGCGCTCCGCGGGAAAACGTTTCCCCGAGCCAGCGCGCTAACGGCTGGAGCTTGGCGGACACAGTGCGTGGTCGAAATTCGCTACTCGCACGAACTATCTAACTTCCAGGGCAATCCGACGACAACCACAATTCGAAATGGCGGCCAACAAAGAGGAACAGAAGCCCCAAAAGGCGAGCAAGTACTACCCGGCTGAGGACGTCGCCGTCCCCAAGAAGGTATGTTCACTTATGCGATCCCGCACCGATGCACCAGCAAGAGGAGGACCATGACGGACAGGGCTGGCTGTGTGTCTGCGAGCGAATGCAGCGGCAACACGTTGGGGAGCACTGTTGAAGCACCGGTATAGCAGCGATGAAGAGCTCTACTAACTGCGACTCAAGGCCCGCAAGACCGTCCGCCCTGCGAAACCCCGGGCTTCCCTCCAACCCGGTACCGTCGTTATCCTCCTCGCTGGTCGTTTCCGCGGCAAGCGCGTCGTTCTCCTCAAGCACCTCCCCCAGGGTGTTCTCCTCGTCACCGGTCCCTTCAAAGTTAACGGCGTTCCTCTGCGACGGGTAAACGCCCGATATGTCATCGCTACCTCCACCACGGTTGACCTGAAGGGCATTGACTCCAAGGTCTTGGACAAGGTCAGCGAGGATGGCTACTTCACCAAGGACAAGGCCGCCCACAAGCCTGGTGAGGACTCGTTCTTCAAACAGGGCGAGAAGCCCGAGGTATGCACCCCGAACAACATGGAACGCGGCGCAGTACTAACAGCTGCAACAGAAGAAGGAGACTTCCAAGGACCGTGTTGAGGACCAGAAGTCTGTTGACAAGGCTCTCCTAGCCACCCTCAAGAAGGAGGCTCACCTCATCGACTACCTTAGCGCCAGCTTCAGCCTCCGCAGCTCAGACAGGCCACACCAGATGGTCTTTTAAGCGACGGGTCACGACGGTCAATGGCGTTCAGTGCATGGGATGAAAGATGACTTGGGCACGTCGAGCCGCAACAGCGGTCTAAACAGCGTCGGCACGACAGCCAATTTTTTCTTCATGGATGGTACCGGTCTGCATTTACTATAAGACTTGTAACGAGCAAGCGAATCCAAAACGGTCCGAAAGTGAATCATTTGGTCCTCGCTCGTGTGATGTCATCATTTGGAGTTAAGGCGATACAATAGGTGCATGGTACTGATCAGCGCAATAGAATCACGATTAACAGCCTCACCACCATCGAACTGCTCGCAGCGTCAAACAGCCTCTACATATTGTATTTACATACTAGCACAAAGAAAGCCATCTCCAAGGGTATCGCGACCGCTGCACAGCTTTCTACAGAATGCCAGACACCGCATCGAAGGGAGAGAACACACACACACATTGGTTCGACCTATACACGTGCCAGCAGTTCATGCCGACAGACCCTAGTTTTATCAAGCATGGCCAAAGATCGACATGTGTTATATTCATGGACCTTCGTCACGCACTCACTTCCTCCTCCTACCCTTGCCCGCAGCCTTCCCTCTCAGTTTTCCAGCAAGCCCACTCGCCGCGTCTCCAGCTCCGTCGATCGCGTTACCAGCTGTCTCCTCCACGTGATGTTTTTCCATTTCCGCCTTCAAGTCGTCAACAACATCTTTGCCCAGCGTGGTGTCATGCACCCAGTCCAGAACGCCCAACGGACCAAAGTTTCCATCTCCTTCGCTCATCATGTGTGCATCTGTCCTTCTGGCCATGCCTCTCAGCATGATAGTCGAGGGGAGGATGTTGTACCCCGAATATACGAACGTTTCTTCGAGACTGAAGAGTACAATCAGGAACAGATAAGTCAGAATATGCATGCGTAAGGCAATAGCTGGCAGATACAATGGTAAAAAGCGATGCAAGAGGTGACATGCTGGATGGTCGTAGTTGGCCACGAAGGAATATGGGATCGTAACACTATGATGCCAGCTCTGATGCCAATCTGCCAGTCTACCGCCATTAGTTGAGTGCAGCAGATGTGTGTGGATGTAGTATTGAAGGACCTGCCTCTAATCAGCCAAGTCGTAATGAACCTCGTGATGATGTCTTACATTCCGCGCCACCAACCCCATGGCAGCATGCTTAAGCATCGTCCACGGATACGGCAAATGATTTAACCCCCACTTACTGCCCTTGATCTGCAACAAGCTCCTCATCCTCAGCACGTCTGTCACCAAGAACTCAGTCGCAGCTTGGATTGCGATAGTCAGAATCACATTGAGCAGACTCCATCCGGCGACTCTCCACATCTTCCTCTTTCCACCTTTTTGCTTCGTTGCGATGCCAAGTTGACCTTGCGATTTGAACTCGGCGGAAAGAGATGGGACGCCGATGTCGAACAAGAGGAAGATTAAGGAAGGGAAGACATAAAGAGTGAGCCGAATGAACAGTGGCGCAAAAGCCTCCAATTGTAGCGGTGAATAGGTTGCTGCAATAGTTGTCCAAGCCAACGACAGGAAAATGAGGTTGAGTGATGTGCTCCATGATGACAGCATGGGTATTGCCAGAAGTGAGGCCAGAGGGACAGTGAAGGGGGCCAAAAGCGATGTTAGAGACATTGTGGCTCAGACTTGATGTCGCTGGTTGCAGGCGAAGAATTTGTTAGGTAGTTGATAGGAGATTCAAGATTCGCGCATGGTGAGAAGGACGATTCTCAGCGCGAGTTTGGTGGTGGAATCCAGGTAGTGAGCAATGACGTAGCCACGCGCCAACTTTCGCACATAGCTGCCTCTACACTGTCACATAATCTGCTATCGTCTAACCTTGGAACTCCACGAAACGTTATCGTATCATGACAATCAATGCTGCATCTCCTTTCATTCACGATGCATACCCTTAACACAATTTTGGCGCATACTGAATCGCGCACGTAATGCAAATTTCCATCCGCCGTATAACCGTAAATGCCCCCTAACGGTCTACGCTAAGCAGCCTACTGTCTGACATTGTCGATCATGAAGCTGCTTGTTCATCCACGCACAGATTCAGCTACCCTTTCTGTGGCTGCGACGAACTGATATATACTATGTTGGAATATTTTCGTTCGTAAGGCCATGCTTCGCTGGATTTGGTGTATTTGGATTTTCCCATAAGCAACATCGCTCTATCCGTTTCCCAACCTGCATTTTTACGACTCGGCCTCTGCGAGATGCTCTCCGGTTGGCGTGCTAGAGCGATTGGCACTTCATCTTCCAGACGAATCTCATATATCCTTGTTCGTCGCAAGAACCTAGCAGTTTAGCACTGCACCAAGCGAAAGTAGTCGCATACTAATCGATGTAGGTTGAGGTCCCACTTCCCCCGATAGTATTGACAGGCGGCCTAAGGTTGACATGACCCTAGATCGTAATGACAGGCGATCTAAAGTCGACACGACTGCATCGCTGCCAAGAAACTACAGGAAGTCCCTGATGGTGTGCTGAGTCACTGAACACAGGTGGACATATTAGGACGAAAGTCTGGTGTCGCTCATCTTGGCAGTGGTGTGCTTCTATTCTAGACGTTTGGTATGCCAAATAGATCGAGCCAGTATTTGGGGGTGCTAACGATGTATGAGGCGAAAGGAGAGCCCGGTAGTGTCATCGAGGGGTGTCGAACGGATGAAGCGATTGTAGTCCGAATCGTGTGTTTCTCTATGATCAGTCCGGCCCCGTGCAAACATGTTATGCTCTGTATAAATAGCTCTTCATGATTAAGAGCTGTTGGATGTACAAGCTCTTGCTGCAGGTGAAGGACAGAATATCATGAGTGACATGAGGAAAGCCGGCGTCTCCTAAACGACAATGGTGAAATTCGCAATGCGGCTACGCGTAAACACATAAAGATCGGGTATGCAAGGGCCCCAGAACGTGCATACACATCCCACTTAGGTCAAGCGAGCGGATCATGCTCATGCATACCGCAAGCCCCGGCATTGTTTCGATCCGTGCTCAATACCAAAAGATCTGCGTGCAACAAGGCAGTACCGGTACGAGGTCGCGCGAGCGGCTGTCGTGGTTCGGCGCGGTAGCCCAGTCTTCTGGAAGTGGTTCGGGAGGAATGATCAGCTTTGTGCCCAAGAGTTGCGAGATGAACAAGCATGTAATTGGATGCCTGGCACGTGGAACCTGGGCGCGTTTCGCGCTCGCGTAAATATTAACATGGGAACGCTGAGTGAATCGGAAACAAGCAGCTGCAGAAATGATGAGAACGAGGCTAGATCTTTGTGCCCAACCATGCTACGCACTGGATAGACTACCGGGTTTGGGCGCTCCAATACTGGGAGCGAGTGGCCGCGATAAAATAAGAAAGCTTGTTGAAACTATTTCGGCTAGTGTAGCGTAGAGTGGGGCAGATCCCAAGCTCTCGCGCTTTCCATCCCTGAGTCTCTGGGCAGGTGCGACCGGGCCATGGATGGCAAGTGCTAATTTAACTTGACAGACTTCGAGTCTGCAGTCCTTCTCTCCGCTCAGTGTCTCTCGCCTCATCGCCAGCATCTTTCTTTTGGAGTGCCTATCTCGCGACGCGCATGTGCACACGCGCCCTGCATCTGCATCCGACTGCAGCACCTCGCATGCCGATTATGCACTGATCGTCGTCCATCACATCGCGCGCATGCAAGAACGACATATCTTGACGTCCACGGCATAGCTTCAAGTAGCACGCCCGGCAGCATGGACGTCCAGACGCAAAAGAACCCTCCGGTGCCAGCCGTCCACGCCGATGCCGCAAATGCTCCACCGAACCAAAGTTTGCGACCGCCGCGAAAGCCGTCGCCCCCCTCGGCCAAAGGGAGACGCTCGCCAAACTACGTGCACACGCAGGCTGCATCGCCCGCAATCATCTCGTCTCTCATCGACCAGCTGTCCGCCATTTCCGCACCGGCGCATGACCACTTCGAGAACCTCCTTGTCGGCTACAACAACGGCCATCCGGCGTCGGCGAAGACCAGCATACACACGCATTCGGCCAGGAACTCGACTGCAGGCCATGATGGGAGCTCAATCGACCATTCTGTGTACAGCAACTCGCTAAGGGAGCAGAACGACACCTTCCCCGACGACGCGTGCGAGCCGCCAGTCATCCGAACCTCCAAGCCACCCTCGGGCTTCTCCCCCCTCACTGCGCCAAAGAAGAAGGACAAGTCGCATTCGTTGAGTGGCTACATCGGAAGAAGCAGTGGCAGCTCTGCATCGCTGCACTCGACACACTCGAACCACTCTGCGGTGAGTATAGGCAACATCAGCATCGAGGCTGGTATTCCCAGGCAACCCTCTGGTGGCAGTGCGAGATCTTCGTCGGAGAGCAAGAGGAGTGGGAAAGTCCACCGAGGCCTCATGTATATGAGCTCGCGCGAGCGGCTGCGACAGAAGGAGACGGAACGGAAACGCCATACCACACACAACTCAGAGGACGCCATGGCACACGACTCCCCGCGCAAGAACAGCGTCCCATTGTTTCCTTATGAGGACACGATCAAGGAAGAGCCAACGTCGAGAGAGGAGGACCAACCTTTCCCCGCGGAACCTTCCAGATTTGCACAGCGATACCCTGACAGGAGTAACAGCCCCCGCCGACTCCGCATCAACTTGGTGGATGGCCCTGAAGGCGAAAGTCCCTCAGAGCAAGGCATCATCCCTGAGCGTGGCTCATCCTTGAAGCATGCCGGCAGCCCTACACGAAAGAGCCGAAAGAGTCGCGCTAGCGGCGCTAATCGCAAGGAACAGCAAAAGCCCGAGGTAGTCGCAAAGGAGCCCGAAAAGTTGGTCGAAGCAGTAGTGACGAAAGATAAAATACTGAAGGAACTGGAGGAAGAGGAAAACGAGGTTGCACAAAGGATACGTGAGCTCAGGGAGCAAAAATTGCGTCGCGACTTGCTGGCCGGCAAGCAGCCTGTTGGTATTGATGCAGGGGTGTCTGCATCTGGCATACCCCAAGTTTCAGTAATCCCGAGCCCTGAAGCTTCCCCCACCTCAATTGTGTCAAGCGCGTCAGAACGGCGGGTGCAGGTCCAGGACCCCACCAAAGCGCACAAAATTCTTGGTATTACCAGGGAAGAGGCAGGAGCAGAAAAGCCAATTGATGCCGAGATAGTGGTCGACAAGACTGAAGCGCGCAAGCCCGCACCTGCACCCATCACGATCTTCAAGTCGAACGCTTTGCGCCACTCGAGACACAGAAGCTTGACCGTAAATGATGGCGACGATCTTACCCCACTCCCGATCAACTACAATCTCGCTGTCCAAAAAGCCGAAGAAATTTCACCTCCAACGCCAACAATAGAAGTGCCGCGCGCGAGGTCACCTCCGCCACCCAGTATCAGTGTCGCATCAAGTAAGGAAACGAATTCCAGTGTCACTCTGACCAGGCGCTCGAGCTCTGCGGCGACGGTAGGTGGACGTTCTGCGGTCGGGCGCAGAGCCACTTCCTCAACACTCATGGGAACCACGAAAAGCCACCAGCACTCTTCGAGTGTATCGGATGGCATTGACCTAAAGCCGCCATCCGTCCGTTCTGCCAGCGCAGATATTGGTGCGAGGCATCACTCCATGATTATGCCATTGTCGGCACCCAACAGTTTTCAGCTTCAGCGTAAGAAAACCCTCACGAAGAAACGCTGGTCGCATCCAGACTTGCCGGCCAAAGCGGAGAAAAGACACAATGACAAAGTCGAGAGAATGGAACAAGAAGCGGCCGCTTTAGGTGTAGGAGCAGTACAAAGGCCTCCTCGGCCCATCGCGGAGGAGCGCATCGAGGAGCGACCTGCAAGTGTGGATTCGATCGACCTCGAGGTGGACAGCTATCTCAACTCGTCGCGTTTGTCGCAAAAGATTCGCCACCCGCAAACAGGCAGAGTGATATCCTTCTCAGAGGTCGGTGATCCCAGTGGATTTGCTGTGTTCGTTTGCGTTGGCATGGGGTTGACTAGATATGTCATGGCCTTCTACGATCAGCTGGCTGCTACATTAAAGCTACGGCTCATCACACCAGACCGGCCTGGAGTTGGAGGGAGTCAGGTAGACCAGACTGGGACTCCTCTCAGTTGGCCAGGTGAGTTCATGCGCAAGCGCATTCCAATAAGTGACAAGACTAACTTGCTTCTAGACGATGTCCTAATCATCTGCCAAGCTCTCAAGATCACGAAGTTCTCCATGTTGGCGCATTCTGCAGGAGCGATATACGCTCTCGCAACGTCACTGCGAATGCCTCAACATATCCGAGGGCGTGTGCATCTACTGGCACCATGGATACCGCCATCTCAAATGGCGCCAATAGGCCTCAGTCAGGACTCTCCACCTACCCAACAACTTCCTCGATCGCAGCGCTTCCTGCGTGCTCTTCCTCCTTCCCTACTGAAGGTTGCCAACTCCACCTTCCTGGGTGCCACCAGCGCAAGCTTGCAACGATCAGGTCCAAAGAACTCGCCAAAGACTAGACGGAAGAGCATATACCCCCAGACTGTGACCGCAGAAACACAACGTCCTTCACTGAAGGATAACCGTCGTGAGTCGATGATGCTCATGGATCAAGTCCTTCCGCATGCAAGCTCCATGACATTAGCTCCGTCGAGTGGCCCGGACGCAAACTACGAAGCGCAACAACGCCACAAAGAGCAGCTGACGCTAGCTGAACGCGAGCATCAGCGTGCATTCGACGAGCGCCTTACTTTTGCAATTTGGGACCGCGCGACCGCCCATGCCAATCCCGCTACAGATCTCATGGTGTGTCTCGAGACTAAGCAGACTATTGGTTTCCGCTACGAAGACATCAACCGCCCTGTCGTTATCCATCACGGCAGCAAGGACTCTCGTGTTCCGGTGGACAATGTACGCTGGCTCGGCAAGTTGATGCGCAAGTGCGAGGTACGAATCCTGGAAGGCGAACAGCACGGCCTTATGGCCAGCGCGCAGGTCATGGGCAACGTCCTGACCGAAGTAGCGAGCGAATGGGAAGATTGGTCTGCTGTCGTTCAAGGCAAGGGTGATCATCGCTCGCTTTCCAGAAGAAGGACGGCAGAACGACTGCGCAGTACCGTGTCGCGAGACGACATGAGGTTGACGACGCACTGAGACGGCCGCGCACAACAAAGCGACTGCACCTTGACGGCTGAGCGCACATGTCCAAGGACACTTACCAACGACTTTTCGAACGAACCCGAATACCCCCTTTTTTGAACCTTGTCATGTCCCCTTTTTCACTCCTCTTCACATCACTAATTAGCCTGTGTTTTTGGCGGTATCCCTTTTACTTTTACGCTCTACGCTTCTTGACATTATACCCATTACTGGAGCTGCACGTTTGATTCATGGATTTGCTTCTTGTATATGCATACATTGTCCTCCTCTCACTTACGGGCACGGCTGGGGGTGATATGGTTTGGCTTGCTTCTATAGGGCTACTATGTCGATTGTAATGTTGGGCTAGCTGGATTCAATGGATCCCACAATGAATCAGTTTTACACTTCATATGGCACACATTGTCAGCAATTTGACGTCTGTTTAAGCATAGACTAGAGAGTATACGCCTTTGCCCCCTCGCCAAACAACAAATGTGGCTTTCTTTGCGCCAAGTCGAGGATTGTCTGGGCGTAGACGGAATTCGCCCACGCGAACCAGCTCCTTGTATAACTCTTTGCATAATCGACATTTACACTTTCGTGGATGAGTCCGTTCATGCTGACATTCTTCACTGCGCCGAGACATTTCATGATCTCCTCGTCATCGTCGCTGGTCATTGCTTGTACCAAGACGCTCATGGGCCATGCGCTTTGTAAACCTACGTGAGGGCCACCGATACCGCTAAACTCGTCGCCAGTCAAGTAGTATGGGTTACCAGACTTCTCGAGAATCATCTTGCGTGTGTTTTTGTAGATCTCGTTGGACGCGTCGACGAAGCCGAGCAGCGGCAGTGCCAGCAAGGAAGGGAGGTTTGCGTCGTCCATGAGGATGTGGGAGCCGTAACCATCAACTTCGAAAGCGAAGACTTCACCATACTTTTTGTGAGTAACTACGCCATGCTCCATGACACCCTTCTCGATCTTTTCACCCCAGTTCTGGACTTGTTTGGCAATGTTCTTCTTGCCGGCTTTGGAGAGAAGGGAAGCAGTACGCTTCAATTCGACACTGATCATTGCATTGGCAGGAATTAGGAAGCCTAGAATTGTGGCATCGTCGCTCGGTCGGAAGGCGCTGCGGACGAGACCCGTGCCACTGTTGAGTGGATTACCGATACCACTGAGACCGAGCGTCTCCGTCCCGATGTTTGTTTGGCGCTGAAAGGTGTACTCGTTGCCTTGGTACGATCCGGTCTTGTCGTCAAATGTCCCTTTCGATTGATCGTGGAGGACGTCTAGAAGCGTGTCTAATGCAAGGAGCCACCTGCTATTTAAGAAAGCTGTGGAACCGGTATGATTGTAGAATTGGTTGGCCAGCGAGAGGAAATGCGCAAGTGAGTCCAACTCGTACTTGCATTCGAAAACAAATGACTCCTCATACACGGGATGTACCGTGTCGCCATCGCCTTGGAAGGTCGGACGAAGACCGCTTGGAGGGGGGGGCTGAAAGGCATTGCAGTATGGCGATCCGATAACATATTCGGCTTGCGTATTGATGGCTCCCAGTATCAGCTGGTGGATATCCTTGTCTTTCTTTGCAAGGAGCTGGTATTGCGCCAGTTGGTTTGTAGAGTCACGTAACCACTCTGCATTAATATCGCCTGTGACGATGAAGCTTTGAGGGCCGGTCCATGCATCCGTGTCCCAGCTCTTTCTCGATGTCTTGTGCTTGGCCGTCTTATCAACGTGCCACCTCACGGTCGTGTCTAGTGTGTTTGGGAAGGCGTTTTCGAACAAGCGAGCCAGGTCCTTATCCTCTATCCGCTCGTTCATATCTTCAATGACCCTCTCAACCATGGGTGACTCGAAAGTGCGGCAGTATTTGGAAGGCCTCTGGAATGGTAGATGCATTGAGCCATTGCTGTAAGGCTGGCTTGGAGAACAGTCAGTAGTGGAGAGGAGCACAGTTGGTGCTGACGTACTGTGGCCGCATAGCGTAGTTTTTGTAGTCTGGACATGCTGCTTTGAACTTGAGCGGGTCGATTGCGGCGCGTATGGGTTCTTGGTCTCCAGCATTGTCGACGCCCGCCAAGACGCCCGTCAGGAAAAGCGAGGCTCCAGTGACGAAGCTGGACGTGGGAGCTCTCATCGTGGGCAAGCAGCTGAGCGGGAACCCGAAAACGCAAAGGTGTGAAGATACAGAGCACCCGCTGAGAGCGACAATAGGTGAGAGAAGTACAGAGACAAACAGATGGCAGTGGGACGCTCAGCGAGGGAGGCTCAGCATTGCCCTGTGAGAAAAGGAAGAAGGGACAAAGGGGGCTCAGAACATGGTGGCAGCAGACTGGGATGTTCTTAACAAGGCTCAAAATGCCAGGAGCACAATTCTTGCCTGGAATGGATGCTCGCAACTGGACCAAAGTGGCTTTCCGAAAGTGCACAGTGCACCCAAAGAGCACCCCACAGCCCCACCAATAAACGTGCGTCCCGGACGTGGTGGCCCGTGCTCAAGCTACAAGCATCGTTCCTTCCCGCAGCGCGAGCCTTCTCTTTCTCGTTCAACAACAACCTCCTCGGACAAGTGATAGCCACATCTACAAGAAACGCCCGAGCGCTGCTGTAACAACCATCTGGACATGCTTACTCAGCACAATTGATCCACATTTGCGACCAAGATGCTCTCCCTACCAGGCCTGAACCTGGCTCCACAGCCCGCCGAACCGCTCAACGCCCCTACATCCACCGTCACGCGCACGCAAGATCTTGCTGCAAACACCGAATATCGCTTCGAAGTCAGCTTTGCTCGCACGCTGACTATCAAGCTACAGTCTGGCACTGCAGAGTTCTTCGGCACCGAGCTCGCGCCATCCACAACGTACAGCTTCCAAGGCACGAAAGGCGCGGTTTTTACGTGGCATGGCTGCAAGCTGGAGATTGGTGGCGAAGTCGAGTCGGACTATGTTGCAGAAGAGACGCCCATGATGAGCTGCGCGAACTTGCATTTTGCGCTGGAGCTGCTGAGGGACCAGAGTGTGTCCAGTGGAAGCGCAGAGATGGGTCCAAGAGTGCTGGTTGTCGGACCAGAGCACTCTGGCAAAACGTCACTGGTCAAGGTCATGACATCGTACGCCGCCAAGACTAGTCGGCAACCAATGGTCGTCAATCTCGACCCGAGACAGGGCATGCTCAGTATCCCGGGCTCTTTCTCGGCTGCTGCGTACTCGTCAATAGTAGACATCGAGGAGGGGTGGGGCAGTAGTCCAATTTCAGGACCTAGCCCAATACCAGTCAAAATGCCGTTGGTGTATCACTACGGACTCAAGGACCCAGAGGAAGGGAAAGTGTTCAAGCCACTCGTGACACGCATGGCATTGGCAGTCACAAGTCGACTGGAGGAGGACAAGTTGAGCAAGCAAGCTGGCTTCATCATCGATAGCTCGGGCGCTATTAGCCAGGGAAGAAATGGCGTCTACGAGAACATAGAGCATATTGTTTCCGAGTTTTCTGGTGCGTGTGATGTCTTGACTTTGTCGCCTTCCACTGCCCAATCATCATCCCGGCCTAGCTGCAGTACCGATCTTCATGCAACAACAGCAGCGACTCATTACATAGAGCGGTACATGTTCTCAGGCGAAACCCCGCTAACATGATTTACAGTGAACGTCCTCATTACACTCGGCTCCGAACGCCTCTATTCAGACCTCTCGCGGAAATACCGAAACCGCGATCCCTCCGAAAGTGTCAACGTGATCCGCCTCGACAAATCCGGTGGCTGCGTCAACCGCCCAGAAGAATACATGAAAGCACTTCGACACGCTCAAGTACGAGAGTACTTCTTCGGCCATGGTGATAACACGTTGGCGCCGAGTAGTCAAACGTGTGACTTTGGAGACTTGCACATTTTCCAGATTGTGGAAGGTATGTGTATTCAAGATAGCTGCAGTGCGCAAGATGATGCTAACAATGTGTTGCAGGTGATGAAGGAGCGCTGTATCGCTCGGGTGACTACGACGAATACGACCCTAGCAACGTGTCATTGGCGAGCATATACACGCGTGTCACGCCATCACCTTCCCTGCAAAACTCCCTTTTGGCAATCACAACCGCTTCGCCCACGGATTCCCAGGATGTGATTCGCGACTCGAGCGTGAAGGGATACATCTATGTTGCCGATGTAGACGAGGCAAAGAAGAAAGTCCGACTGTTGAGTCCTCAGCCAGGCATGATTCCAGGGAATGCAATGGTACTGGGCACTTGGCCGGAGGATGTGCCTGGTCTGGTGGGGTAGTTTCCAGTCATCCTGGAGGAACCTGCAAGGGAAGAAGCGGAGGGGAAGTTGGGTAATGGAGGCTTTCATGGGGAGGGCAGGGCAAATGAAGAAAAATTCATACAGAAAATGGATTCCACCATTTCGAGCGGGTCTCGCCAGTGTCCCTTCCGGAGACGACTCACGGAATGAAAGAAGAACCAGAGCCGACAGGTGTGCAACATGGGTATAAGGCATTCTACGATCTATATGTTACCTTTGGAAGTAATGAAAAGCACTTGGTTCTACTCATCCGCTGTATCCACTTCCTTCTCTGTTTTGTCAAGGAGTTGCTTCAATATCTTGGCTGTGCTCCGCATGCCTTTCAGAGCATTCTCATCGGGTCCTTTTCCTGGCTGCCACGTCGCGTGTGCAAAGTCAATCATCTTGACCGCCGCCAATTTCGGTAAGTTGTCTTCGTCCTCTTCTTCGCCCTCTGGGTGCGCGGACCGCAGAATCTGCTTGGTCTTTGCATATTCGTCCACATCACCCTCGTAGACAAGTAATATGCTCGCGCTGTACATCCTGCTCTCCTTCTTCTCAAATACCTCGATGATATCCTTGACCTCGCCGAGGAAGAAAGCAAGCACTTCTCTCGCCCGCTCGAGCTCCGCTTGCGACTTGGTGCCAGGAAAGATGTAGGAAACGAAGCCGCCGTCGACGTCTTCAGCGCTGAACTTGCGGCCGTACATCTTGTTGAAGACCCAATAGCCCCCCTCCTTGTCTACTTCGACAAATTTCTGCAGTTCCTTGGGCGCGTCGCAAGTTGGCGTGCCCTTGTAAGTGCGCATGCCTGCAATCCTGAAGCCCAGGCTGCCGCTGGTTGTCTCCGCGCTGACGGCATCCAGCCTTGCTCTCTTCTCTGGCTTCGAGTCCTCGTCCCACAGCTGTGCGCCAAGCTTCAGATCCAGCACATTTGGCTTCTTGAACCCATTTGTGATGTTCTCGAGGACGATGTGGAGCTCGGTCGAAAGCTTCTTCCCATGCAAACGCTCCACGCTGCCGTCTCCCGTTTGTATTGTGCCGCTCTCCACGGCCGTGTCGGCCGTCTGTTCGGCGGAGAGGGTCAACTGGCCCATGAATGTTGGTAGGTGAGGAACGAGATCAGCATGTGAGGCAGCTACAGACTCATAGAAGGCAATCTCAGCAACGGTACATGGCTTTACCACGACAGCACCGCTTTCGTCGCTAAGGACACCGTCGCTGGAGAGGTACTGTCAGCTAGAGCTCAAGCGAGGCGGCTCAGGTGGATGCATACTGGCCGGCAGCGGCATTGCCGAAGCTCTGCAGTTTCGACGCGTCGAAGGTTTTGGTAGCCATGGTGTAAGGCGAGAGCAGAGTCGGGCCTTTAGTGTACAGTAAAGGCCTGTGTGTGCTTGTTGGCTGGTGGTTAGTAGGACTCTGGAGGACCCCGCTGCCGTCAGCGAGCAAGTTCAGGGTCCAGTACGAGTCATGCAGCGTAGACAGAAGGAGCGACTACCCAGGGACGTCGGTACATGCACATGTGACCACTCACCCACTGTAAGAGCTTAAGAGCTTATTAGACCGTCTTTCCATACCGCCAACCATGTACATGGGCTTGCCCACACTTTGATCCAGCACTGATAGGGCTGTCAGCTCGTGAAGAACACCAGCGCAGTGAAGCAGCAGGGTATCAATACCACCATCACAAAGCAACTGGTTGTCTCCGAGATTGTGCGAATAGCCAGCATATTCCTGTATTTTCCTATGACTCGCTATGAGAGTGCACTCGCCATACCGTCGCCGATATGGAGGTGAGAGTCGAGCGTGCCTGCCGCCGCCTTTACACCGCCAACCAACTTCACCTGTACCAGGCCGCGAGCGCAGGTACCCGCTCCGAGCGTTTGCTTCTCTAGTCTTCCCCCTACGTGGTATGTAAGTATCTCCTGCTTCTGCTCTACCTGTTTCTCCATCTCTTCTACCCTTCTCCTCCTCGTTGAAAGACTGTGTGATACTTGCCTGAAGAACACCAACCAACATGGCAACAACCGACACAATTCAGAGGGCGATCGCGTTGACCCAAGAGGGTCCAGCGATTGAGGCCAACGACACCAACCCTGCGCAGTCTGCAGTCCTCGACCATCCTGAAGGAGATTCAATCCGTCGTCAAGTGAGTGTGGAGCCTACGCCATTCCATTTTTTCATATTGATCAGTACAGGTTGAGTTCTACTTCTCCGATGAGAACTTGCCGACGGACCTCCATCTACTCCAGTGTTGCGGCGGCCGCGACAACAATCCCGTTTCTGTCAGCCGCATTGTCGGCTTCAAGAAGATGCGAAGCTACAAGCCCAAAGCTCTTGTTGTCACCGCTCTTCGCCAGAGCTCATTGCTCGAAGTCTCTACTGATGGTAAGACTATCAAGCGTAAGATCCCATTGCAGGGCAAGTGCGCCCTTGATGAAGACTTCTTCGAAGAGGACAACGATGTTGCGTACGATCCACGCACCCGAAAACCCGCTGTGTTTCCTGTCGAGCCGCTGCCGCAGAAGAAAGCCGAGTATCCCCCAGGCACAAGCAAGAACATGATGAAGCCGACTGGCTTTGAGGCTAACTATATTGAGCCACCTGTGAAGCCCGACGAAGCCGCAGAAGAAGAAGCCATGTACAGTCCAGACAAGCCGTTCGTCGAGCGGATCGAGTTGGCCATTCAGCGATTCAAGGAGAAGCGTCGCATGCATCAGGATTATGCGCAGGTCTTCGACAAGCTGATGCAGATGGGAGGCGTTGACTCTAGTCAGCGCATCGCCCAAGGTCTGTCCAGGCAAGAGATTGCCCAGATGGGTGCAGAGGAGCGTGCTATCGCGAGGGCTACTCACAGAGTGCCTTGGGATCGTGCAGATGAAGACCATTGGTTGGTTGACTTCGCTTCTATTATTCGGGCTTTCCTGTTAGTCGCAACTATCACCATCACCTGCTATTGTAGCCTCTCACTAATATCAACAGCTCTTCTTGGTTCCCGGTTCACTTTGGGTATAGTCCAAATGCGGTTAAGAACGCCTGTCAAGTGCCTCGATCATTCTACAACTATCTACGCTACCACAAGGTCTGCCCGGAGTACGACCAACAGCTGGAGGAGGCTTTAAAGATCTGTGATCTCGCCGAGAAAGAACTACCCAAAGTCTACGCAGCTGGACTTGCTCTCCCTGGCGATTTCAACAAGTCAGCCAGCACCATCTTCGGCGGCGCACACGCTGGCATGTACACCGGTACTCAATCGTGGGCGAACGAGATAAGATCGGAGGGCATCGAGTTCGAAGACACTGGCATCCGACAGGAAGAGGCGAAGATCAAGTTTGCAACGGGAGTTGCTATCTTGGGCTCAGAAGAACAGTACAACAAGGTAGAGGTGGAGGATATTAAAGTTATGGAGAAAGTATCTGCAAGCCTTGAGGTAATCGACATCCAGCTGCCCACGGAAGCCACCAAGGATCATTTCCAAAAGCAGAGCGAAGTTGTCCGACAAAAGCTCGGCCAACTTGAACCCATCGGCAAGCTCCTGTGCAAGACCTGGATTGACAACGACTGCGACGAATGGGATCTTCCCAGGGACAAGTACCACATCGGCAAACCTCAGCGAGCTAGTGCTGGTCAGGACTACGGTTTCTGGGTTGAGGAGAGTGTGCTCAACGAGTGCTTCATTGGCATGAAGATTGATGCTACAGTCATGATTCTGGATATCGGCATTACTATCATGGATGAGGTGCATGAGTCGCTGTGCAGCTTCTTTGCCTTCCTGCCAAATGAGCTGTGGATGGAGAGGAAGCCAAAAGCATGGCACTGGCACAAGAAGGGCCTCGCCGAAGACGACGAGGGCGACATTGCTGGTGAAGAGGTTGCGGAGGATGAGTTCGATGACGAGTAAGCGTCAATTTCCAAAGGCTAATAAGGCATTGCTCTCTCACTCTGCGGAGCGACCCCTTCGCGAGGTGCTGAAACTCTCCTCGATGCATGCGGTTCCGTGATTTCCGGAATAGACAGGTCGTTCGGCCCGGAATCAATACATCATGCTTATGTCTCATTTTCAAGGTCAGTCAGCTTCACATTTCCACGATCCGGTCATCCGCCGCAGCACAGAATGTACCATCTGAGTAGCATGCTTATAGTAAGAAATGAAATGTAATCTGCAAACATTCTAGAGACTGCCCCTGATGTAAATGGCGAACTACTCATGCCGTCCATATCTGGAAGCAAAGAGAGATCTGCGACACCCAAAAGGGATACATAATGACGATGTTTCCGCTTGCGCAGCCTCTCTGTGCTTCCGCTGGGATATACCTAGCGGGCGGCGTTTGACCCCGCCCCTGCGCCTCAAATCTTCTCAAGCCTCAGCGCCCTCAAAAAATCCCCGCCAAACGCGCTCCACCACCAAGACACATGCAAAGAAATGCCGCACAGAGACATGCCACGAGCGCGTAGATGTATTCACCAAGATGAAGCAGCTTTCCCATGATGCTCGGCAATCAAGCCTCAAGAGCAGCGGCGGGCAGCGAATTGAGCACACTGGAAGTCTTAAGCATCGCGCTTCTCCCATTACTGATACCATAACGACTCAATTGTGACACGAACAAACTCCGTACGGCTCGCAGCGGCGCCAACACTTGCCTTGCGTCGTGGACTGGCATTGCCAATGCCACCAGGCCAGACTCGGGGTAGCGGTTCATCTTCGCGGCCGATCGAATGCGCGTCTTTCATCAAGCCAAGCCGCCACGTGATACGTGCCAATGGACTTTGCACAGCACGAAATGCCATGAGCCGGCTTGTCGTTTCTGAACAAACTGTATTTCTGTGCTGTGTTGAGCTGGCGCAACCAAAAATCTTCAAATAAGGACAAGCCAAGGATACATCGTGTTACGGGGCTGTTGCAACGATAACCGGCCAGGCTTTGATTGCAGTGGAACATGCTAACAAGGCCCGCGGTGCAAGGACGGGTTGGTGGCTCCGCGCAGGCTCAAGGCCGCCAAGCATCTTATCCTCTCGGCAGAGCGGAGTCACTTAAGAATAACACAATGGCGCCGCCCTTCTTAGCCATGGCGTTTGCTCCTCTCTCCGCCGCTGAGCCTACTTCTACTGTGGATGCTCCGCCCCGCGAGAGCGATGGATGTTGCGTTCTGGCCGTGACCTGTTGAGCGCGACGACCAGCGGAACTGCCTTAGACTAGCACCATGATCACGAGACTAATGGTGGAAGAATTACCGAAACGGGCTTTCGCCGGCAACTGTGAGCCTACTATCTCTCCATCGTCCCACTATATGCGACTAACCTTATATAGCCTCCCAGCATCACATTCTCAATCCTTACATATACGACCCTAGCGAACCACTGGCCATCGTGGGCGCTGTCTTGTTCACACTCATCAGCCTCTTCTCGGTTTACCAGTACATCCGAACACGATCATGGTTCTTCTGGGCAGCCATGATTGCCGTATTCAGCCTCACGTCAGGCCACATCTGCCGTGTCGTCTCTGCCTTCCATGAGCATCAGGACATTCCATTCCTAGTCTCCTGGGTCATGATACTACTAGCACCCTCCTTTCTGGCTGCGGCATGCTATACCGCCTTCTCAAGAGTGGTCTGGTTCAGCTGTCCGACCTACGCCCTGAACTTCAAGACCCTGTGGTGCTTCCCGCGTTGGATAACACCTACATTTGTCATTTTCGACCTGTTCTCATTCCTCATCCAACTCGTTGGTGCAAGTCAAATATCTACGCACTACGACAAGGACAAATCCATAGACCGCACTATTGAGTCGGCGGAGGTGAAAGCACTCCCTGGTCGCATCATCCTTGTCCTTGGTCTCATTTTACAGATGATGTGCTTCGTGTCTTTTAGCGTCATCTCATGTCGCTACTTTTACATCTCGCGCAATTGGCGCGCTTTCGATCTCGGCGACATGAAACTCTGGCGCAAATTGTCCTATACCATCAACTTGTCGTCCATCATCATCGCACTGCGGGCGATTTACCGCACCATGGAGATACCTCACGACAAGGATTACGGGTTGAAATACCTCCAGCATCACGAGTGGTGCTTCTGGGTTTTCGATGCAGCCCCAATAATGCTCGTCCTCATCGTCTTCGCGATATGGCACCCTGGACACTACCTCCCGCGATCCTATACCGGCCTTGCACTGGACAAGGGAAGGGCAATGAAAGAGAAGGACGAAATCAGTTCGATGAATGCAGGAATTCCTCAGGACAATGAGCTCAGACAGTTCAAGCCTGAAGACTTTCAGCAGGGAGGCTTAGCCAGCAGAGTGTAATGAAGTTCGCGGCATGCGATGATGAGCTTTGGAGTTCAAAAGGCGTTCGGGTCGGGAAGATACCATTGCATTTAGCGGGGCGGTGTTTTGATATTTCAGCAAATTGTAAGATACCACATGTTCCCGGGCCGCTTTCCATACAGACGGAAGAATATTTAAATGGTTTATTCACACTCTATGTCTGGATCATTTTCGGTTGGCCTGTCCTCTATGTCATCTGAATTTGTTCTGAATCTGTTCAGGTACGAAGCAATCACTTTCTTACCGACTTACCGGTTTGTAGTGTATGGTGAGAGGCGTTTGAACTTGCGAAACATATCCATTCGGTTCGGATGCATTCGCAAATGCCGCTGTTGATGACGTGCGCGGGGGCGGGGCCTTCTCCCCCGCAACAACGATAATCGGGAATAGTGTCACGCCCTGAGTATGTCAATCGTATTCAACCAAGTGCCGCACACATTTTCCCTTGGCTTCTTTCACGCACCACACCCTTCAAATACTCCCAAGGACTCATGAGTCTAGGTTCCTCGGCTGTTCGCACAACGAGATTGCTCTCAACTTCCACAATTGCCTTTGCAAGACTCGCTTCTTTGAAATCACAGCTTGGATCACGGACGTTTCCTGTTCGAAACATGTCATCGCTACCAAAGACGATGAAGGCTGTGCAGATTGAAAAGACTGGCGGTACGGATGTGCTGCAGTACAAGACTGATGTGCCCGTCCCCGAGCCAAAGGAAGGCGAAGTGCTAGTCAAGAACGAATTCATTGGGATTAATTACATTGACACGTGAGCTACTGCTCGACAATAATCTTGCGCGTCGAACTAACATACGTTAGATATTTCCGCTCTGGTGTATACAACCCACCCTCATTCCCATACATCCTCGGTCGTGAAGGGTCTGGAACCGTTGCTGCCGTGGGACCCAACGCGCCCTCTGATCTATCAGTTGGCACGCGTGTTGCCTACATGGGACAGTATGCGTATGCAGAGTATACGGCTGCGCCCAGTAACTACACAATTCCCATCCCGGACTCCATCGAAACGAAGACCGCCGCGGCTTCCCTCCTTCAGGCTTTGACTGCCGTCACTTTGATCAGGGAAGCTCACGCTGTTCAGAATGGCGACTGGATTCTCGTCACTGCTGCGGCCGGCGGTGTAGGTTTGTGGTTATGCCAGCTGCTGAAAGCCGTTGGCGCAAGGACTATTGCGACGGCGAGCACACCAGAAAAGCGTCAGCTAGCCAAGGACAACGGTGCCGAGGTCGTACTGGAGTACTTTGAGGACGATCGAGACCTGTTCGTTAAGAAAGTATTGGAGATCACTGGTGGAGAGGGTGTACACGCCGTGTTTGATTCTGTCGGCAAGTCAACATTTGATAGCTCACTCGCTGTCGTAAGGAGGAAGGGTACCATGGTGAGCTTTGGAAACGCATCCGGTCCGGTTACTGGCTTTGCTCTTGCGTAAGTTCTTCAGGCTGTTCTTTTCTCCTCCTCTGCTTACATCGTTCTAGTCGACTCTCGGCGAAGAATGTCAAGGTTGTGCGTCCGACGCTGTTCAACTACATCGCCACTCGCGAGGAACTTCAAAAAGCTGCCAATGAGCTATGGAAGTTCATCGAGAAGGATGGACTGAATGTCAAAATTCACGATGTGTACCCACTCAGCGATATCGTGCGCGCAACCCAGGATATCGAGAGTAGGAAGACCACAGGTAAACTAGTTTTGAAGCCTTGAGCAGTCGTCGAACCAGGACACAAGATGTAGTGCCAAGGAGGAGCTCAGCACAACTCGAGACTGTAGTGCACATGTCCTTTCGATATGGGTGTCAGTGTCTGCTTGTGTGCATCACCTACTTGCTCTTTCCTGTGTCAGTGTCAGTTGCTTCCCTACCTACACTAATGAACAAGGATCTGGACCAACCGCACTCAAATCGGTTGAAATACCATAATGTATCATGTGATGGACTCAATATTTAAATTACATATGTCAAGAATCCAGACAGGAAAGTTAGCACACATGATCCAACATCCGATGAACATATTCAACATTTGATTCATCCATCGCCAACACCTTTCCTTTTTGGACAATTCTTGCGCATAAAGGCAAACCACGTTGCAATCATCGTGATGGAAAGTGTCAAGCGTTCGAGTTACAGACCCAGACGATATTGTGGTTCTGTTATTTTTTGGTATTCGCAGGAAGGTGCTTCACAGATCATGGAAAGAGCAGAGGACGAAGGGTCTTGTGGATTTTCCCGCCATGTGACGGGGGCGGATACTCGAGAGTAAGTACGTAAAGCACCTACGGATGTGCCCTGAATACGAATGCTCGCCCACAGTAGCCAAGTGCCATTAGTGTCGCCATGCTACCAAACTGATGGATCACCACATGTCTTCTCCAATGCCAATGCGCCGTGGAAAACACTTTACGCCCCAAGCTGCGCCCAATCGTGACGTTTGCGTCGCATCAATGCTTTTTGTCGAGACCTATACCTCACTGAGCCAATCGTTGACACCTGCCCATTGAAGAATTAGCGACTGGTCCATGACATCACAGCGACGCAGGTCTCAAATGAAGCGAGGAGAGAGCTCACGGCTGTCATGGTCCTCGTCATCACCGATGGTGCTGCCAGCCACGAGGTCGTTGACCCACTCCTGGGCGTCGACGAAGCTTTCCGCGTCTTTGGATTCGTCCTCCACGTCGTCCTTGAAAGCATCTTCAACGTCGCCCTTGATGAAAGTCTTGGCCTCAGAATTGGAGACGGACATGCTAGCCTCCTTCTTGGTGCGCATCTTGCTCGTGACCTTGGCCCTCTTTGGGGTCTGCATCTCCTCGTCCTCGTCATGCTCGAGCTGAGACTCGATGTCGGTATGCTCTTCGTCGTCTTCCTCGACAGCCTTCTTCTTTGGGGTAGCACGCTTACGCTTCGGAGTCGGAGTGAGGTCACTAGTAGTATTCGGAACCTTGCACTTCTTAGGTGTAGCCCTGGCCGAGGTCTTCGGAGCGGGTGTGCCTTGAGCACTACCTGGAGGAGCATCGCCGGCGTCGAAGGCTTGCTTCATGCGCGAGTAGCGCTTGGAAGCCGCGCCAACCGTGGTACCGCACTGCTGAGCGATCTCACTCCAGTTCAAGACCTGCCTGACTGTTAGTGAAAGTGCACCTGGGGCATGGACGGGCGCTGGTGAAGTGCCTATTCACTGACCTTGTCGCGAGTAGAGTGCTTGATGCACAGCCATAGGAACTTATAGACAGATGGGCCGGGAGCTTCTCCAGCATCCATGGAATTCTTGAGGCGGGACCAACGCTTCGAGACTGCGCCCTTCTTGAGGTCCAGAGCTTCAGCAACTGCATCCCAGTCGATCTGCAAGGATTGTCAGTTCAGCTACCAATATGCAAATACCTGCAAAGAGCAAATCGATCTGGATAAGTGTGAGGTCACTCACCTGCGGGATGTGGCTGCCGTTGGTCAGTACCAAGTACAGGTACTGAACGTTTTCTTGTTCGGTAGGCATGTTGGCTGGTCGCTTGTTTTTATGTGTGTCGTGTCGCGTCAAATTTTGGTTGTGTTCGCCGTTGTTTCGAGTGTGTGGGGGAGGGGCCAGAGAGCCAGAGGCAGCAGGCGAGATAGTCTTATAGACCCCACCTTTACTCAGAGTGAAGGAGACTCCTGTGAGCAAACGGCTTGTTTATACCCGCTAACATAACTAGCGTGTTGTAATGCGGTGCTCACAAGGCTGAGAGTGAGGGCATGTCTTGAGAAGTCAAAGTGAAAGTAAGTATTAAGGGTAGGAAAGTAGGACCTGCTAGCTTACTGACAATAGTAGCTCGTTTTACTGTCTGGTAAGTTATAAAGCAAGATGAAGGCTGACTGACGAAGGCAAAAGAGGAATTAAGGAGCTGTGAAGGTAGACACTAAGAGAATAATAGCAAGAGTAATTGTTGGTTATATCTTGTGTTGGCGCAGCACGTAGCACCAACCTTGTCGGAATGTGATCGAGGATTTTTTGTGTCAACTGCCTCAGAACCTCTAACTTAGCCCCAACCCAACAGGCTCTTGTACCGGCGACCTGTCGCTATCTCTCACTCCGTTCCCCACCAGCTCCGAAAAGTCGAGTCCCACTTCTTTTAGCATCCGCGCATGATCATGGGCCAGGAGCATACACTCTGTCCACAACTTGCTGTGCTCATCTACGCTGCTCAACTGTCTCTTCAGGAGTATGTTAAACTGATCCACATGTTCCTTTGCCCACTTCACGCATGCTGACATGAGCTGCTGGGGGAAACATTTCTGGAACATGTCGACAGTGTTCTTGATGATGGTGAAGTAGATGTATGATATTTGAAAAATGTAGTCGGGCAGATTACCCTCGAAGATGCATTGTCTGCGATGCATAATCAGCTTTAGTGCGACTAGAGTGAAGGGTAGGACCTACCGTGAACGCGTTCTGATGAGGTTGCCCCGAGCCTCGAGGTAGGCTTCTCTTGCTCGGTCTTCGAAGCCTAGACGAAGAACCCAGCCTACATGTTGTTTAACAGACGAAATCCAATTGTTGTTCTCTACAAGCTGTTTTACTAGAATGGTGGCTAGTTTGGTTGCGCGCTCGTTGACCTTGTATGTGACAACAGCCTTGGCCATTTCGTTACCTCTGATGTTCTTGGCAAGCTCTTTGAGCTTTTCTACCTCCACGACTGCATCATTAAAGTGCTGCAGCGCTATCTCGATATCGAGACGATCCAGTTGTGTTTCCACCCAACGAATGTTCCGCTGTTGTCCATCGACATCAACAAATGTGCTTGTTTGGTTGTTGTTAACGGCTTCGGACAGGTTTTCAAGCAGATCGGTTTTCTTCACAAGTTCGGGATCGCGGGAAAGCAGGTGGTTGTAAGAATCCTGGACGCGGTCCTTCTCCTCGACGTCAGCTTCTTGGCTCTTCCGCAAGTCGTCCTTTGTTTTTCGACATGTAGAGACAAACGCCATCTTGTCTCCCACATCCTCTCTTTTGGTGTCGTAGGTGTAGGATTCCGAACCGTGTCGTATAATGATGCGATCCTCTGGCGTACGTGTGACATGTACGTCCTGCAGCGGGAAGCATAATTGTGCCTTGTACTCCAGAACAGATCGGTTGCCGTCTCGCTGACCTGCAACATCATTGCGTGCCTTCTTCTCCTGAGCCACAAGAAGGTGGTCGTTGAGCAGCAGTATTTGAACCCGACGCTTGGCCTTTAGTGTCGCAGAGTCCAGCTCGAACCATCTTTTGGATCGCCAGATGATGAAGCGTCCGGGAATGGGCGGCAGATACTTTTGTGAGCCCTCAACATCCCGGTACAGCTGCTGCAACTGTCCAGCACGAATTTGATTCAAATCGCCAATCGAGCTCCTGTTGGCCCTCCGAGAGTTAGTCATGTCAGTTTCAGTGTTGGAGGCCGAAGCAGTCTGCTCCAGGGTGGTTGTCAGATCGGACATCAATTGGCGCAGAGTGCGCATCTCGCCTTTGAGCTTTTCGGCTTCTTTGCTGATCTTGATGAACTGGGTCCTGTTCTGATACACATTGGTCTGGAGGTCAACGGAAGTGCGGTGTTTCGTCTTGCGAAGCTCGTCTTGAAAGCGGCGGATGTCTTCTTCCGAGGCGTCTGCAAGCATGCTGGATACGTCTTTGCATTCTTAGTACATATTCGGGGGGGCGTGATGCCAAGGCGCCTTACATTGCTCTGCCCTCAGATTCGGATCGCGCAACGCCTTCATGTCAACTCTTGGCCCTCGCCCGTCACCACCAGCGGGAGGGCGGTTCTCCCTCGCCGGGTCCTTCTCGCGGAACTGCATGGGTATCTGCGGCATGTCGGGCATGGGCCCATTGCCAAAGTCGCTCGGCAGCGTGGTGATCTTCTGCGAGTACCGCCTCTTGACCAGATCGGCCGTCTTGTCGGCTCTCTGGGGGCGTTCTCGTGGGACATCGCCTCTGTTCTGCCGCGATCGGCTCGAGTCGGTGGATGGGCGTCCTCCGCTTGAGATGCTGGGTGCTGCAATGCCAGCGCCTGCGGGCATGGGCGCACTGATCTGACGCGGCGCGCTGATGGTCGGCGGCGGTTTCTTCTTGTCCTTGTCCCGCTTCTTGCGCAGGGAGATGCCCTTTGACTTGTCCGACATGGTGCCTGCCCGAAGCCGGAGGTGGGAACTGTGAAGGTGAAGGGGGACGGGGGAAGGGTGCAGAGAAGACGTCGAATTGACAGCTATGCACTTGGTAGCTTGCTGCAGTCGCCTACCACGGGCGCGGGACCGGGGACCGCGGTCGTGAGTGGAGCTCGGGCCAACGAGCGAGCGTCAATCGTGCCTTCCGCAACATGGAAAAAGTTCCTTGACGCCTGCCATCATCGCCAATCACACCCTCCTGTACACCCGCCCCTTCTTCCCACGCCCACGCCCTGGACCGCAGACCCTCTGCTCCAAAACTGCCCTCAAAATGTCGTCATCGTTAAAGCCCTCCACAGTCGCCGCCATCAGCGTCGGCACCGTCGTCACGGGCTTCCTTGCATACGCCGTCTACTTTGACCACAAGCGACGAAACGACCCCGACTTCCGCAAGCAGCTCAAGCGTGAATCCAAGAGGACGCAGCGTGCCGCAAAGGAGCAGGAGGAGGCGCAAGGAGCAGAACAAAAGAAGGCCATCCGGGAAGCAGTGGCCAGTGCGAACGAGGAGGGGTTCCCCAAGGACCCGGAGGAAGTAGAGGCATACTTCATGCAAGAGGTCGCGCAAGGCGAGGGAATGGTCCAGAAGGGTAGGCAACGTCTTGGCCGCAGGATTGCGTGGTAGCTGCTAACAGATTCGTTCCCAGGCGCGGACAATGTCGAGGCGGCGCTATGCTTTTACCGCGCATTGAAGGTCTACCCGAACCCGAGAGAGCTCATCAACATCTACGACAAGACCGTTCCCAAGGTGGGCGCCATTGTATAAAGTCTTGTGGCGGCATGCTAACACGCCACAGCCCGTACTCGACATCCTCGCCGAGATGATTGCAGTAGACACATCCATCCCCGTCGGCGGTAGCAAGACGCCGTCTGAGAGCGGATCTGCTGGCGACCTCGAGTAAACCACTTCTCTCCATTCTTTGGCACCAAGCGAGCATTTATGGACCCTACTCTTCATGATCACGGCCTAGTGTACTATTCTTGTATATGTAAAAGCACGCTTTCTGCGAGGGTTCCAACGAACCACAACCGGCGTTCCAGTCTGGCCGATGCGCCTTACATGGGCGCAACGCGCATTAGATGGGCTTCAATGCATATCTCACCAGTTCAAAAGCGAAAAGCGAAACAATCAACATGACGTCACCGGGCGATGCAGTCGGTCCTGCGCTGATGCACTAGAGATTACGAGTCTACCGAGTCTTTGACTATCCCAAGATGCAGCCGATGCCCGAAACGCCTTGCTCGCAATGACGTTCGCAGTTGCAAAGTACCCAAATAATTACAAGCGCTGTAGCGGAAGTGAACCCGAATCGTTCAATAGTCGTGATGCATTTAACAAGAACATGAGCTTTCTTGTTGCGGCTGGCTAGGATTGATGTTCACATCGATCACTGGAACCCGAGTTAGTACGACCTTGTCCAATACGTACATGATTGACTTACTTTGGCTTTGCCCTTGTTGTCCCTCGCCCTCCATTCCCGGCAGTGCCTGTGCTATTCTCTTGAAGAGCGCCTTAACATTATGCCCCACCTTAGCGCTCGTCTCGATGAACATGAGGTTATTCTTCTTCGCCTCCTCCTCTCCTTGCGCTGTGGTGACCTCCCGCTTATCGTTCAGATCCGTCTTATTACCAACGAGGACAATAATGACATCGTTGCCTCGCTCTCCTCGGACATCGTCCACCCACTTGCGCGTGTTCTCAAATGTCTTCTTGTTGGTGATGTCGTACACGACGACTGCCACACTGGAATCGCGGATGTAAGAGGGAATGAGGGAGCGGAATCGTTCTTGGCCGGCTGTGTCCCAGAGCTGCAAGCGCACCGTCCGGTCCTCGAGGTACATGGTCTGCGTCACAGTTAGAAGGCCTAGTCGGGGCAAAACGGTGTTCTGCTGTGGCAGTGCGCACCTTTGACAGGAAGTCGATTCCGATTGTGGCTTGGTATGTGTTGTCGAACGAATCGTACATGAATCGTGTGATCAAAGACGTTTTGCCGACTGCGCCAGAAGTTAGCCTTTGACTTCACTCTTGGTGTGGTTCCTCTGCATACCACTTTGTTCGCCTAAGAATACAAGCCTAAAGCGCATCAGTATGTAGACCAATTCACGACAGCGGTGTGCTCACTTGAACTTCTTGAGCGGATTGGAATATCCTGACTGCGCCATGATGAAAGAGAGGCTGCCCGCAGACGGTTGTATTAGCAAGGTGAGTAGCAAGTACAGATACAGGAATCCGGTGATGGAGTGTCGAAGTTGGTGCGGGTGCGGGGCGATGAATGAATAGGAGAGTGCGCTTGCTTCCTGAGATCTGGAAGCCGTGCCTAACACCGAGCGGCAGGGATGCAGTTGGCTAGCGCGCGCTAGTAACGGAATTCTGGAGGGTTTTCCGCGCAACTTTCGAACTTTTTGAACCCCCACAACCTTGCGACAAGACACAGCAAACACCATGGCAGACACCGAAGCTGCACCTGCGCAATATAAGCAACCGAGCCGTAAGGGCAAGAAGGCCTGGCGCAAGAATGTCGACGTCACGCAGATTCAGTCTGGCCTCGAGGATGTGCGAGACCAAATCATCCAAGGGTAATTTTACCACGACCGCCAGCGTATCCGAATATTGGCCTAACAGCGCATAGTGGTGTGATAGCAGAAAAGACCTCGGACGAACTCTTCGCCGTCGATACTATCGGGTCAGCAGACATCCAAAAAGCAGTCTCCAAGCGACACAAGCCTCTCAAGGTCGACCAGATCCTTGCACAGCGGTCTGCTGTCCCCGCAGTCGCCGCGCGCAAACGACTGTCAGAGCTCGACAATGAGGGCAAGAGGAAGAAGGCGAAAATTTCCGGAAAAGAGTATGACAGGCTAAGACAGATTGCGTATGGAGGAGAGCAGGTTAACAAGGACGTTGTGCAGACAGGCGGTGATGCGGATCACGACCCGTGGGCAGTGCAAGAAGTCAAGAAGGACCCCAAGTTTTCATTCCTTGAGGAGAAAAAGGCAAAACGCGAGCCAGTCACGCTAAAGCACGCGCCTATCTCGCAAGTAAAGAGTGGCAAGACAGTACCCGCGGTGCGCAAGCCTACCGGCGGCAAATCATACAACCCCAAATTTGAAGACTGGCAAAATGAGCTCATGCGTGAGTCTGACAAGGCTGTTGAGACAGAGAAGAAGCGTCTTCAGGAGGCCCAAGAAGAGGCAGAGCGCATGGAGCGCGCAGCCGCCGAGACTGAATCTGATTCGGGAGAGGAAAGTGTCTGGGAGAGCGAGTGGGAGGGCTTTAGCGAGCACGAGGATGATAAATTGAAGAAAAAGAGGCCAGAGAGGAAGTCGCTGTCACAAAGGAACAAGATCAAGAGGAGAAAAGAAGCAGAGCGATTAGCAAGACACGAGGCTAAGGTGAAGGCAAAGGAGCAGCAAGTGCAGGAGATCAAGAAACTCGCAAAGAGCGTCGAGGCCAAGGAGAAGGCAAGAGCCACCGTCCGCGAAGCTTTGGAGAACAAGACCCTCGATATTGCATCAGATGATGACGGCGACGAGGAGTTGAAGAGAAGGACAATCCGCGGCCAGCATCCGTAAGTGACCCCTTGGTACAAACTCACGCCCGTTCACTTACACGATCCAGTATCCCCGAGGCACCTCTCGAAGTGGTGCTGCCAGATGAGCTCCGTGATTCCCTCCGCCTATTGAAGCCTGAAGGCAATCTGCTCAAAGACCGGTTTAGGAGCATGATGATCCGCGGAAAGGTGGAGTCAAGGCGACAGATTCCTTATGCTAAGCAGAAGAAGTACACGGAGTCGGAGAAATGGAGTTACAAGGACTGGGAGCTGCCCAAGGCTAGACAGTAGGATATTCTATATGCGGCGACTTGCTGGGCACCGTTTTACGACCAAATGCAATACTGTTGTTGCTGGTGCAAGGGACATTCGTCTGCGTGTCTTTGATGACGCTCACTGCGAGCCTTTGTTCCGTCAGGATATGTGATTCCTGCCGCCTATGTGATTGTTTCGCGAAATGTCAAGCACCAACCCTGGACAAGTTCCGCAAGCATGCGTCGAAAATGTATTCGAAAAGCGTATGAGTCCAGCTCAAGCAACCAGCGAGAGCTGAGACGAGCTTCCATGGCGACTGAATTCATCAAACAATTCGTGGCCCACTGAACATCATCGAGTTTAGATTGCCCGGGCACGTTGTGAATTCGCTAGTGCAACTGATATCATATGGACACGTGTGGGGAGCATGGCCGAGACGCAGGGCACACGGTTAAGAGGGTTAAACGGTGTGGTTCTTAGCTGACTATACGCCTACTCAAATGTCATGAATGCTGAGGCCCTCAAGTCTTGTAAGTATGTCCCACTTCCTTTTTCATCCGCACTGTCAGTCCCTCCGAAGAAAGATCCAGCCAGGTCACCAGGAAGAGGTGTAAATATAGGGCAGCAGGAGCGCGATCAGAGGATTGAACGCCAAAGATCGTGACTCTGTATAAAGCAACCCAAGACATGAGGAACAGAAGGAGGGACGCGGCCGAGAAAGCTTTTAAAGCTGCACGCGCCAAGCGACAGGGATCGTGCGCGCTGGTGCACGGACTAAGTTAGCGCGGAACTGGAGCTGTCGGTCGCGACTGGTGTTTTGTCGGAGGTGAGTGCCGTTTACTTCGGCCTTGAGCAACGCACTGCGCGTTGTAGACCTTCCGGCTCAGACATTTCGCACTTCTCCGCCCGCTCGCCCATCTCGTATTCATTGGTCTGCTTCAGCATGTCCTCATTTTCGTTTACGCGTCAGTCGCAACCGGCTCCTGCTGCCCAGGTAAGTCCCGTGCTGCTGCAACCAACTATACATGTATAGAGCTAACATGTCGCTGGCTGATAGTCGAGAATGGGCGCATTGTCATTTGGCGGCTCGCGAAGCAGAGACAAATCGCCGTCCACAGACCCTCTCGCTCCGTTGCAAGTCGTGGCCGCCAGAGTTGCGCAAGATGTGGCCGCCTTCGCCATCAAAGTCGATGTTTGGCACACGGAAGGCATGAAATCCGCGCGAGCAAAATACGGGGCAACAGTAAACTTGGTGGGAGAATTCAAAAGCATCGCGGAGACCAGAGTGAAGGAGTTGAAGAGAGCGCACGCCGCGGACAACAAAGTAGAGCTTGGACGCAGCATACGCAAGAGAATCCAGGACATGGCTGAAGCCCCGGATGCGAACACACAAGGATCCCTCAGCCAATCGCTCCAGATGCCCGCTCCAACAAGCGATTCGCACGGTACCCAGGGGAGCAAGCAGCTGGACGAACTCCGACAATGGCAGGCCGAGCTGGCGACATGGGAGCTTGTTCAGATCATCATCAGTCAGCGATTCCCCGAGCCCGAAACAGATCCAGCGGCCGAAAGACAGAAACGTCTTGCGCAAGTCGGCGGCAACAAGCGATACAGCCCGAACAGCGAGATCTGGGATCGTTTCATGTTGGAGGATGATCGAGCCAAAGAGAAGGCACTCGTTCTGCGTTGGCTCGAGCAGACTGCACGGAACGACAGAAGCAGCATAGAAACTATCACCACCGAGCTTGAGACGCAGTCGGGCAGGGGCGCACACACTTGGACAAGTGGCTGGCTCGATTCCAAAAGCAGAATCAAGCAGGCAAAGCGCTTGGAAGGAGCAGACCAGCCTTTGAGGCCGGATGCCGTGGATATCAAGACCGCAGATAGGACACAAGGCCTGGTCACTCAACTAGATCCCGATGGCCCTGCGCGGCAGAAGCGTGTCCTTGAAAAGTCAGATGAGTACTACGAGCGAGCATTGTGGATGGTATGCTACGAAATGCTACGACGCGGCCTTCCTTGGAACGAAATAAGCGAGTGGGCGCAGGAGAGAAACGAAGCCTGGCGTGGTGTCAGCGTTGGTGCAGCCTACGAGGCACATCCAAAGGGTGGGCCCAATGTCGCTGGTCCCACCGTAGGCTATCTGTTTCGCCGCATGTGCTTTTACGCCGCAAGAGGAGCCCGAGTTCCCCACGAGGGAGCTGTCTATGGCCTTCTCAGTGGAGATCTGAAGCAAGTTCAAACTGCCTGCCGTACTTGGGACGACCATCTGCATGCTCATTACAACGCTTTGCTTCTATCAAGATTCGATCGCTATCTGATTAGTAATTACCCCAACAAAGTGAATGCGAGCTTGGTCCAGAAGTTCGTATTCCAGGACGCTGCTTCTCACATTGGGGACTGGGATAGAGCTTCACGAACAGTCATCACCCTGTTGAAGCAAGAGAAGGCCACAGAGACTGAAGCCTCGAGTCCATTCAAGCTCATCCAAGGCGCTTTAATTGCCGGAACACTCGACGAACTATTGCTCAAGGTGGGCACAAGCCTGGCCGACATGCTCGTCAACGATGAACGACCAGAAAACCTGATGCTTCACCCGGACTCGAATCACACCGACCCAGGGCCGAAGCCCCTCGATCAGACACGCACTTATACAGCTGAGCCCTGCTTCAAGGCATTAGCGTGTAACCCACAAGCGTTCCAAACACTCGTACACATCTTCCTCTTGTTCAAGCATGGACTTAATACGCTTGATTCGGATGAGATGGGCACTTGGGTAGCGATGGACAACGTGATCACCGCTTATATTGAATGCCTTCGCCAAAGAGGACAGATCATGTCGATACCCATCTATGCAGCTCAATTGGCACCGGAACGTGCAGCTCACTGCCTCGCTCGCATTATACCAGATGTCCGCAATACTCAGGAGCGAATAAAGATGGTGGGTTTGTTCCGACAGTACAAGACAGACGTCATTGAGGTTGTAGCTCAATCCTTTTTGTTCGCGTTCAAGAATAGTGGATTTACCCACTTTAACGAGAAGGGCGACACCATAATCACGTCCCCCATCAAACGGTTCAAGATTATTGAAAGGACCGGGTCCCAGGATTTTGGACTCTGGCCTGGGTACCGTATTCAGGCAGAATTCACAGGATGTCAAATTGAACCCAAGGAAGATGCCATCATCGAAGTCCTGCAGTGGTACCAGTATATCAACAACGACTACAAACAGACGTTTGATCATCTCAGAAATGCTCTCACTATTCTCCTCCGTAAGTGTTGTTGTCTCGAGTGTGTAACGACACAGCTAATATAAGGCTTAGTCAATGGCCGTCTTGGTGCTGCAGAAAAGGTGGTTAGCGATCTCAGTGTAGAGTCGCTCTCGCTGTCAAGAACCGAAGCACTCTGTGGCTATCCTTTTGACATCAATCAACCCGGGGCGGAGGAACGGGATGAAGCTTCATTGCACGAGCATCGAAGCACGCTGACAGATGACGACTTGCGGAACGCTCTGAGATATGACGCTATGCCCAATGCTGAGAAGCACGCGGCCATTGTGCAGCGTCTTCGTGAGAACAGTCAACCGTACTATGACCTTCAGCTGATTGTTCGTATTCTTTGCCTGTTCCGCGAGTGGCGGCAAGAAGAAGAAGATTTGATCAAGTATGTATTGAGCGTTGTCTTGTTCTCGAACGACTGACTAATACTGAGACTTTGCAGGCTTCGTACGGATCAATCCAGGCAACCTTCTGAAGCTGCTGCAGCAAAGAAGAAGGCAGATATGTCTCACACTAAAGAGGTGCTTGAATCGATTGAGCAAGTATTCACAGCGCTTGTTTCCGCCATAACAACATCACTCCGTGATCACCCGGAGGCGGAGAATCCGGATACATGGAATCTGAAGTTTGCATACATTCCAGAAATCGTGCTGGCATACCTGTCAGTCCTGCAGACTGCGGCATTTTTCCTGCAGCGGGACTCTGCAGTGTCTTCGGCAGTAAGGGCAATGGAAATTGCAAACCTGGTCGCAGACGAAGAGAACGAGTGGTTGCAAGAGGTGTTCTTGAAGACGGGCAGGATGAGCGAGCTGGTTGATGCGCTGGCCATGGTTAGCAAGGCCATGTTGAGATTGAACGAGCATGAGCCCAAAAAGAGTACTTCGAAGAAGAGGGGAAGCAAGGGCGAGACGCTGCGGATATGGGATCTGAATGCCAAAAGTCGCGTGTAGAGACGCATCGATTGGGCGGGACATGTACGATTACGTAGAATCAAGACGCGACTCGCACGAGGTAGCGAGACAATAGCCTAATGGTAGTGGTCTGGGAGGGAGGCATAGCAATCCCGCGCAGGTGACGATGATGGACGATCATGTGACTGTTCGCTTGCGGTTTACTCTGGACCCTGCCGAGCGGGATGTGTTCCCCCGGAATATGATGTGCATGGATTTGGTGCGACAGCAAGGATGTAGCGAATTATATGGAGATGCAATAGAAGATGGTTATCATCATCATGAGTCCTAAGAATAATACAGTTAGGTCAGGCCAGACTCATAGCAAGACACCGAGGCCTACAAGATGGCATGGTGGTGGTGCGTGTTGGTTGCTGTTCGCAGCCTTGCACGGTAGTCTGTCCGAGGCTAGCGTTCTGCGTGGCCTTGGCAACACGTGCATCGTGTTGCCGGGATGGAGATGCAGCGCTGGAAGTGCTTGGATCGGTCTGCCGAGGTGATGGATTGAAGGCCGGATTCCCGTGCGGCTCAGCAACGGCATCAGGGCGTCTTCGCTATGGGTTTCACGCCGTGGTGTGAGACGAAGTGCGATACGCTAGAAGGATGGTGGAAGGGGTCCAAGGTTTCGCAGCGTTTGGGGTAGAATTGCTCCACAGAGTCGCGGCACAGCAGCACCTGCACCTGCACGCTGCCATTGAGTGTGCCAGCCACGTTCAGACGAGGCAATTGCGAACTGTCCCCAAGGCCGAGACGCGTGCCTGCCAGCACTACAAGCAGGGCGCAGCGTGAGCCTCTTCAACTACCTGCATGTAGGTGCGGTGTATAGGTGCATCGTCATCTTCCCACGCCCACGTAGACGTCCTGCCGCTTATCCCGACTGCCGTCGCTACCACCAAACAGGTCGCTCCCGCCCGCCGCAATCCGCCCCTTCTCCCCTTCTTCCCTTCTTCCCTTCTTCCCTCCTCCCCTTCTCGGCTTCTCTGCGCTCGACACCACATTGAAGCGCTCGCGGCGAATGGCAATGACTCTCTCCACTGCAACGCCGACCGAGTGCTTTCGTGCCCACCACCGTCCTTCTCGGCGCCCTCTCCGCCAGCACCCACTGCCACACCACGCCCAGCACTCCCCGCCGCCGCGCCACTTCACGTCACTGTAGCCTTCGCTTCACATCGCGCCGCCCACGGCGTGCTTGCCCCGGCGCCATGTCATGGTTCCTAAGAGGAGTGCAGAGCGCCGTCTTCCACTACGCCTCATGCGCCCCCTGCGCCGGCTACTCGGATGGCAGAAAGAGACGGAAAGCTGCGCGCGCCGCGAGGAAGGTCAAGGACAAGCTGCAGCTCGAAGACCCCGACGCCTACCAGCACCCGCCGCCCACTGGCACCAACCCGTACTGGGAGGAGGAGATACGCATGGGACCTGGGCCGCCCCCTCGACGAGCACGCCGGACCAACACCGGCAGCACGCGCGCCATCACCACCGCCGGCACCCACCACTCGGCCGTGAGCAAGGGCGGCAGCAGCATGGACGGCGCCGACGGTCTGCGCCTGAGCAACGACTCCATCCAGGACGAGACGTGGAACCACAAGCGCTACCAACGAGAAGACGAAGACCTGTGGGGCATGGACGAGCCGTCCGCTCCGCTGCACCACATTGCGTCGGGCTCGTCTGCGGGAGGCTCTGGCTTCGCCATGCCGAGGCCGGCAACCTCGAGGTCGGCAAGCTACTACTCGGTGCGCGCCCCTCCCGTCAACGACCTGCACCCGCCCGTAGTCAGCATGCCGTCGCCAGATCCCGCCGACAACCGCTGGATGCTCCAGCCTCCCCCCAAGGCCAGCGTCATGGCTGGCCGAGAACGGGCATCGAACCGCAGTCGCAGCGGAAGTGGCGCCAGCAGTCGCGTGGAGCTGAGCCTACAGCGCCGCCTCAGCACCAAGCAGGTCAAGCACAAGCTTGAGCGAGGGCAGACTCCAGAGATGCCCTCGATATCGCGAAACAGCTCCTACAGCAACCTCATCTCTAGCCAGCGCCGGGACAGAAGCAGGCCACCTCACGTCCGACCACCCTCTGCGAGCAGCTCACGCCACAAGAAGCGACGTGACACCGCCCTGTCGCGCTCAGACACAGTCAGCACACATCGCTCGTCCGGCGAATCGAGCGACACGATGCACAAGTCAACCTCCGGGCCTCATGCCCCTGACCTCAAAGTCATCCGCGTCCACCAAAGCCGCCCAGCCCTCTCAACAGTAGTGTCCAGCGGCTCTGGAGCCAACCCATCCTCCAGTGACGAAAACACTCTACCCCAAAGACCCAGCCCGGTTCACCACCGGAGCGACTTCACATACACTTCTACTACCTCTACACAATCTTACCGGAATTCGACGCCCCATCTCCGTGCACCCCTTAGCTCTTCGGACGTCTCGTCCCTCAACGTTCTACAAGACCTTGTCTCGCCACCGCATCTGCTCAAGAGCCGCTTCGTTTCGGCGCCCCTGGTCGAAGCCAAAATTCGCCTGCCACCAGCAGACGGCGATGAGTCACGCACGTTGACCCAGAGACCGAGTTGGTTGGATGAGCAGGTCAGGGTGCCGTTCGATCACCAAGGAGCACCCGTGAGAGATCCGCGGTTCAGATGGTCTGTGGACTTCTGAGTCCTTGTTTTTCCTACTTGGAGCTTTTGAGTAACATTTTCACATCTTTGGTCATATTGATTCATCAGAGCATGCATAGCGACTGTTTTGCAAACATTGATTCTTCTGTCCTACCATTGCATTTGCACGAATTGTTTCTTCTCTTTTGGGTTTTGTATCTCATTGGGCGTTTTGTTGGATGGCGGCTGCATGCGCATGGCTATGCATATTGGCGTTGGAACAAATCGATACGTTTCATATCTCGATTTAGTCGCATCATCAGACGAAAACACTTGAACAAAAACATGCAAATGGTATATTGCTCGAGAGTGTTATCCTCCAAACGCCGTTTCGTGCAAACATCATCGCCGTGTCCCTTTATGCTGTGGATTCCATAGTCCGCTGAAGAAGCAAAACATGACCCTAGCTGGAAAACAGCCCACAAACCCAGCCATCATTGTGGCAAACACCAAAAAGTCCCGTATTCTAACCATGCTGTTCGTAAACGCCGTAAGGATGCAATACAGACAAACACTTGCCCAATTTGCAGTGGCACTCGGCATTGCATCGTGCGGACTGGCACCATGTCAACGACTGGCATACATGCGAGTAAATGAGCGCAGCAGGTCAAACAACCTACTCACTCCCTGATCTGCGCCTTAAGTCCCGCAACCTCTCTCTTCAGTCGAGCATTCTCTTTCCTTAGACGCGCTGCTTCCTCTTCGCTTGCCTTAAGTCGTCGTTGCACCTCCTCGTCTGCCTTTCCCTTGCGCGCGCTGCTCGTTGCTTTTTCCAATTCCTCGTTGAACCGCGCGTACAACGCTTCATTCTCAGCATTCATATCGCGGTACAGCTGATCCAGATGCTTGGCACGCGACTCCGAAACTTGTAGAGAGGAGCTAACGTCTTGAGCAATGGATGATGTGCGTGTCGATAGGCCTTCAAGAGTCGTCTTCAATTGCTTCTCGATCAATGCTATGCGCGACTCAAGCGATGTGGGCTTGGTAGGACTGGAGTTCAGAAGAGGCGCTGAGCTCTGGGTAGTCAGACGTGGAATGCTTCTAGCGTTTAGCTCATGCCCAATGGCGCTAAGCTCATTCTGCAGATCTTGAGATGCACTGTCGATGTCACGTTGTTGATTCTGAAGTCTCTCACGCAGCTTCTGAGGTGACTGCATACGAAGTCTCTTTGGTGGACTGGCCGAAGGTCCTCCAGTCTTGGTTGAACTGCGACTAGACGGAGGCAGTTTGACGGTGTTTCCAGACCCAGGGCGCTCTGAAAGTCCCGTGTTGCTGACAGATGACTTGAGGCTGGGAATGCCAGAGACGGACTGTCCTCGTTCACTTCGTTTTTTGATCGGGTTGTAAGCCTTCACGGTAACTTCGTCCTTGGCATCAGGCTTGGCGATGATTGACTTTGGTTGAGCAGTCCCGGCACGGTCGAGTACATTACCGGGTGAGTTTTCTTTGCGTGTAGGCGAAACGAGCCGTGTAGGTGTTGGTATGGCCGAAGTATGTTTAACCGCCGAAGGGGTGACGCGCGAAGGGGTTTGTGGCTCCGCACTCGACTGCCTAGTGTCGCGAGACACAGAATCCGGTCGACGAGGAGTCTGTGGAGACCATGTAGGTACATCGTCAGCATCTTGGAGCGTCTTGAGATCACTCAAAGAAGAGCGTCGTTTTTTGCGGGGAGGCCCAGAAGTGAGCGGTACCTCGCCAATAGTTCCAAGAGCACCCACGAACGACCGACCGTTGCCAGCAGGCGCCCCGTTCTCGAAGTTGAAAGCGCCAAGTACGGTAGGGCGGTCGCGAGATGAGGGACGCTTTGGCGAAATACGACCAGCATCTGTAGAATTAGATCGCCCGAGCGACGGGTGGCCAGCTTTCGAAAGACTAGGTGGTTGACCATCTGCCACATGGCTATTCTTACTCAAGGAGCGCCACAGCGAACCCACTTTAGACTCGCTTTCAGATTTGCTGTTTTCCCTGGTCAAGGTTCCGAAGCCAAAGCGCTTCCTCAATGACGTATTTGAATTAATCGAGCCGGCGATCGAACGGCCTTTTGAGTCAATGGATCCGTAATTGGGGGTGTTAAGACCAGGCGGTTGGATCGCGAAAAGTGCTTCAATGTCTTGTACCAGGCGGTCCATCAGTGAGATGAAATCGTTGGCGTTTCCAGCTGGTACAATCATCTCGGCAAATGCCGCTGTGAGAATGCCTCGATCGCCGTCATTGCTCGTGCCGTCAAGCAGTTCGGCAAGCAGCTGAATGACGGCTCGTAGAGCCCGTTGATTCTGTGGGGAAAATTCGTTGACTGTCGTGCGGAAGAAGTCCTCAAATTCTCCAGGATACATGCTATCTGAGCGCATCTGAAGTGATACGAGCGTGGCATGGGAGAGCACCGGGCCCATTCTCTCTTTCCACGCTATGTTCAGAAATTTCTCGAAGACAGCAAAAAGGACGTCGACTGATGACTGTGCAGCGAGATCCAGATTCGAAGGGTTCTCTAGGATTGAATTGTACAGCTCATTCACCATGAGCTCATCCGCGACAGCTCTCGCTCGGACAGATCGGCCTACGATGTTGCCTTTACGGGCGTGCAAAGCCAAAGTCAGATTGGCCAGAGATTCTTCCAATCTGACAAGTGAGTCGGTCGGAGCGCCAGCGTTGAATGATGCATTCTTATTGGAGGAGGCGGGACGAGAGGTATCACCGTCCCGACTATAGGGGCGAGAAGACGCAGACTGAATGGGTGGTGCTATACGAGGGATTTCTCCCAGGGTGTGAGCGCTGCGTTGGAGTTTTCGTGTACCACCTTCGCGACCCACACTACCCCCAAAGAAACTAGACAGCATTTTCACTGGAGAATGTGGCCGGCTTTTGCTTTCTAGACTCTCTGGAGCCTCTGGAATCCGTAGCGAGAGTGACTTCAAGGTCTGCATATTTCGCGACAGGTATGCTTCGCACAGTGGTGGATTCTTGATGCTGTTCCGGATGTGGAAGAAATTGGCGAGGCGTTTCGTCAAGACAGGCAGAAATTCAAGGCTTGTCAGCTTGTCCTTGGCCGTATATCCATTTACGCCATTGGTGTCCAACAAGAAGAAGCCATCTCCAAGGACAGATAGTGTGACGATTATTTCGATGCCATTAACACCAACTCGAAGGGGGGTTGATGTTTGCTGGGCGTCCACAAGAATCTGGATCTTTGCCGGCTCTTTCCTTCCTTCCACCTCTAAATCTCGAGGCTGTTCTGATATTGACGAGAACAAGCTGATGTCCCCAGGCAGAGTACGCACCTCCCATTTCGGGCTTTCTCGTTCAACTTCCGAGAATCGGCCCTCAACACGGGCCTTGGTGAACTCCTCAACGACTTTCTGTCCTTTGCCTTCATAGAGACCCTGCAGGTAGAACATACGGATGCCAAGCTGTTGTCGGTCTCGACTGCGTGGGCGTTGCGTATGTTGTGATACAGGTACCGGTGATAGCAACTGCACCATGCTACCTTCGGAGTGCTCGCTAAGAAATACACTAGCTAGGTCTAGGTATTGATGGAATATCAATTCCGTAGACGCGTGGAATGCCTCGGCAAACTTGGGATTGTCAAGATCTGCGAGGAGACTGCGAGCACTTGTGGTACAGCCACTGGGCTTATGCAGCAAGACCAGAAAATCGGTGAATAGGACAAAGATGCCTGGTGTAGCGTGTGGCCCGGAAAGCTCGCCGTGATAAGGCGGTGATAGCTCGACATAATCTATGGCAGTGATGAGCCGTCCTCGAGGGTTAAAAGCCGCTGGCCACGACAAGATCATCTTGCGCAGGCGGTCGAAGACTCTGATTTGCTGTGCTGACGGTCCTTCTCGCGAGCAGATATCGGCAATGATGTCCCTAGCCTTCAAAAAGGTCTTGATGGCGGGATGCCGCACAGGCAGTTGCTTGATGATATTGTCGATGTACAGGTTGTAGCGCGGGAGTCGCTGCACGGGTTCGATGAGCATAGATGTCAGTCGCTGTTCACCAGTCTCGTAGACTCGCTTGGAAAAACTTGAGGCTGTGTCTTTGGTGAAGGCTTTCAGCAGCTGTGAAAAGTCGCCGTGCGCAGCCATGTAGTCAGTGTAGCAGTCACCAAATTGCGGAAACCACTCAACTAGGGCTTTTGCAACTGCAGCAGCTCCAGTGACGTCTATGGGGTCTTTTTGTCCTCGCAACGGGGCAATGAAGACGTCGTCTGTGGCCTGCTCTATGTCTTCGATTGCACCATTCTCTGTCTCTTCCAGAATAACGCGCAAAGTATCCAAGAACTTGGTGTTCACTTCCAGAATCCTGTCAAGACTTGGCGGAAAGAGGCCCTGCAGCGCCTGCTCGGTGGGGCTCGTACTTGAGTGCGACTTGAGCTTTGCCTTGTCGCGAAATTCGACTGCGACATTGTGCACCAGATCGTACACTTTGCTCACGTAGTTCTCTTCGGTGTCCAGGAGCTCGCACATCTCGCGCCGGAGGGTTTCTTTCTGATTACGCGAGAAGGATTGCGTTCGGTTGAGGGCGGTCGGCTTCGAGGGTGCTCGGCGGAGCTTCGAGGTGGGCAGGAAGGCAGTCTCGCCAAACAGCTTCACGACAGGCGCATATTGGCCGTAGCGTTGTTCGAGAAGGTCGTCTTCCGCCTCGTCGAATTGGGCCGATTCCCGAGCCTCCTGCTTGTGTATGCTGCCCGGTGGGAGGACGACGTCGAGATCCACCCACGACAGTGTCTGTTCTCCCAGGGCGTGGCGGACGTCTACGATGACGTCTGCAACATTGTCGACCTTGACCATCTTGGCGGCGAGGATAGCGGCATGCGACTCGGAGAACAGCTCGGGCGCCGATGGCAGGTGGCCCAGCGTGCCGTGGCGCTTCTCCCACGCGTTCTTGATGTCCGTGGGCAGCTCGAGAAAGTATTTGTACAGACTGAAGGCAAGGCCGCGACATATCTCATCGCCCTGTTCCTCCCGCGGGAGACATGTGACAGCGCCGTAGAAGGTGGCCGTGGGTGATATGATGAGGCGGGCAAAGTTCTGGAGACCGGCGGGCGTGAAGACATGGGCCTGTATGCGCGAATGCGTCGCCTGTGTGGACGTCGCCGTCGGCCCGTAGAAGATGAGCACCGGCGCGTTGGAGAGCAGCTCATCGGTGGTGTAGAACAGCTCCAGGTCCTCTGCGGAGAGCGCCGCGGGCTCGGGATGGATGACGACCATGGTGCCAACTGCGGATAAACGAGCGACGAAGTTGGCTGCACGGAGAAACGAAGGTTAGCAGCAACTGGTCGGGAGGCGCAATGGCATGGCGCAGCCGGGGGCAGCGGTGGTTGCGGGTGGTGAGGGCGAGGGTGAGGTGGGTTGTGTTATGCGGCCATGTGGGCGGCGAGGCGCGCGTGTCGAGACTCGGTGGCTCCGTGGGCTGGCTGCAGGTGCAGTGCAGGTGCAGGAGCAAAGTAAACAAGCCGTCGAGGTTGCTGCCAACCGCGGAAACAAGGCCAGGAACACGGTCACACGGCGACGGCCAAGCGCGGGATACGCAGCCCAACTTCTTTAACGTGCGACGTGTGCAACGTCAAATTGCATGGGAACCCGGGCTGGCGAGTATTTTTGGCCGCTGCCGTCAACGCACTCGCCCTTGCAGCCTGCAGCACTAGACCGCATCTCGGTATGCCCATCGTGATCGCGTCGAGGAGAGACCCAGCCGCAGATCAGCGACCCCGCAAACAAAACAACGCGAGGGGAAAAAAAAGTCGCGACTGCATCACCACCCAGCCCGACATGGCCACACAGCAAGACGAGGGCGGCGTGCCCTTCTCCATGGCACACGAGATGCAGCAATTCCGCCTGTTCGAACTGCCGCCCGAAATCGTTGAGCTGGTAGATGCCCCGAACCCCCCACCGTAGGTACTGTGCCATCTTGCTGCTGCATGCCCGTCGTTCTCATCCTTCATGTCCAGTTTGTCCATCAAGTCGCAGGCTGTGTCTGGTGTGCCAAACGCAACGCCCGCATATGCAGTGCTCTGTACGTCGGACAAGACGTTCCAGCTACGCCAGGTTCAGACATCAAATTCGCTCTTCGTCACCCTGCCCGCCCTGGAAGCCCATGGCAACGAGATACCGGTCCCTGTTACGCGTGCCATTGCATCGTGCACTGCCACCTTGGAACTGCACCCTTCTGATGCGTCTGCGCAAGACTTGCTGCGCTATGCATTGCCAGTCTATGACATCGTGGCAGGCGATGTCGATGCCACGGCCAACAAGAAGAGCAAGGCGGCCATGTACGAACATCTTCCACTTTCCGATGGACAGTGCAACGCCGGTTGGGATGCGCTGGTAGCCTTCGAGCATGAGGACAGCTCGTACCAGCCGTCTGCCAACGCCCTTGCACAGGTATGGAGATCGATCAACGCTGCAGCCTTGGTGGAGGGCGTCAAGCTCGACAATCAGTTTTTGACAGACGACATCACGAGAGCAGTCTCTGAAGAAGGTTACCCTTCAGGGCTCGTCCGAGCGATGCTCAGACACCTAGCAAAGGATCAACAAGCAGACGATGGCCCTTGGTCTTGTCTAGATCGCGCCAAGACAGTAGCCTTTGCAGGCAGGACGCTGCTGCAGGCCAAGCAAGGAAGCGACTTCCTGATCTCCGACTTCACAGACATGTGGGAAGACAAGCTGCCAGAAGCATGGCGTAAAGATGCGCAGCTAAGTGCCATCGAAGGAGCATACGAGCTGACTGCTACGACAATCAGAGCAACAGGTACAGCTGCCAATGCTGCCAATGGGTCCGCTTTGGCAGATAAGCCTTCAGCGCGCAAATGGCACGAGAGGCTCGGCAAGACAAGGACCAAATAATTCAACATTACACCCAGTCTGACAGATCGGTTGAATAAGCCGTGGCGCACGTGATCATGTCGAGTGTTAGTCGCGTTTTCGGATCGGGACGTCGGTGATCGGCAACTGCAGCTTTCGTCCGTGCTGGTGTTGGTAATGAATATGTCAGCCTCTATGCGTGGTCGCGCTACCTACTGCAAAAACTTCGAGACCAACTTGTGTAAAGCGCATGTTACATTCTCGAGCTCTAAAGTGTATCGTACAAGGCCGGTCGTTTCCTACCCCGCTCAACTTTCCCGCCTTGTCTACCTCCACACCAAGGCAGTTCCCGAGTACAGGCTTTGCCTCCAGATATCCTCCGTCACCGACCAGAATGGCATCATCAGACTCAACTGATCCAATTCCAGCCACGGCGACATCTAATCCAGTAACTGGGGATGTCCCTCTTAAGGCTGGTGTTACCGAACAGAAACCATTAACAAAGCTCACCCCTATGGAATTTCGCCAATTCAACCGAATGGCTGACCATATGGACATGTTCCATAGCAACTTTCGCATCACTTGGAACATGTTGTACTCGGCGTGCGAGTCACAGAAACGACCAAAAGGCATGTCGATCAGGCAATTTATCAGCACCGGTCAGCAGTTCTGTCACCATCTTACCGTACATCATACTATCGAGGAGGAGCACATCTTCCCTGTATTAGCGAAGAAGATGCCGGCGTTCAGGAAAGAGTTGGAGTTGCTCACTCAGCATAAGCAAATTCACATAGGTCTGGACAAGCTGGAGAAGTACCTTGAGGAGTGTAGTGACGGCGAGAGGGAGTTGCGAATGAGCGAACTGAAGGATATCCTGGACAGCTTCGGCAAAGTGTTGTGGCAGCATCTAGATGATGAAGTCAAGCAGTTGGGTGCTGAGAATATGCGCAAATATTGGACTGCAGAAGAGATCAGGCGTATGCCCATGTGAGCTACGCTTATAAATCTAATCATTGTTTTCTCACAGTACGAGATCCCGTCCTTATGTTCTTTCATGCGCTATCGATGAATCGTAGTAGTCCTAGTAAAAGGCCCATGGCACTACTATTGTCTTAAGACCTGTGCAGAGGAAGATCCCAAGTTTTTTATCATGTTGTGCGCCACATGTCCCCTGGATGTGCCATACCGTAATGATTGTAAAAGTCGCTAAATCGCAGGACTGGAAAGAATTGTTGTCGCAAGTGATCAGTCGTTATAGTTCACTATACCACTACCATCTTTGTTCGCCTTGGGTACCCCATACCGTTCACTCAGGTCGTCTTCTTGTGACTTGCTGGCTGGGTCAAGATACGGCCTCTCAGCCCTCACAGCAACCCTCACAGCATGTCTTCGATGTGGCGCGAAACCATAGGAAGCCGAGTGGTTCTAGTCTTTGTCAGCGCTCCGTATGCCTCGAGGACACTGTAGATCATCTTACCGTAGCCCTATTGTCCCAGAATGCCACATCGCCCTCCTCCCATTGGAATCTTGCATGGATCTCCGGGCTCGTCGCCACAATCTCGTTCAACAGGCCAATGATGTGGTCACTTTCGGTCTTTGGGACACCAACGATCTTGGTCACAAATCCTGGATTGAAGAAAATACTTTTCCACCCTGTGACGGGGTTGGTACGGATCAACGGATGTTCAGTCGTGACAGGCTCACGGCGTACGGTACGGCCCAAATCACGCGAGCCTTGGGCTTGTAGCTCTGCTGAGTGCAGGGCGGTCAGGGATTCGAGGTATCTTTGCATGTGAGGAGAGAGCATGTCGTACGCGGCATACTGTGAACTCCAGAGCGTGTCGCCTCCGCCTCCACGTGGTGGGCCGGAGAGGACTTTGAGAGAGGTATACGAAGGCGGTTGGATCTCATAGGTTACATCCGAGTGCCAGAGAAATGTGGGTGTGAAAAGTGCTCTGAGATCCGGGCTACCCTTCGCCAGTGAATATGACATGGACATCTTCCAGACCTTCGCGTTTAGGCACGCCGGTGGTTGCATGCCTGTGTAGTTCGCCAAAATATTTTTCCAAGCTCTCTTTGCTGATCAATGTCGAAGTTATGCTGGTTGCGAAAGAAGACGACGCCTCGAGTGGCGATGAGTCGCGCGAGATCATTCTTCTGTGCATTGGTGAGAGTCGCTAAGTCGACGCCGTGAACCTCGGTGCCGATCTTGGGGTTATAATCAAACACATCCGTCGCGTCAGCCAACAGATTCTTGAAGCTCGGGTCGCCCAGCTGGCCCTTATCCACGTAAGGTATCTCCTCATATGCGGGCCACTTTATGTCAGGAAAGCGTGGCCGTAGATCCTCATGCTCGTACGTGTCATCGTGCTTCTTTACAATTGTGCGGCCGGGCACGTAACTATGCATATTACCGGTGGCCTTGATCACTGTGTTCGGCGTGGAAGTAGTCGTTGGCTGGACCTGGGGTTCCACGAGTCCTGGAGCCATGATTGAAGAATGTAGGTACAAGAGACTACTAGGACGGCAGTGACTTGTATGTGCACCCTTCTAAATGTGGAGGTGTCGCGCGAAGTAGTAATTGCGGATCCAGAGACGTGTATAATCAGAGTCAGGCTTATTGGATAGAAGAACAAAGGGTGTTTTTTTGGTAGGGGAATGGGGAGAGTAAAGGAGTCTTTGGTATTTATATAGGATACAGGATGAGTTGTCTCCGTGTCACTGCCTGTGCACGCTTACCTCATAGAGATTGCGCCATCGCACACAATCAAGACTTCCTATTCGGGCTCGACTCATGTATGTGAAGCATGATATGAAGCTCATATGGAGGCACAATCACATTGCAGGTGGTGGGGCGATCTGGGGAAGCTAGATGTCATGGACCTCCATATTGCGTGATAATGGTGGACCCAGATTTCTTGCCGCCACATAATCCCTTGCGCTGAGGATTATTAGGACAAAGCGTTGCAATGGGGGCTGTTTCCGATGTTTAAATCAACCCTCTAGGTGGTAAGGTCGGCTTCCATTGGACAGCCTGCTCTTTCCTCACAAATGCCGAAGACATTGCGAGAATTGCTCTGGTAGACCTGCAAAATTTAGCCTTTGCGATTTGTGGCCCCAGTGGTGGTACAATGGAAGTGTCAACGTGCACCTGTGCGCTAACCAGATTTGGTTGAGGCGATGGTGCAATTGTTGTAAAGATGGTGCCATCGGGCCTATCCGCATGTCAAACAGATCCGACTTGAAACATGACGCAGTTCGAGATTGCAGAACTCATGTCAGTCGCGTGTATTGGACGCGATGAGTCTAAAGTAGCGAGATATGTTGATGTATTTAGAGATGAGTAGTATGCCTGTGCTATCTTCCCTATATCCTTGGATCTTAGACCTGTGTATAGGTTCAGCATAAGCCTCAGAAAAGCAATTGTGTGCCTACTGCATGATTAGGGACCAAGAGAAGGCGTGAATTTTAAGTGCCCACGCCCGCAAGACCTGAGGTGATCCAGAAAAAATAGCTTGTTGCGACTAGCTTCGGCCACCTAGATACGTGCCATGACACGCTCATTAGCTATTTTGCTGAATATACCGCCATCAAATACGCCCAGTATATCAATCTTCTTCATCCTGCCATCACCTGGCCAAAGTAGAATATATAGTGCAATCCCTAGGCACGGTAAGCAAATGAGCTTTTAAGAGAGTAACGTGTATAAATGACTCACACTCCAAAGCTCCAGCAAACCAGCCAAACCAATCGTTGGCGCAGCATTGCCCGGCCCATACGTTGTACAGGGTTCTTATTGTCAAGTAGCTCTTCCCCTCTGCATACTTGTCAAAGATGGCGTCAAATCGGCGCATGTCGATATCTGCATTAAGGTCGTATACAGTTGTGGTGCTCCCGTGTCTGTTGCTATGGATATTGTCGATATTAATAGCGAACAGTGGATGCGGAAGCCAACTTGTTTGTGTGGCGTAGGAAGAGCAAATTGCCATCGTGACTGCGGCCCACATGCATAGAACAATGTTGAAGCCCAACTTGCGAAAGCCGATGAATATGTCCCAAGGATATATCATGCCGTCGCCATCAGCATCCCAGAACTCACAATGCCGACGAAGGGCGCTGCGCGTGCTCGTTGGACTGTGATGGTGGGTATGTGCTGTTCTCGAGCTCGCCGATGCTGGTTCCGAGACTTCGGTTGGTTTACAATGCCGTGTTACGGAAAGTCCAGACTGGTGATTGCAGATGTCTCCCACTCCGGCTATCCATTTCACAGGTTTGAATGAGACCGACGCGTCTTCCTCTTGTGCTAGCATGTTGTAGGGTGTTCGGACTCGAAGCTATACGGAGCCTGTATTCCTCTCTCTTACTTTTGCGCCTTTCTGTAGATTTGCAGGCACGGATTGCTGGGTTGTTCTCGCTGAAGCTGACACGCGATGCTCTAAAGGATGAGCTATTGACCTCAGTTGTTGTCGCGTAGGATGGCGGGATAGCAACATAAATTTTGCATCATGCGCGTTGTTGGATGATATTTCAGATGCCAATTTCTGCGCAGGCCTCAACACAGTAGGAATGACCATCCACTGACGTACCTATGGTACATGTGTTCTTCTTGGCAGTGTTACCTGAAGGGACATCGCTCGGAGACGAGACTTTATTCTTTTCTTGTTTTCCATGATCGATAATTCAAGGTTTGCTGTCATTATTGGGTCTCTGTGTTGATTGCTGCGTGGTGTGCACATTTCCACAACTCCTAACGACATCACCTACCGAGGTAGCTACTTTCCAGTCGTAGTCGCGCAGGCAACGCAGGAAATGAGATTATATTAGATATTAATCAGGAATTGTAAGACAGGGCAGTCAACAAACCGACATATTCTGGATCGGAAGAGAACTCCCAACTGTTAGATCAGTGGCTTTGTGTCTTCAGCTGCCCCTCGGCGGCCCCACTCACTGCGCGGAGCAACCCCCACTTCGCGTGACGCTCCAAGTCTATGACACATAGACGTCGCATCAGAGTAAATCAAGCGTCGCAGAGAGTATCAGTCTTGGGCCCACTTGCTAAGGCTGGAACGTCGAGTTCCAAGTGTGGGCGTCGCGCCAGATCATGCAATATATTTCAATAATTTGTTGAACTGTCATAATCCAGCTCATTAGCCAGCTCAACGGTCTATTAGTGTAAGCAGCTAGCTCATCACATTCACACACCAAAACTAATTCCTCAACAGGTAGTGGTTATCACTCTGGATTTTGATCGTGTCTCAAAAGTTTCCAGTAACCCCAGTTCGAATCTGGGATAGACCTTTACTTTTTGCCCACGCCAGTGGCGGAGCCTCCTTGGATGGACTGGATTTCGTGAACTGGAGGCATGACCTATTAGGCTTCTGTGGGCCGTGGTATACTGACTTATTTTTGACACTCACTGTGATCCAAGGAAAAGTAATTATGCAAAGTAGAGTCTCCGTGGCTGTCACGTTCAGTGCCTGCGTAGAAATGCCGAACAATCGCAATAGAACGATATTTAGTATCCACACCGGGACTTCGCGCGCAATGTGCTGTTACATGCTCATAAATGTTGATCTAGACAGCCTTTTTGGTCACTACTCTTAGAATTGCCCAAACCAAAATGCCCATTAATGCAGCCAAAATCATGAGGACGAAATTGGATATCAATGGCGGGCGCACTCTTTGGCGCATCATAGCTTGCATGGCACTTTCCAGTCGCTCGCCCATCTTGTCTTTTGAGAACTCTGCAATCACACGCTCTCTTCCCCACCTGCCCATATCCCTAAGCCTCTGTTCACCATCGCCATCTTCCAAAGCAATGCGCATTACCTCCGTCCATTCTTGCACTTTGCTAACATCCCTCAACCAGCCAGTCTGGCCGCTGATCACAGTTTCTGTAGGACCACCTTCGTTAGCGGCCAATACTGGGGTACATGCCAGCATGGCCTCGAGGGGTACGATCCCGAAATGTTCGTTTCGTGGGGTATAGACAAGCAGGCGAGCCGTGGACAGGAGGGTCGATTTGAAGGCACCTGGTACAGAGTGAAGAAAGAGGACCGAGATGTCATCGGGAACGCCTTGTGCTGAAATGACAGTTTTCGCGGTGGCATGCTTCAGCTGCAATGAGTCCGCCAGCTCACAGAGTTCAGCGTAAGTTGTAGTGTTCTCTGCCACCCTGGGATCAAAACCGCCTGCTATCACGAGTCGGGCAGTTTTGCTTTCTTCGCGCGACAGCCCTGCGTATGCTTTGATTGCAAGTGCAACGTCCTTTTTCTTTTCGAAACGGTTGATGCTAAGCAGGACCTTCTTGTTTGGCCATAAAGGCTTATGTTCGTCCATCGCATCGCTGATAGCCGTATCTACGCATGGATACACCACTCCTGGACTGCGATGTCGCAAGCCAGGGAAAGCTTCGGCGAAGACGCTCTTCGTAAAATTGCTGTTCACCACAATGGTGTCGCTGCAACCTGTACTCCAGCTTTCTAGCCAGTCGAACGGGCCTCTGTATAGCGTCTTAAGCAGACCCCCCTTCTTTGCGAGCAGTTTGTCGGGGAAGTGGCAGTAGAAGATAATGCGAGGGAGGGGTTGAAGCAGGCGCAGAAGGGGTATGCCGGCGCTGAGCTGGTCGATGAAGAAGGCGGTAGGCGAGAGTAGCGCTAACTCATTCGTGAACAGTGCGATGTGCAGGATTAGATGCACTTGGCGGAGAATGGCGCATAGGATGGCGAAGCGTCCGAAGAGTGAAGCTGGTACGATGGTGTTGCCGCGTACACGCACGTCGAGGGTTCCTTTTCGCCAGCGTCAGGTCTTAGCTGCCTTGTCCATCACATGAGCAGTCTGTCGCCGTGAGGTACAGCAGAGGCTTACCATCGCGAGCTTCATCGAAGCAATGTCGCGGGTCGCAATGCGACGTGAAGATGGTGACCACATGCCCGCGCGCTTGCAGTGCAACAGCGGCATCAACAACAAGACGCTCAGCGCCGCCAATGCCGAGATCTGGATGGAAGAAGACGGTGTGTTGCTTCTCCTGCGCCATGTTGGTCGTGTAGAGCTTGCAACGTGTGGTCGGGATGCACCATTACGTAGAACCACATGTGCGATGGGCCCGAGCACGGCTAGACCGCTTGTGGCCGTAGTGCCCGAGGCATGGTTGGCATGGAAGTGAAAGATGACCTCGAGCACGCCTGCGCATGACACACATCACCCCCATCACTTTCACAGACTCTGTTCATACAGTTGGATCCGCTGTTGCATCTCTGCGCCTTCGCACCACCATAAGTCTCATCACGCTGCGCAGAGTTGCTGTCAACATGCTGTCTGCAAGCCGTCGACATCACTCCTCGTAGACATACAAGCTGCCATCTGCCGACATGGGCCAAGGCTTCTCCCTGACTACCCTTTCGGCTGGCTCGGCCAACATAGATGTGCCAGAGCTAGCTGACCTGCAATATGAAAAGTCGCTTGGGGCTGCCCGATTCATGAAGGCTGTCCGAGCACGGCACAAAGATGGCCTTGTAGTAGCACGAGTGGTGATGAAACCATACGCGCAATTCAACTTCCATGTTTACGTCCGGCGCCTTCTGAGTAAGCAGTTTCTACAGCAACTCTAGACATCACTAATGTGATATAGACGAACGGAGACTGCTCGCCGAGGTTCCAAATGCTTTGGCTTATCATCGCATAATCGAGACCGCAGCCTGTGGTTATTTGGTTCGTCAGTACATCCATAGCTCGTTGTATGACCGCTTGAGGTAGGACATTTACAGTAATGAAATCTGAAATTAGGTGGCCGCGCTGACCCAAAGCAGCACACGCCCGTTCTTGGAAGAAATCGAGAAGAAATGGCTCTCATTTCAGCTTCTCTGTGCAGTGCGAGACTGTCACGCTCGAAATATCTTCCATGGAGATATCAAGACGGAGAATGTTCTTGTCACATCCTGGAATTGGCTCTATCTCGCGGATTTCTCCGCATCGTACAAGCCTGCGCATCTGCCAGAGGATAACCCAGCCGACTTCTCCTTCTACTTTGATCTCTCAGGACGTCGAACATGCTACCTCGCCCCAGAGCGCTTTCTGGCATCCGGACAGCAGCCCGAAGGAGAGGGCGAAGTGAATTGGGCTATGGACATCTTCAGTGTAGGCTGTGTTATTGCTGAGCTGTTTTTGGAAGCGCCAATCTTCTCCTTAAGTCAGCTTTTCAAGTACAGGCAAGGCGAATACCATCCTGAACACTCTCACCTGAGCAAAATACAAGACACCAACATCAGAGAGCTCGTTGTCCATATGATCCAGGTCGACCCAAGCTCGAGGATGTCTGCCGACGACTATCTCATGCATTGGAAAGAAAAGGTGTTCCCGAGCTATTTCTATGGGTTCCTGCAACAATACATGTACTCGATTACCGACCCATCCTCTGGTCGCAAGCCAGTGACCACTGGCGCCGAGCATCTTGGGGAACCAGATGAGAGGATAGAGCAAATCTACAATGACTACGACAAAATTGCGCACCTTTTGTCAGATGGTGGGGACAAATCATTGGCGCGAGCACATAGCTTACCCCCCAAACCAAACGCAAAAGTGTTCCCGCTCTACGTCAACATTCCGAACTATCAACATCAGGTGACCCCTGCACCAAGTCTTGCCATCGATGATGGTAACCTCGTATTTCTCACGATTATTGTCTCTTGTCTACGAGGCACAGCAAGAGCATCGGCTCGTGTTCGCGGACTCGAACTACTCATGGCTTTTTCAGAGCGTTTGACAGATGAAGCAAAACTCGACCGCGTCATTCCTTATGTCACTCAGCTGTTGACCGACAAGTCTGAGCAAGTCAAGATTGCGGCTTTGCGTACTTTGACACAAATTCTGTCAATGGTTCAGGTGGTTTCTCCTCTCAATGCATACATCTTCCCAGAGTATGTACTTCCGCGTCTGGAGGCCTACTTGCCTGACTCGACCGCGACAGTCAGTGCCCTTGTCAGGATGCAGTATGCATTCTGCATAGGTACTCTATCCACCACCGCAGCTAGGTATCTAGACATGATCCAAGCACTGCGAGCAGAAGGCTCTTTACCGGCAACAGACCCTGAGACAGAAGATGATTTGTCCTCTTCCACGCATCGCAATCAATTTGACTCGGACCGTCGAATCTTACTCGAAACACTAGAGAAGCATACGAAGGCGCTTCTCACAGACTCCGATGCTTCTGTTCGTCGAGCCATGCTGCGGTCTGTGTCTGACTTATGCGTCTTCTTTGGCAGCCCACGGGCGAACGATGTGGTGCTCAGCCATCTGAATACATACTTGAATGACCCAGATTGGATGTTGAAGTGTGCCTTCTTCGAAGCCATCGTCGGCGTCGCTGTGTTTGTCGGCGGCGCAAGCTTGGAGGGCTATATATTGCCACTAATGGTACAAGCCTTGAGCGATCCAGAAGAATTTGTTGTTGAGAAGGTCATGCGCGCGCTCGCGTCCATGGCTGAACTTGGCTTGTTTCAACGCTCGAAGACATGGGAGCTGGTCGACATTGTAGCTCGGCTTTCCATGCATCCCAATCTTTGGATCCGAGAAGCTGCAGCACAGTTCATTTCGACCGCCTCCAAGTACTTGTCTATTGCGGATACTCACAGCATCTTGGTGAACCTAATTAGGCCATATCTCAAGGTTGTGCCCTCAGACTTTTCTCATTTTAGGGTACTCGAATCACTTAAGCCTCCTCTCTCCAGACTACTCATGGAAATGAGCTCAAACTGGGCACTTCAGTCACAGAAAGGGCTCTTCTGGGTCCCCGCGAGACAACAGCAAACGTTTACTTTTGGATCGAATGAGGATAGTTTGCCTTCAATATCTGGCCGCGAACTGGACCACAAGGTGCTGCAAAGACTACCCAAGAACGAAGAAGACGAACTCTGGTTGAAGAAACTACGAAATGCTGGCCTAACATCCGAAGACGACTTCAAGCTTGTCGCTTTGCGAGAGTTCATTTGGCGCGTCAGTCACCGTCGTCGGTCGGATGGTCAAGCATCCCCTCCTACAAGGTTCAACAATATTGTGGCACTGAAGGATCTAGGAGTACAGGCACTGACAGTGCTCTTCGACGAGGGTGTCCAACAAACAGTCAGACGAAGCCATAAACAAGAGCCACGACATCACACACAATTAGAATCACAACCCAGGACCATACAAGATGCGTTGCTAGATGCATCCACCACTGAGGCGGACGTCTTGGCCGACCGCATGCCACACCCTGAAGGCCAAGCCGAACGACTGCTGCGTGAAGAGAGAGGACCTGGGCGTATATCAGTTCCATCACGTCCAAAATTCTCGTCTCCGCCAAGTGATTCATTAGGAATAGAGTCTCCTTCGCCTGAATTTGAGACCCAGAGAAGTTCTCTGCAAATCCCCAGAGATTCTCCAACAAATCAGTCGCCCGTGGGCTCCTTTGGGAACAGCGAACACGCACATACCCTTCGACAACGGCACAGTACGCTGGGTCTCTTGGGTAAGGGTGAAAATAAAGCCCTGCCAGAGACAGGCACAGTGTCTGCGAATGTGTTTGGCAAAGTCGATGGCGCCGTGGTGCGCGAGTCGTCGCGTTCCCGACAGCCCACGTCTCCACTAGCAGTGGATCAACATGCTCAAGGCTCATCCCAAATTAAATTCCGCAACGTACACAATTACACGGGAAACGACCCTGCAATACTAAAACTACTTGACTCGATGCTTCTAGAGCGCTTTCCATCGGGCGAGACTGAATTTGGTCCTCGCGTACAAGTAGCCGCACGAAAGCAGCCCATCAGATACAAGGATGCTCACCAATCAGCAGCTGGTGTACCATGGCGACCTGAAGGCCAGCTTGTTGCTAGCTTCGGTGAGCATACAGCTGCTGTAACTCGGATCCTGGTATCACCCGACCAGGGGTTCTTCATCAGTGGTTCTGACGATGGTTGTGTCAAGATTTGGGACGCATCGCGCCTGGAGCGCAACATAAGTCGACGCTCGCGCCAAACGTACAAGTTGGGAGATGATGTCAAAGTCACTAGCCTCGTCTTCGTGGAACAGACATACTCTTTTGTCGCCACGGGGAGCGACGGTAGCGTACATGTGGTGCGAGTTGATTATCATCAAAGCCAAGATGGGACAGCAAAATTCGGAAGACCACGCCTGCTGCGCGAGTACCAACTGCCCAGAGGCGACCAGGCAGTATGGTCGGAACATTACAACGAGGACAGTAAATCTGTCCTTTTGCTAGCAACCAATACGTCAAAGGTCATCGCACTAGAGTTGCGCGTCATGCAAGAGCTCTTCACACTAAAGAATCCACTTAACCATGGCACTCCCACGTGCTTCTGTGTGGATAGGAGAGCGCACTGGCTCTTACTGGGGACGTCTCATGGCGTGTTAGATCTCTGGGACCTCCGCTTCAGGCTGCGTCTGAAGGCGTGGGTCTGCCATGGCGCAGCACCCATACATCGGCTCACCCAAGTAGTCTTCCTGCAACCGAAACGAACGCGGCTGTATATTGCGGGTGGTAGTGGTCAGGGTGAGCTTACGGTCTGGGATTTCGAGAAACTCATTTGCAAAGAGGTTTATCGCACAGGTACAAGCAAAGACATGGGGAGCAAGAGCACTACTCTCGTGGACTTGGATGAGGAAAAACCTGGTGGTATGCTCGGCCGTTTCGCGACGGCACTCGAGCCTTCTGCGAGTTCGGCAATGGACCGTGGTATTCGCGCGCTTGCAGTGCACACACAGACAGTCGATGATAAGAGCGAGTCCAAGCATACCTTTTTCCTCACCGCCGGACCGGACTGGAAGATCAGATACTGGGATAGCAACCGACCAGAAGCATCGATGATTGTAAGTGGCCTAGAGGCGGACGAGGTGAAGCCGCAATACATGACGAGCCAGTCTCCTCCTGATACGATGGTCGTCACGGAGAGGCTTTCGCAGCCACAAGGCCAAACTCTGAATGGAAGAGACAGCAGAAGTTCTCCTAGCAGAAAATCGACGCAAAAGTCTCCAAGGTCCGGCGTCATATCCTCCCAGCAGCAGCATCTACTGAAGAGCCACCTGGACAGCATTCTGGACGTTGCTTTGATAGAGCAACCGTATGGCATGGTAATATCCGGGGATCGTTCTGGAGTAATCAACATGTTCATGTAGCACTGCACACGATGATGAATTCATATTTGTGTGTATTTGTCGTCTTGCTGATCTCTGAGTGACATGGTCCATGTTCCCCGCCGCCCCCGACGCGGAGGTGATATGACGAAGTCTTGGCGTTGGGAAATTTAACCAAAGCTTCCCGAGATCCTAGCCTCACTAACGTGCAGCAAGCCACCTCTACACGCTCGAGAACACAGCGCAAACGCACGAGGCCGATCCAGACACAACCAATTAGAGTACTTCGAACTCATATCGCAAACATGAGGTTGACTACCGACGTGATCAACAACTCCCTGTCCTTTATCAACTGTCTCACGGAGCGTGAACTCGATCTGCGAGGTGCGTAGAAAAGAGCGGATGCTACACTAGTTGAGCTGAATTGATATCAATGCGTGTAATTTTCTAGGCCACAAGATTTCTGCCATTGAGAACATGGGAGCCGCGCGTGTAAGCCTCAATTACCACTACCCGAGCTTGCTTTACTGCAGAGTACTAAAAGAGCCAAACACAGGACAACGACGCAATCGACCTCACCGACAACGACATCGCGCAGCTTGGCAACTTTCCACTGCAACCTCGCCTGCGCACATTGTTCCTGGCGCAGAACCGCATATCGAACATCCAGCCGACCCTCTCGACCAGCATACCGAATCTGCAGACGCTGGTTCTCACCAAGAACAGGATCGCCGAGCTGGCAGACTTGGACGCGCTGTCGGGGTTTAAGAAGCTGGTGTTCTTGTCGCTGATTGGCAATCCAGTAGCCAGCAAAGAGGTGCGTACGCAAGCGCTTGGTCCCGCACGTCTTGGAGCCTAATACTGGCAAGCATACATGAGCGCGTCGCATGAGAGCTGCGACGCGACAGCTGCAATAGGGTCCGACAGGCGATAGGCGGGGGAAGACGGTGTACCCCAGAATGCTGACCTTTGGCCAGAACTATCGATACTGGGTCATATGGCGCTGCCCAAGCGTTCGCTACTTGGACTTTGCCAAAGTGCGCGATGTCGAGCGCAAGAAGGCGACTGAGCTCTTCGGAACTGCCGAGGAACCTACGGAGCTGGCTAGCAAGGTGTGTGGGCCACGCGCGTTAGTTGGTTGATTGTCCAGAGCCATGCTGATTACACTACGACACACAGATCATGGGAGTCAAGTCAAAGGGTTTCGTCGTGCCTTCCTTCACCAACGGCGCCGACGACTCGACCAAGGACCGCATCTACACAGACGACGAGAAGAAGCGCATGCGAGCTGCCATCCTCAATGCGAGCAGTCTGGCGGAGATGGCGAGGCTGGAGAAGGACTTTGCCGAGGGGAGGATACCAGCTCATATCCTCGAGGGCGGAGATGCTATGGAGACGTAGAGCTGAGGGGTCACAGAGGATCCGAGGGCGACGGCGCACAACTAGCCATGAACAAGACAAAAGATGCTGGCCCGGGAGAAATTATGAAGCCGCACGGGAACACAAAGGCACATGGTGCGGACGCGAATGCGAGCGGCAGAGATTCCACATAGGCCCAGTCAGGACTACTTGGTGCATGGACAGGAAACAGACATGCTTGTTTCGCAACGTGGTGCGAAATCGAAGCGGCTATGACAATAGCAGGAGCAAAAGCCTTCAGATGTAGACATGACTCGGATGACATTCGAAAGCATTGCAATTTCCCCCCGTGCTAAGACGTCATGCGTCGTGGGTATCGTAGTGGTAGACTCATAATCAACGCCCGTCGCGTTGGCGACCATGCTCCAGATCAGCTCGCGAGAGCTAGCATTATTACCATCCTCTGCCCCTCCCACCCCTTCCACCTCTCCCACCTCCTCCACCCTGATTCCCTTGCTGAAACCCTCCCTGCGGGCCCCCTGGCCCTCCGGGGAAGCCCGGCATGCCTTGACCGGCCATTTGCATGAAGGAATTCACGTCCATCTGGCTGATGTCGACGCCCTGTGCCATCATCTGCTGCATCATCATCTCCATCTGCTGTTGCTCGGCCGCCATGGCGCCAGCTGGTGGGCCATTGTTGCCTCCTGGTCCCGGCATAGGTCCACCACCCATCATCTGCTGGAATTGCTTCAGCTGCGCCTGACTCTGCTGGTTGGTGTCGGCCATGGCCATCTGGCGCTGGCGATATGTCTCCCAGGTGAACTCGTCGAAGCCGTAGTTGAAGTAGTCGGATTGGTCTTCGCCCGGACGTCGCCAGATCCTTTGTTCCTGCGCGAGATCGGCGTCGAGGTCGACTTGTAGGATGGATTTGCCGAGAGGTGGGTAGATGGGGTTGCCGTTGACGTCGATAGTAGACGTCTTTTGCGCAGGGTACGAGGTGCCTGGCAAGGCGGACAGCTGGGGAACAGTGCCAGTTGGGATGGTTTTTGGAGGCTGGAAGGGCGCAGAGGCGGATTGGGATTGGTTTGGTTGCTCAATCTTTATGGCTTTGGATTCTGGCTGCTGCTGTTGGCTGGAGTGCAAAGTTAGCTTGGGGGACTTGGGGGACTTGGTGGGGGCTGGTGAGGAACATACGCCGCGGGTTTCGGAGCGGTTGGTGGCTTGTCAATGATAATCTCGAGGTCCTGCAGCTTTGTTAGCTCTGATATACCCAACTTCAACGTGCCACGCGCAGGTCCAGGCGCAACTAACCGATTCGCTGTCTTCGTCGTCATCATCATCATCGTCGTCGTCGTCGTCGCCCGAGTCGGCGCCCTCGTCCATGGGCTCGTCGCCACTTGACGCGTCGTCTTCGTCTTTGGCGTGCTTGGTCTGCTCTGTCTTTGCGTCTGCGGTGCTGTAAAGGTCATCGTCCTCGTCCTCGTGGTCGGAGGCCATTGTAGTTCCGCGCTCTTTCTTGCTGGATCAAATTGGTCGTGGTTAGACAATGGAGACAGTAGGGCGACGAGAAGGCGGCGTGAAGGCGGCGTGAAGGCGGATGCGCTTTGTGGTGCTGGTGCTGGGCTGGGAGCTTGAGCACGGGCGAGGTGGTGAAAGGAATGATTAGCCGAGCAGAGCGCGTCTTTGGCCTGTGCGACGCGGAACCGCGAGCTGCATGTGCATGCTCGAGGAAAACACCAAGCTTCCGTCCATATAATCCACGGTTGCTTCATTACTGCCCATCCTGGACACTGCTCGCCTCATCAATCGCCCGTCACCACACATTCTGCTTTCGACGCCCAGGCACATTTGCACACAATGGCGGGTTTCGGTCGGTCCAACTCGCTGAGCATCAACACGGGCGGCGGCGGCGGCGGCGGCGGCGGCGGTGGTGGTCTCTTGTACGCATCCCCCAACCCTTTACTGCCTTTCTGACTGCCCACTAACTCGCTGCAGCGGGAACAACGCAAACCAGGCCCAGCCGACCTCGCAGCCCCAGAGCAGCGGCGGACTCTTCGGCAGCTCCCAGCAGCCCCAGTCGCAACAACAGCCTCAGTCGGGCGGCCTGTTTGGAGGAACTTCTGGTGGCGGTCTAAAGCTCTCGACCCCCGCTGCGACAGGCGGAGGACTCTTCGGCGCATCCGCTGCACAGTCGAACCAGCCGAAACCGTCTCTCTTGTAAGCAAGGGCCGGGTTGCTGCCACGCGTGATACAAAGCTAACTGCATGGAGTGGTGCATCAACACAGCAGACGGCGACGGCAACGACGACGCCTTCTTTGTTCAGCAACACCACAAACAACACACAGCAGCAGCAGCAGCAGCAGCAGCAGCAACAACAACAACAACAACAACAACAACAACAACAACAGCAGCCACAGCAGCAGGCCTCTCTCTTTGGCAATATGAACACCCAAAACCGCGCTGCACCGCTGGGAGGCTCAATGCTAGGAGGGTCGCAAATGGGTGGCGCCGCACAACAACCCGTGCAGATGACGCTGGAGTCGATGCGAGGAACTACGCGCTTCAACGACCTGCACCCAGACCTACAGACCCTGATCCAGCAGTTTGACGAGGGCATCCAGCGGAAAATCAGCTACTGCAACCAAATCCGCGAGACTCTACCCAGCAGCGAGCAGGACATTGCCACCATTGCCCCCGATGTCGCCTACATTGAAAGCTACCTTTCCACCATCGAGACGGGACTGGACAACGACTCCACAAACATCGCGCACCTAAAAGACGTTGTAAAGAAAGATGCCGCAGACGCGACCCTCAGCTTCCGCGCCATCGAGAACCAACGCTTGCCCGCCCAATTCCACTACAGAAACAACCTCACAGCGTCAAGCGCAAAGACACCCGCTGCAAGTGCCTTGGATGACGACGACCCAACAAAACCTGTTGATCTGATGAACTACTTCAACCGCCGCACAGACGACCTCGGTCGCACTCTCAACCTCTACCAGCGCCAGATCCGTGACATTGAAGCGCACCTGAGAACTATGGAAGCGGGCACCGTCGAGAAGGCACAGCAGTTGACCGGCAGCAGAAGCGCCCCACGGGATCAGCGTCGTGAGCTTGTTGAGGCGCTCAAGGCTATCGAGGGTGCCATTCTGGATTCAGCAAAGAAGGTGGGACAGGTCAGGGATGAGGTTACCAAGCAGACTTTGGGTAATGTTGGAGCGGCTTTGCTTTGAGAGGATGCGTGATCCACTGTATACCAAAACACCAAAACACCAAAATATGTAGAAGATTTAGATACCCAGCATAGCGCAAAAGAAGACCTGATTGGCATTCATGCCGCCAATTTTCCTGTGACCGAAGAAGTGGCAGGAACCAAGCTAACAATATCTTTTCCCCACATGGACAGACCTTGTCTACGAGAACAGGCTATATTTATCTTGGCTGCATGCACAGTTAGAGACCAGAAACCCGCTGTGATGATTGATCGGGTATGGCCGACTGAGTAAGCAGAGCCGTTGTTGGAAGGAGTTTGTCAAGCTTTCCAATGCTGAGTAAAGCAGCGGAACTACTCCGGCGCCTCGGAACTGCATGATGCTATGACGGAAGTGGGGAACGCGCCACAGCGCTGTGTATACTTATAGTGACATATTGACTTGCAGACACTTGGTTAATCTTGCAAATTTCCGTGCGATCTGTATGCTCTCAGCAATTGCACGATCAAAAGGCATTGCGCGGCACTTCCCAAGAACAGCACGACCTTTATCCACGACAAGCAACCTCGGAGGGATGGACAAGAAACCTTCCGGTTCGATTCTCGACTGGGCAGACAAGAGTGGCGAGTTCAAGCGACAACAGAGTGTCTTCAGAAGCTGGATCGAGAACAAACCCAATGCCGAATTCCCACCCGAGAAAGGTCGATACCACCTGTATGTCTCGTATGCGTGTCCATGGGCGCATCGGGCACTCATTGTGCGCGAATTGAAGGGTCTGAATGACATCATCACGTACAACAGCGTGCACTGGCACATGGGCGAGAAAGGCTGGCGTTTTGCGACTGCGGATGAGAAAGTCCCGGGAGAGACGACGCCGGATCCTCTTCACAAAGACTTCACTCACTTACGCGACATTTACTTCGAGCAGAATCCCGAGTACGAAGGCAGGTTCACAGTGCCGACGCTCTACGACAAGAAGACGAACAGAATCGTAAGCAACGAGAGTAGTGAGATTATCCGCATGTTCTACACAGCTTTCGACGACCTCATTGAGGAGCAGTACAAGAATGTGGACTTGTTCCCAAAGGCCCTACAAAAGGATATTGAAGCAATGAACGAGTGGGTGTATCACGATGTGAATAACGGCGTATACAAGTCAGGCTTTGCTACGTGAGCTCCCCCGCGCACCTAGTCTCGTTTCGTGGTTTAAATCATGCTGACGATGACGACGACAGATCCGAAGATGCATACAAAACAGCTGTTACTCAGCTCTTCAAGTCTCTCGACCGTCTTGAATCCGCTCTTTCTGAATCATCAACGCCATACCTCCTCTCCTCGCCGACTATTACAGAGGCTGATATCCGTTTGTACACGACAATTATACGCTTCGATCCCGTATACGTCCAACACTTCAAGTGCAATATTCGCGACATTCGATCAGGGTACGTGACCAACACATTAGAATGGTCATACTTGCCACTAACGTCGTGTCAGATATCCGTTGCTTCACCGTTGGATGAGACATTTATACTGGGACGTACCAGCCTTTGGCAATACAACTGAGTTTGAACATATCAAGAAGCACTACACGAAGAGCCATGGGCAAATCAACAAATATCAGATTACACCAATTGGACCGCTACCGGACATTCTAGAGAAGGAGCAGGAGATGCCGAGTGTACAGGCTGCCTTGAGCAGGTGATGAAAAGTACGTTAGCTAGACATCACCTAATATAGAATGCATCATGTCGCATCGCTACATGGTAAATTGATGCGCTTGCGGCGCCGCCATGCCCTCTTCAACCGCCAAATGCTTGCAGCGCCCGTATTGAACGGAACGAGACTTTAGATGGTCTGCGGCCATAGGGTTTCAGCCAACGCCATTCGCCTCAAGTATCATGAGTATTGCCAAGGTCAACATAGAGGTGTAAACTTGTTAGCCCACTCGATGGGTCGGAAGTCGCTATCGCGAATCATGGAAGTGCTGTACACGGTCGATTGGGCGTAATTTCCGCTTAGGTGGCGAAGGACATGGTGCCTGATAGTAAAGTAGACCGCATAGTGACTCCAGCACACTGAGAATTTCAAGAGGTAATAGAGCATATACCATTGCGAAACAACGTCAGCGCATCTCATCACAGTGAGGAATCGTGAGGCGTATACTGGCATACAGCACCACTCTTCTCAGAGCGTTATTGTTATTCATTCAATCTACGATAGAAGACTTCATGCCATTCATGATGGTAGTGTTGTTGAATGTACTTATCCCTTGTGACACCATCATTCCTGCTTCGCAGCAGCGATCTTTTCCCTGTAGAACGTTCCAGCCCAAAACCACCACCCGATGATCAAAATTGGCAAAGATCCAACGACAACGCAAGTATAGTTCATTCCTTGAACTGTGACAGGCTTGGCGTAAGGAAAGCTGAAAAAGACTATAGCAAAAGTGAGCCAGCAAATGGTTACACCATTAACTAGCCAACCCCATTTACCCATGTAGAAAGCACCCTTGTACATATTGCGTCGTCCGGTAAGCATATTGGTAAGAATTGGGATATAGTATGCGATGTTGTTGATGGTAACGGCAGAGCCAAGCATGGCATTGAACGCTGTAGAGCTGCCGAGGTAAATGCAACCCAGTGCTGCGTTTGCAGCCGTTACGAGCAACTGTGCATTAAATGGTATGCCGTATCGCGAGCTCACGCGTGCCCATGTCGAGGACCACGGCATGGCCCCGTCACGTGCAAAGGCCCACAGCACGCGCGAGCTCGAGAGCTGAGATGAAATGACACATGGGCCCAATGCAATGAAGAGGATAAAGGTGAGGCCGAAGGCGCCTCCCGCTGACTGTGTAGCTTGGCGGAATAGCTCTGCGAGGGGAAGGCCAGTGTTTGTTGTCCCGAGCGCGCTATAGTCCTGAACGCTGAACATCAGCCCAATCAAGTATGTCAGGCCGGTGAAGAAGGCGATCGAGAGTGTAATAGCAATGGCAAGGGGTGCATTGCGCGACGGCTGTAGACTCGATTAGCTTGGTGATCAGAGATCACCATGGATATTGATAGTTCGTTGGAAAGCTACTCACGTTGGGCATTTCTTCGGTGATGTGCGTTACTAAACAGGATCAGTAAGAGAAAACGTGTCACATTTGTGTCTTCACTTACCACCGTCAAGGCCACCTAAAGCGTATAAAGGATTGACGAGTCCCACAGCAAAGGCTACGACATTGTTCTCCCAGCCAGTATTGTTAATCCAGGTGCGAAATACGAATTCGGGGCTCTGGTGCGTTGGTGCGCAGGCCACGACGGTGACAAGGACAACTAGCCAACCAATCTGGAGGTAGAAGAGGGAGAATCTGTTTAGGCCTGGGATGATCTTGTTACCAAAGAGCACAACCGAGGCTGTGAGAAGATTTAGACCTTGATAGATCACGAAAATCTCCCAAGTTTTGACTGTCATGTCCTGGTGGTAAAGGGCGATCAGTGCTCCCAGTGTCTGCGCATAGATCAAGTTCGTAGATGCTGTGGTAAAGATCCCTAGGAAATTTCGAATCAGGTTATTGCCCTCAGGGTAAGGACCAGAGTCACTTACAGCCACAAACAGTAAACCATCCAGTGAGAAAGCTGAGAAAAGCGGACTGCTTTTTGGGCGCAACAGCAGCTATCCAATGGTACATGCCGCCTTCAGTAGGATAGCTGGAGACGAATTCTGCCAAAGAAGCACCGAGAAAGCACTGCAATATTGTAACAAGGATAAAGCCATAGATGATGGCTCCTGGTCCGCCGGCATTGATCTCCGTCACAATGCCCAAGCCTAATCCTGTCCAGGAAATGGTAGTAGTGGATGCGAGGCCTATCAATGACAAGGTTGAGAAATGGCGTTCCAATTCTTGTACATGACCTTCAAATCATCAGCGAAAGATTTTTTGCTCGCTTATTTACCATCCGTACCCATCTCAGCGAGTCGCGTCTCGTCTGCGTTCATCAACTCTTCATCGCCTTTCCTGGCGGTGCTCACGCCAAACTCTCCTTTCTCGGTAACATCCATGATGGACTGTTGAGACACCTGGCCCAAACAATCTACAGAAGAGAGAAAAAGTGTATAATGACCACTGGTTTCATGATGTGGGACGAACACGATGTGTATTTAAAGAACAAGAACTGTTATCGGATGTCACGCGACACTTACTGATAAACCTTCGCGCTTACCCGCGACGGCAATGTTGTGAGCATACATACTGTAGACCCTGATTGTTCGGGCTTACTGCCTTCCAAGGTTGTACCGGTAGGCGACTAGCGCGCAAGTTCCCTGATTGCTGCAGGCAGGCAGATAGGACATTCGTATCCGGTCTTTTCACAATACTTTGCCGGTTTTGCCGGTTTTGCCGGGACTTTGAATCTAAGCGGGCTCACAGTCGCGGCGCAAGAGGTAGGAACGTCGATTGCGATTCAGTACCTATGATATGGTAAATGATGATGAACGAAAGATGATAGAGTCGGGTGACTGTCATGTGGGCACTTTTCACAGTTTTGGTATAGTGTAGCTAGATGCCATACTTACTGCGGGTACGATATACCGTCTGCTAGTATATGCAAAGGGCTGGTCCATCATACAATATGTATATCATCCAGTCCCGTTGTCTTATCTATCGATCTGAATACGCCCAAAGGACTGTCTCAAGTCTTGCAATGTTCTCAAGAATCACTGCATGTATTACCCTGGGGCTTTTAGCCTCGAGCGCGAGCGCCGTAAAGCTGAGCGGCCACCCAAAGGATATGTTCGACAAATCCATGACCTTCCTTGACCAGCTCTATGACGACTCTGTTGGCTACTTGTATTGGTTTTACTACCCGCTCGCAGCCGGTCAACATGAGACTCGCTCCACGATTTGGTACGAACCTCCTCCATGTCTTGTAGATGAAATCACTCTCGAGACTGCACTGACTCTGTTTCCGCGATCATAGGTATGTCCCTGGTTTGCTCAACCGGCAAGAGGGTGACGACGTGAAGAATGCCATCCGAATTCTGAGGAACGTCATTGGCGATCAGGAAAAGAACGTCGAAGCTCAATGGTACGGAGATTATACGATCTATCCCGAGCAACCAACTGTGAATAGCTCCGCATACCCGCCAACTGTATATTTAAATTTCTTCCGTGCCTTCAGGCCTTACTTGCTGACGAGGGCTATAGATATACAACTCTTGGGACCCTAATTGGCGAGGATTTATCGGTACGACTCTGATGGTGGTATACGAGGAGTTTGGACATCTTTTGCCAAACGATGTCCAAGATCTAATCCTCGAGAGCATTTACAACAACAATGTTGGCGATAGCTATCGTGTCGGGGGTATCGATGATGATAACTTGTAAGTTGACTACTTGGGCTGCACGCACACGTGGCAACAGACTTCCTCATGGCTTGATCCATATTACATCCACTAACCAGACTTACAGATACCCGTCTTACAGCAACCCAGCCTACATGCGTGCTGTCGTATCAGGCTGGACTGGGCGGAAATTGAACGACTCGAACATGACGGCCGCTGGTGAGATGTACGCGGAAGAAGTGCTCGAGCTGTTCAACATGAACAATACCTTATCCGAGTTCAACAGTCCTACGTACGCAGGCATAACCATTTATGCTTTGACACTTTGGGCCAAGTACATGCCGAGTGATTCGGTGATGAATCAGGAGGGTCAGCGTGTCTTGGGAGAAGTTTGGGACCTTCTCGCCATGATGTACAATTCCAATCTCCGCAACCTGGCCGGTCCGTGGGATCGCACCTATGGGTATGATATGAACAAGTATGTGGGTATACTGTCAGTCTATCTGTGGAGCATCCTCGGGGAAGAAGCAACTTTTGGCGGACACAAAGAATCACCGTTCTTCAGGGCTCATGCAGATGACATGGAAATCGCGCCAATGATCGCCATCCTTGCCCGTTCCATAACTCGCTCATCCCCAACATCACAATCAGGAAGCTCGCTTCTTGCAGCGACCAAATCCTCATTTCACGGCAAGCCTACGCTCCGCCCTACGATTTGGAGCCGCGCAATATCACGACCTGGGTATCACCCAACCTGACGATTGGCGGTGAGTCTTTCAACCAAGGCAATCTTGGTGGCGCACGTGAGGACCGCTCTGCGTGGAGCCCAGGCGTCGTTCAATGGAAGAGGCGCGACAATTCTGTTGGTTGGTTCAATGTCTGGCCGTCCGAGACCGCTATGAACATCGACGTTGCTCCTAACTCCATCAATTTCACATACCCAAACGGCAATGCTTCAAGCACATTCAGCTTCATTGTGGCGTTGAACCCGCTCAGCGGTAAACGGGATATCACCTCTGTTCGAGATCTTGACGGCTTGGACCTCGAAGTCAGTGGTACAGTCGATGTGGATTCGCCTAGTATCTCCTTCTGTGGGCTTGTTGGTGGAACGTGCAAGATCATCCATGGGTTCGAATTCTGGAACGTAACGTGGTCTATGCCCACAAATAGTATTCAGATCCCGTCTATTAACTTTAAGGTAAATCTTCTATAAGCTAGTACTATCTTCTAGAGTACTTAGATAGTAATATTAGATAGGCTGTTATACTATATATAATATAAAGCATTACTAAGCTAACTATATATTAAAACCTATTAAGTAGCTAATAATTAGATAGCTAGTATTAAAGAGCTTAAGTTAGTTTTTGCAGATAGAGTAAAGTAGCACTAGATATAGAGATAGAGTATACTAAGATAATAAGAGTAAGCTTCTATAAAGAGTATAATATATTAAGTAACTTAAAGTATAAAGTTAAAGATACTAAACTATAAGAGTTCTAAGTCTTATCTATATACTATACGCTTTAGTTAGATCTTATTATTCTAGTATATTCTAGTATACTAAGCCTTTCTAGTCTTACTAGTACTTATTAGTATACTTATATATTCTATTTCTTAGCGTTCTAACTTAGCTTTACTACTTAGTTATAGAACTTTAGTATTTATAAGATAGAGCTTCTAATTATTTAATCCTAGATTATAATATTATCTCTTTTCTTCTTTAACTTAATATTCTTATAAGTTTACTAATCTTATTCTGCACTAGAAAGTATTATAATTATCTAGCTAATTAAATTAAGTTCTTAGATATTATTATAATAGTTTCTTATATCTATTATATAAAGAGATAGTTATCTTATAAGCTATCTTTCTTAAATGCAAAGTATATAAATTATATATATAATAATATTACGCGTTATAAGCTAGTAAATATACTATTACTAGATTTCTTAAAAATTAATAAGAAGATAAAGTATCTTAAATAAATAGAAGATACTAAGAAAGCTAAGCTTTATATTAAAGAAGATATAGCTAAGCTTATATTATAGTAAGTATATTAGGTACAGATAAAGCTTAGAAAGCTTTATAACTAAAAGAAATTATTATAATAAAAAGAGTAAGAGATCTTTAATAAGAGTCTCTTATCTATAGATAAACTAGAGGCGCTTAAAACTATTAAGTAACTTAATTCTAAGATTATATCTATAAACTCTAACGCAGCGTTAAGTGCTATAATAGTAGATTAGTTCTTTTTATAGAAAGATATTAATAGTACTATACTAGAAGCTAGCAGCAGTTTATAAGGTTTATTTCTAGTTCTTATATATTTTCTATTTTATTATATCTTAACTATTTAACTAGAAATTCTTTCTAGTAGCTATTACTTTATTATATAATAATTCTTTTAACTTTAAAGATATTATCTTTCTTTATCTTATAGCGGAAAGGGTTTACTATATTTAGTATTTTAGAGTTAAGCTAGTTCTAATAAGTTTATATAGAATCTAGAGTATATTTTAGCGGTCTAGTAGTAGCTTAAGTATATATATTACTAGCTTATTTTATTTAGAAAATTAAAAATAGTCTAATCTTAATATTATTAAGTTCTTTGCTTAGTTATTTAGTATATAAATTCTTTATATATAAATATACTTTATTTCTCTCTTTTAGCTAAAGTGCTATTTTTCTTTTCTTATTAATATAAGAGATACTCTATATCTAAGCATAGATAAGTTTTTTACTTTATTTTATTATAAATTTTCTTTATTTCTTTTGCAAATTTTATTATAGCTTTAGCCTTTAAGCTAAGTAATATTTATTAAAAGAGATTAGAGTATTTTCTATAGTTTGCAAAGTATAGCGTCTTATCTATAGCTTTAGAAAGTTTATTATTATATAATATCTATGCTATAAGTAATAATAAGACCTAGTTTATCTAACTAGTATTACTAAAGATCTTTATGTAAGAAAGTAGTAGGTAATATAAAGATAAATAACTACTACTCTCTATAAATAGAAAGATAGCTATTAAGTAATAATAGATAACTATAAAAATAGTTATATAACACTTGCAATAGTAGCAAATAATAGACGATAGGTAAAATATTGAATTAGAGGTGCTATCTAACTCTAGAGATAGCTATAGTATATATAATACTATATATCCGACTATAGCCGGTACTATCCTAGCTCTGTTATACTAATATCTAAGGTTTAGAACTCTAATATTAATTTCTAATAATTTATAATTATTAATAAGCTCTAATAGCTTATAAATCCCTTATTATATTATAAATCTCTTAGGCTAGTAAACTAGCTTATACTAGCAGTTCTTAGAATAGAGCTAAAATACTAGCTAGTACTAATTAGTATAG